GATCGTACAGCAAGGTCACTTCCCTTGTTAGTAACTTTAGAGTCAGACTTATCAGTTTTGCAGAAGTTACAAAAACAAGTTAATCCCTGTGAAATCACCTATAAATCCAATCATTAGAACAAGTATCCGATTAGTTAAGTAATCTTACATTTAATACACGGCCTCTTAGGTAATGGCCCGAGAAGGACTTGATAATTAGAAAGATCATGGTAATATAAGAACATAGAAATAAGATCAAAAACTGAGGAAAAAGGAAATGTTGCTTTAAAACTGTTGATGATTTGTAACCATGAAATTCAATGCACAATTGTCATAACTACTTGACACAACAATCACTTTTATTTATTTTTGTACAGAATATAATTAAAACTTGACAAATGCTCGATGCTCAAATGGATGACTAAAAAAGACAAAGTAAAACTGGTTCGAGAAAATGTGACAATTTTAAGCTGTTTTCTCTTCCTCCCATGTGATATCTAGATTCTAGATAAGACATGTTGTTTCGCCAAATGCTTTTACATTAGCTGGACCACTTTCTCATTTTGAACAATCCTTTCATAGTTTTATTCAAATTAATTATTTATATTTGGAATTTTACTCTGTGACTAACAATAATGTCCAATCAAGTGGAATTAACGTAAGTTTGTTTTATATTTGCATCCAAAGGCTGTTGCTAGTTTCTGAGCCTTTTTGTTTTTCTATTTCTTATTTTTTCATTCTCTTGATTTTTACACAGTCAAGGGTGCATATTTGGACTTGGAAATCCTCTTCTTGACCTTATTGCCGAAGTTAACGAAAAATTTTTGGAAAAATATGGACTGAAAGCAGATGATGCCATTCTTTATGAAGATAAACATCAAGGGTTGGAAAAAGATATGCTTGCCCAATACTCTGTTAATTATGTTGCTGGTGGCTCTGTGCAAAATACAATGAGAATTACTGAATGGTGTTTAGGATTTAAGGTAATTAGGAATCATCATTTCCTGTTCTTTATTGATCAACTGTCAATCAGTGATTGAGATAAAGGGAACCTGTTGGCCTATTTTTCGACCTTGACAGTCTATTGATAATTGTCTCAATCATTATTTTTGTATTTTTTCCCATTTTTTTCAGCCAAATATCTGCACTTTTATGGGTTGTATTGGTAAAGACGAGTTTGGTGATCGTATGCAAAAAGAGGCTATTAAAGACAAACTTACGTGTGTCTACCGGATTGACGAAAATGAGAAAACGGGCTACTGTTGCGTTCTTATTAGCAATAATGGTAAAACAAGATCGCTTGTTGCTTACTTAGGGGCTGCTAATCATATGAAGGTTATTTTGAACGTAATAAGTTGATGTAGAGCTGTTGACTTATCAGTTTATTCTTTTATTTCAGAAAGAGCATCTGATGGAAAATTGGAGTCACGTCGAAAAGGCTAAGCTTCTTTATGTTTCTGGTTTCCATCTAACAGTTTGTGTCCCTGCCATTTTGGAAGTAGCACAACATGCTGCTAATTTTGATGACAAAAAATTCCTATTCAATTTAAGTGCGCCTTTTATTTGCGAATTCTTCAAAGATGCCTTGCTTTCTGTTTTACCATATGTTGATATACTTTTTGGTAATAGCACTGAAGCTTTAGCTCTTGCATCTGCTTTAGGATGGAAAACCACTGAAATTTCAGAGATTGCTAAACTGATCGCTAAACAAGAAAAGAAGAATTCTAAAAAACCTAGAATGGTTGTGATAACTAATGCTGCTGATCCAATTACCGTTGCCTTAAGTGACTCTGATGAAGTTACATACTACCCTGTTGATGCACTAAGTTCAGAGAAGATCGTTGATACCAATGGAGCTGGTGATGCATTTGTAGCTGGATTCATTTCGCAATACATTTCTAATGAAAGTATGGAGAAGTGTATCAAAGTCGCTAGTTATGCAGCTCAACAAATAATTCAATCCGAAGGAGCTCAATATCCTTCCAGTCCAGCAAATTATTAGTTTAATTCACTTATTCTTATATACTTTTCATTGGGTGGGAATTGGAATCCGAAACTTTATTAGACCTTAGTGCCATTTTTAAGCTCTCTAATTAATTATTAGAGCAATTTTGAAAAGTAATCAGATACTTTATCATCTGAGATAACTTCATTCAGAAAATCTTTCTCGAATTAGGTCTAATCATGTCGAGTGAACGTTGGGAATTTACACACTTCAACTATGAAGAGTGAAATTTTCCATTCACATTATATCTTGGTTAAAGATGCAATTATATTTCATTCTTGAGTAGCTTAAATTTCTAATTATTCAAAATCGTTAATTCAACAATCGGTATAATATTTTGAATTTGTACTTGAACATAATTTTGTTTTTATATTTTCAAGTATATTTACAATTTGCCAATTTACAAATATCTTTTAGCATTATTACTGACTTTAAATTGGATTCTATCCGATTTTGGACCGAAGATATTTTTGTAACAAAAATCAATAAAATTGATTAATGATGTAACGAGAGACTAAATCAAAACTCTATTTTAAATCTTGGTTTAAATAAATAATAAAGTTGATTCAATGCAATTAATTTCGTAAATATTGAAAACTGACAATAAATCGTGACCATAAGCCTATCATTGTTGTAAACCTATTCTGTTGACATTTAGGTTTGAAATCAGTTGTAATCTAAATTGAGCTTATTCATTATTCTATGAATTTTCTTAACAGATAATTCAGTCATTAAAAAATTGAAAAATATTTAAAATGAAAATTATTTTTTCTACATTTGTAATTGCCGCGTTGTGAAATTTAATAATTTACTTTTATCAACAAGAGCTGGAGCTGTAGTCAGGAGAAGAAAACGAATAAATACTGGCTGATCGTGACTCAATTATTTTTGTCTAACTAAATTTGATTAATTGAAGTGAATTATGGCAACAATAACTGAACCAATACCTACTTTAAAAAAGGTGAGATTTTTATTGTGATCTTTGTATTTCTTATTATTATTAATCTATCATTTACCCTTACAACTTAATTTACAGGATGATTTAATAACTATGCTTGATGCAAAGAGCTCTTATGTTCCGGCTAGTGAAGATGACTTATCTGATGTCTATACTAGATTGAAAAAGCTACAACGGCAATTAGAATTTCTTCAAGTCCAGGAAGAATACATTAAGGATGAACAGAAAAATCTGAAGAAAGAATACCTTCATGCCCAAGAAGAGGTTAAACGTATTCAAAGTGTTCCCTTGGTTATTGGACAGTTTCTTGAAGCTGTTGATGCTAACACTGGTATTGTTGGATCAACAACTGGATCTAACTATTATGTGCGAATATTAAGTACCATTGATCGAGAATTACTTAAGCCTTCAGCTAGTGTCGCCTTACATAAGCACAGTAATGCTTTGGTTGATGTTTTACCACCTGAAGCTGACTCTTCTATCGCTATGTTGAGAGCTGATGAAAAACCTGATGTTAGTTATGCAGATATTGGTGGTCTCGACATTCAAAAGCAAGAAATTCGTGAAGCAGTAGAGCTTCCATTAACTCACTTTGAATTGTATAAACAAATCGGTATTGACCCACCTCGTGGTGTTCTCATGTATGGTCCTCCAGGTAAGATTTTCAGTAACAAATCAAAATGACAATTCTTTCTCTAATCTCAATGTTTTCTTTTACTTAAATAGGTTGTGGTAAAACTATGTTAGCCAAAGCAGTTGCTCATCATACCACTGCATCTTTCATTCGTGTTGTTGGTTCTGAGTTTGTCCAAAAGTACCTTGGTGAAGGTCCTAGGATGGTCCGAGATGTGTTTAGACTAGCGCGAGAAAATGCCCCGGCAATTATATTTATTGATGAAATCGATGCTATAGCAACCAAGAGATTTGATGCTCAAACTGGTGCTGACAGAGAGGTTCAAAGAATCTTGTTAGAATTATTGAATCAAATGGATGGGTTTGATCAAAGTACTAATGTTAAAGTAATCATGGCCACTAATCGGGCAGATACTTTGGACCCTGCTTTACTCCGTCCAGGACGTTTAGACAGGAAAATTGAATTCCCGTTACCAGATCGTCGACAAAAACGTCTTGTTTTCTCAACCATCACTGCAAGGATGAATCTCAGTGATGAAGTAGATTTAGAAGACTATGTGGCTCGACCAGAACGTATATCTGGTGCTGATATAAATGCTATTTGCCAGGAGGCTGGTATGCATGCAGTTAGAGAGAATCGTTATGTCATTCTTCCAAAAGATTTCGAAAAGGGTTACAAAAACAATACTAAAAAAGATGAAGCCGAACAAGAATTCTATAAATAATTTTCCTAATCATTAAATAAATCATGGAATAAAGATTTTTTTCAAGCAGCCTACTAAAGTGATTCTATAATTGTTTCCCTTTACCCTTCATTTAATTGATTAATTTCCATAGTCGGTCAAATCTTTATAAATCAATGCTAAAATTTTTGAAGTTTCTATTGTTTAAGTGTCTTACTCTAACTAATAAAAGACCTTTTAGTTGTTAAATTATTTTTTCATCTTTAAAGATTTCAGTGAACGGTAGATTTAATTTAGCTGCTGGTTAATCAACAATTTCATTCCAATCTCTCACTTATAGAAATCGGATTTATTAATTTTATTTTCTGTCTGTAGATGGCCTTAATATTTGTGGTAAAATCACTACAAATGAAAACATATGAGTAAACCATTTAATCTGTAAAGTGTCAAACCAGGATCTTTAAATTATTAATTGTCTGTTTATTAATTTTCTTTTATTAATTTTGGTATTAGTGATCTAAAATTGAATGGTCAAATATGTCTAACTATGGTGAACGTGAAGGAATTCAAAGACAAATCCAAAAAGATTGGGCTAATCGTGAATATATTTGGCTTATATGTGGCTCTATCAACAAAATTGCTGATTTCCTCAATTCATTTGATATGTCATCTCGAGGTAAATTGAACCAACTTAATGAAAGGTTGACTATTTTGGAAAGGAAAGTTGATTACATCGAAGCCAAAATAAGTAAAGGAGAGACCTTAAATTGATACTTTTGTATAATAACAATTGTTTTTTTTATTAATAAATCTCATGGAATTTAATCAATAGTGAATCAAAAATAATCAATTATTTTTATATAGTGTAACCAGTTTTATTCTTGTTTACCTTTAGCAGAAAATATAATTGTTAACTTAAAATTATTTGGTTGAAAATTATTCTCCTGTTTAAGATTTTTTCGTCTTAAAGCTATTTCCAGTCAAAAGTTGATAAACACTTTTATGAATATCAATAAATAGAAGGGTTCCGAAGAATACCAAAAATGCACCAATCCAATGGTAAAATGTGAATAAGTTTTTGAAATATACAACAGATAAGAGGAGTGAAAAAAATTTCCTCAGAGTAACAACCAATGTTACAGTGAGTGATGTATGCTCTGATGTCAATGAGAAAACAGAGCTAACACAGATATATTGAGTTAAGGCATTGAGAAATAAATAGATCCACAATCTTGGAACAGTTATGTGACCGAAAAACGGTAAAAAGTCAAGTGCCATCAAAGGCGATCGGTTGAAGGCAACAATTTGTTTGGATAAGTCAGACCAGAGCAAAAGGAATCCTGGAAGGGGTAATAGATGCTGTGAAAAAAAGATTCAAAGAAAAGATAAGAATTGATGCAATTTGGATCGTAATCAAATCACATGGTTAGGCTTTAATGTGAATGATACTGAAGATTTTCACTTTATACTGTGTAAAACCCATATCATAGGAAACATCTGAACTATTCAATAGTGAAAGTCATTCATTAAAGAATTGACTTCATTTTTGTCACATTTTTGACGCCAACCAATGATTAAGTTCATTTTTGTCAGTAGTTAAAGTTAGGTGGTGATCACTCACACAATAGAAAAGAGCTTCTTGCGGATGTTTCCCGTATTTAGAATACAATTTTTCTTGATAAATGCCCATAAAAGCTGATGTAAATAGTGAGACAGTCATGATTGATAATCCAATGAGCCATGTGAAAAGAAAATCTTCCGATTCTTTTTTACTCTTGTGTAATGGTTCATTCTATGTGAAGTAGAAATATAAAATATAATTAGAGATGAATTATAGAGAGGTTAGGAAAAATATAGATTTAAAAGTAAATCAACTTCACATTGTTATTTCATTGAAACATTATCCGTTCTTTAAATACTTACATAAGAAGATATGGTACATAATATGATTCCTATTGTGATAAGAAATACAGACGTATATTTCGTTACAGAATAACGTCTTTTGAGCAAAATAACTCCGAGAAAAAGATTGGCGAACAGAGATCCCTGAAAGAAAGTAAAAAAAAAATTGAATTAGACAATTAGCTGATAAATAAAACTCTGAATTCGATTAGATATTGAAGATACTTTGCAATCTCACGGTAGTCAAATGAGATAATCTAATAATATAAGATAATCTATGAATTTGGAATCGTTGAGATCCAAATTCAAACTACTGCAAACGTTACATGAAAAAGAAAATATCTTCAATTCTGAGTTCAAGCACGTTCAATGGATTACACACCGACTTAAATATTACATGGAGAGGCACCGAGATATTATAATTAAGAGCAAAGTTATTTCCAGTGCTAACAAAAAAGAACAATATCACCATTTTTGCATATTCCCTGAAAAAGAGGAAACGAGAATTAATTTTGATAAACTTGATCAGGTAGTAAATGCTTACGTTAAAGGTATTACTCTTGGTTTTCCTTTAAAGTAATTGACTAATAATCCTTGAAAGGCGACCAGAGCAAATTGTGAAAAGGTAATTAAGTTAGCTGAGCCTGGAGATTCTCTGTTAATAGAAGAAATGAAAGAGAATAATTAAAATTGGGAATTCAATTGGTATCAGAGATAAAAGTACCTTGATATTGCCTCAAGAAGAAAAACATTGGTACAGCAGGCAATAAATACTTTTGAAATAACAGCGATTGTCCTGAGCATTTTGGAAGTAGATTGTTGATGTTGGTAATTTTTTCTTGCTTCTTTCACTAAATTAACATTTTATCCCACAGCACAGATCAATTGAGATGAGAGGATAGAACTAAGATGAGATTTAATTTTGTGAAGCATATTGATAACTAGATTGAAGATTGATAAGAAAGATGCAATGGTCGACCAATAAATCACATGAACTAATATCACAGGGTGAATATGTTGAGATTATCCTTCCAATGAAAAGTACGAGATGAGCAAAGGAGAGAGTGAAATGTTTGTTGATCAAAGTTACGAGAAAATCAAAGGACAATGTTTTAAGAGATATGGATTGATATCCAAAAGCCAAGTGATAGCTAATGTGTCAGGAGGATATTATTTACTTCCTGAATTTCACTATCAAACTAACACGTTAGTGTAAAAGTAAAAAAAGTAAAATAAGTAAAAAGAAGAGAAATGAAGAAAGCAGTCAACACTTTCTCCGAACTGAAGCAGGTCAGCTTTTCAATTGGAAATGTGTTGCTATTAATAAAAAATGAAACGCAACCAGAACCGGTTTGATTTTTGGTTAAATGATGGAGATGAAGTTGATCAAGAAATCAGACACAACTAAAGCAAAACAAGAGGGCACTTTGGTGAAAAATCACTTCGACACGTCTGTGGATTCAGTGAGACGCTTAGGTTGAAATATAAATATTTAATTTGTATATCTGTATGATTGCAGCAATAATCATTAGCTCCACTTGATTTAGGTTGAAACAATTATACAATCAGGTTTGGTGAACGGAAGAAATTCAACTAAAAGTTCAAATTAATGTTGAACTGAGTAGAGAAGACTTTCAGGAGACAGATTAGCGAGCGAGAGAAAGTGAAAATAGGCAGTTGAACTTCAATTATATTTGAGTGACACCGTGATTGGATTTATTAATTACTTTCCAATCAATGTTTCGGAATCCAATGGAATGAGGTACAAAAAAAGCATAATCACCATTTGACAAACTCCATCGTTTGTAGTATAAATGTAAAAATCAGCCACTAGTTATTGTTGTAGCAAGATTATTAATCAATCTTAAATCGATTGGTTGATATGAAAAAATATTAGACTTGGATGTTTGATTAAAACTGGGCTCGTTTGTAGAGTGAAAACAAGAGTTTTTAAAATACTAGAAGAACAAGTTGAGTTGATGAGAAATGGAAAACTTGATCATTAATAAGCTATGAAAGAAAAGAGTTACAAAGAAGAGGCGAGGAGAGGAGTGAAAGTTGATGTTCTTGAAATTAATGTAATAATAATAGTAATTACACTGACAAACTAAAAATAGTAAGGTTGAAAGGATCTTCAAAACAGATTGTTACACAGGCAACATGAAAAAGAGAGGCACGAATTGAAGAGAGAAGGCAACACATAAACAACTCTTCCAACTTCACTTTTCACTATCAACATCAGCTGTTAGGCAACTAGCCTGTTGAGCTTCTGCGTGGAGATTGTTGTCTCTTTTCATTTTTGCTTTAATTATTTCAAGGAATCTGTTAAGGTCTCCATAATTTGGCAATTATTCAGATGGCTTTAATTCAGTATATTGTAGTTCGATGTGATCTAAACTGGCCATTGGGTGCTTTAATTGGTAAGTAATATAATTTTAATCTTTCTGTATTTAGACACAAAGTTATCTTTTTATTTGTCCATTTTTTTCTTGTTTGTTTGTCTTTTGTTTTTATGATATTTCCTTGTTTATTCATCCTGAAATCCAATATTTAGAGCTAATATGCAAACTTGAAAGCTAATATATTTTTTTTCATCATTTCTCCAAATGTCACTAGCTCAAGGATGTCATGCATCTGTTGCTGCATTAACCAAATTCAAGGAACATGATTTTACCAAATCGTATCTTCAAGACTTGGAAAATATGCACAAAGTTGTCCTCAAGGCAGATGAAGCACAGTTAACTGAAATCGTTACTAAATTAACAAATAACAATATTGACTTCTACCTCTGGAAAGAGATGCCCGAAAATATCACCTCAGCATTGGCTACAAGACCTTATTATAAGCAAGATATTCATCCGTTTCTAAAGCATCTCAAGCTTTATTCTTGAAATTGGTGTTGATTAACAAATATCTATAAAGCAATAGGAGTGATATGATGATAATTGGAATAAAGCGATTAACTTTCCCAAGATGACGCTCATCTAAATTATTCAGAGTGAATTGTTTCTCATTTATCACTTCATTACATAGTTAAACTCATTTATTTAAGATCGTTTGCTGATTTTTCGTCGTGGATTCTCAACAGCAAAGCTTTAAAAAGACTCGATCGTTTCAGAATCTCTTTGATTTTTCACTAAAAGGAGTGATCAATTCAGTCAATGATTATCGTCGACTTTCAAAACTTTCAGAGCTTTCAAGAATAAAGCTCTCATGCATTGGAGCTCGTGGACCAGCTTAAAAGTCATATTTTGGCATTTTTTACTCATGGATACTTGTTTTCTTGTCAATGCATCGATATGAGTAATTCATCATAAATATTTATTAATTAAGGGAATTTTACTCATCAATATTAATATAAACAGCAAACAGATAATCATGCTTTTGCATTTAAGTTGAGAGTTTAGATCAGAACACATTTTGAACAAATCTCTAGAATAGTTTCTTTGGGAAAAGTGTCCCAATCGGGCGAGGAAGCTATTCGCACGAAAGGAAAGCATCGAGAGTGGCTTTATTCAACAAAATACTTGTTTAAGTCTCTTGAGGCAAGAAAATGTGAAGCGAATCCAGATGAAACCATCGCTTGATTTAGCGTATTTGAGAGAATTCGCTATTTTAATTTCACAAATTGACTCACATCAAAGAACTAAATTGTTTTAATAAAAAATTGTTCAACTGATTCATTAAAAGTCAATTGATTTTCAGTCTTGAGTCTTTTTTTGGGTTTCAAACAAAATTGAAAAATATCGAATTAAATTGTTCATTGATTTGAACTAATATCACGAACGGACAAATTTTCAGAAGTCAGAGTGAATTCAAATTAAACATCCAGAGTCTACTCTCGAAGCAACACTCTGCAAGAATCTTCGAATCAAAATAGTTCAATGATTAGTAAACATAGATTCGCATTTATTGATTTGAATTATCAAATGAAATGTAACGTTGACTTATTTTTACGCCATCTATTGTTTTAGCAAAAAACCTTTTTGCTAACTTTTTGAATTTGCCTCTCAAAGTAACCAAAAATTAACCGGTTACAGTTACAAATACATCTCTACTAGTAACCGATTAAACTGGTTAAACAATTGTAATGATAAACACTCGATGGCGCCTTAAAAGCTACTAACAAGCATCAAAGTCGATTGAATTTGCTAAATTGTTAGTGAAACAATCAAATGAGTTCTAGATTGTTTAGCTTAAGTACTTTAGCATTAAAAAATTGCATTTTAACAATAGTCAATCAAATTAAATTTTGCATCCATTTTTTTGTATTGATTGTAATGATTCTCAATGATTTTCAATGATTTTTTAAATTTTCATCAACATGTAATGTAACGTGTTTGAACTTGCTGGATATGTTTTTGATTAGACATTGGATTTGGCGTTAAGATGATTAACATGTTATAATGTATTGAACATTCAATCAATTTCATTAAATCACCGTTAGTCAATTACCAATCATATTTCAATCCTTAATCTCAAGAGTTGGAACATGTTTAAACAGAAAAAATATGTTTACTTTATAAAGCAAGATTAAGTAGAGAGATTTCATTAATCCCAGTCTTGTTCAGGTATATCTAGATTATACTATTTATAGTTAGTAAGCTATCAGTGAATTGTATCTACATTGCTGTCAAGATTAATGTCCTGCAAGATTTAAGTCAAAGATTAAAAGGTTGAAACAGTTGAAACCTGATTAACCATGATCAAGAAATGTAAGTTATCAGCAATAACCTATCAACACTGAAAATAGTGAAATATAATTATAAGCCAATGTAAACACAGCTGATTGCAAAGTATTACATTAATTGATTGTAAACGACTAAAGTTATATTGACAATTTCAAATTGTTTAAATATCATGATGAAAAAATATCAATGAGCATTTCCCATTTCACCAGAAATACCTATTGTTATATAATTTATGAATGTACATTGTGAAGAAGAGTCTATCCAAGCTGTTGAACACAATATTGGCTATCAATAAACAATCAGCCAAATTGTTGAGTGACAATTCCAAAAAAAGGATAAATATTGTTATTTAATGTCACTCAATATTTGCTAATCCTAAAGTGTTCATTGTTCAATGAGTAAAGATAAATGAATATCTAACGGTAACTACAATGAAGACCCAAATGAGGTGAGCAATGAAAGATAAAGTTACAGTTATTAATTTCCCTTTTTTTCCTTGCTTCCACCTCGATTAATATGGTTAAAGATGGTATTGAATGAAGATATCTTTCTGGTTCATCTTCCTGAAGGGATTGACCTGAGAAGAGTTACTTCCATGCAATGCAATGTTATACTTTGTAATAATAGTAATATGGAGGAACCAAACGATGAAACCAAAAGGTTGAAACCAGAAATAAGGTGAGGCCAAGTACAGTTAAGAATAGCTTTGATTAGGTTTGCGTTTTTTTTATGTTAATCATTGAGTTTAGGGTTCCACTCAACTAGTAATATGTGTAGTAATACCAAAAGCCAGTCATTCATAAGTTGTCGGTGATATTCATAGCTATCTTCATGTTAATCTTTTCTAGTTATCTAGTTCTTTCTTCCGCAATCCAATGTATATTGAACCCGGAGGCAGGAAGAAGGAGAAAGAAGAAGAAGAAGAAACAAGATTAAAGACATTACATACAAAAAAATAAAACAATATTAATATAATACAAATGAAAAGGAGGAAGATGATCATGATCATGCAATTCATGACCGAGTCAATCCGGAACTAAAACATTGAGTTTCTTTCTCCCACCATGGTTGTAAAATAATAATATTAATAGCAGCAAATGTGGTAATGATGATACAAAAGACTCAAAAAAACCTTACCTTTGTTAATTTAACGCCAAATCTATGTTAGTCGTTCAATTAAACAACTTTAAAACAGGATTTTTCAGTCAAATGAGGCGCCTTTATCTGCCGAGTTTAAACTTAAATCTTATTATTTTACTGACATTGTCCAGGTAAATGAAGCCTTTAAAGCCCCTAGATTTTGTATCAACAAAAATGAGATAGAAATCAATTCATCTAATTGTAAATTGTCCAATAGCCTTACAAAGCTTCTTTGGTCTTACAACCTTGTTACCGTCCAAAGCAATTTTTAAAGGTACATTTCGGTTGAGGCCAAGTTTAAGGTTTCTGGATCCTTTGGTCAAAAATTTTCTCAGTGAATTAAAGCCTGAAAAGTCTGGAAGCTCTGAAAATATCCAATTTTTGTTACTTCAGCGACTAGGCTCAATATTTATGGACAAGAAAGTTTCTGAAGCGGAGTTAAAGAGATGGCAGTCAAGAGGAAAATGAAGATTCATTTTGATTTATTGATAATGTTTTCAATTATCAGCTAATTTGCTTACTGTTATGTTCATTTTCAAGCATTTTTTTGGTTTCTAACTTGAATTTTTGGTTGACTTGCATTTTCAGTTAACTGGGCTCATCTCTAATCAATTTTTGCATCGCGATTATAAATAAACGTTTCTAGATGTAATCTAAACAATGATGTGTGTTGATAACAATTGGCATTGGAAGGTAATTTGATTATTATCAAAGATTGAACCATTGTTAAATATAAATATGATTGATTAAACACCAAAAGGATAATGACATTGGATTTTAAATTGTAAAATCAAATCTTTTCGGATTTGATAGCAATTGTTAAACATTGAAACGTCTTTATGAAATTAACAAAAACAGCTGATGTTGTTCAATTGTTTCGCCATTTTGTTGAAACAGAAGCTTTTATTTTTGGAAATTAATTTTTGATTAGAAAACAAAAATTGACCATCAAATAATGAAATTTAATAAATGATAGTCTTGAACAATACATCAATAAGATACAAACAATACAATAATTATTAAAGTGTTCAATAGTTCAACTTGAATTGTTGAAAAAATCACAGGACAACAAAGACGCACCTTTTCTGGAAGAAAGTAAATCATTGAGTGTTTAATTAATATCCATTGGCAATTAACTGTGTTTACTTGAGTTTATTAGAGTTGATTGAAGATTTTGTGAGTTTCAAGTTGCTGGTGAATTGATTAAGTGGCTCAATTTGAATAACCTGGAACCGTTATTCAAATGCACGAAAATTTTGATGGTCAATCAATCATGAATGATTACACAGAAATGGGTTTACTTTCATGCTGTTAGTCGACCAATCATTCATGACTGTTGAAGTATTCAACTTAGACATGAGGAAGTTGAATAGAGGGTAAAAAAAGGTAAACATTATTGAAGATGATAATCATGACCAAGAGACGAAAATAAAAGTAAATGGAAGGTTAATGATCTATTTTACAATTTACTGTTAAATGAAAAGTGATTGAAGTGAGAGTCAAAAGTGGATAAATTTAGGAGGAAAAGGGCTGAATTAAACAATCAGAGAGGCTGAAAATATAAGGCAAAGTCAATCATAACAGTAATACTCTTAAATTGTTCATCTTGTACATCATCAAAACCAAAAAGCTCATCACATGTTAATAATAATGATGATCAACGGTCAAATAATCTTCTTTCCTCTTCCCTATTTAACACAAGTTTCAAAGTTGAATAACCTGAGAGTCACAATTGAAGTCTACGATTGTTGATATCGATTAAAAGTGGCCATTATTTCAACTTCAACAATCAACTGCCTCTCAAATGTTACAAGGGTTGTGATACAAATTTACTATCAAAATGTAGGTGTTAAGGAACAAGGAAGGTCACAATGAATTATGAAAATGAACAGATTCTGGTTGAATCGGCTAGTCTTCATGAACCGGTTAACAGAAATCATAATTAACAAGTTTCTTCATGTCAATGTTTACATTCTGATATTTGATTCCATGATTTGGAAATGAGTCAGCTTGGTTAATTGATATTTGCTGCAGTCAATTTTTTCCATGAAAATCCAGAACATAACAATTGTATTCCTTCCTGTTTTTGGGTTTTCAGAAAATCAAAAAAACAATTAACCTTACACCTAAATTATTAACTTGTTTGACTTCATTTTTGGTGAAGGCAAATATTTCATTAATTACCCAAAAAAACGGTCTTAACTCTGTAGTTTATAAGGTTAATAAAATAAGTAGGGAAATGTAAACCAATATTTTATCCATTAATCAATTTAATCTGGAAAAAATGGTAATTTTGGTAAAGATTGAGATGTTTACAGGACAAGTGGCCTCTAAGAGACCTTTCCGATATGGATTAGTATCGCTTTTTGAGACGTTAGTCTTTTTCAATATTGATTATCAATTTTATCATTTGAGACAAATATTGTGACAATAATAACAATAGTTGTCAAGAGATTTTTTTGTTCTTTAAATTATTTCATGCTATTATCGATCACTTTTGTTCTGGAAGTTTCGTTCGATTATCATTCAATGTCAGGGTTTTCTGTCTCCCTCTACAGCAGACTGTTGCTTCCACTTAAATTTTTAACCAATTGGTGTAGCTATTAACTACTAACCATTACAATTCATAAATTAAAAGCATTTTTTTGTATCTTTCTCAGAAAACCCCGTTCTCGATTAATTCAGCATATTCAATACTTAGATAGCAAGATATTAGAAGGAGAAAACGACCAACGCAACCGACCGATAATCCTGAGAAGGACAAGCGTAGGAATATTACTTGAGGTAATCATTTAGGTAAGCGAAAATGATTATGATTTTGATGGGAATATAAATTTTTCAAAAAAAAGACTCAATTGTGATGTGCAAAGATGAACAGAAAAAGAGACTGAAAGCTTTCTCTTTTCAAATGTGAGGACAAATTATTATTATAAAATCATCATGATCATGCTTATCAGGTAATCGGTATGGTGTATGATGTGTGAGTGGTGAGTATATGTTTTATATACAAACGCACAAAATTTTGATTCATACTATAAATAAATAAATAAATAAATAAATAAATAAATAAATAAATGTGAACAAAAGAAGATGTAACCAACAAAAAAAATTTACTTGATCATGAAATTAGCTATCAAAGAAATTAGGCTTTGACTTCTATGGAAAAATAAAAATAAAAATTAACACATTAAATTTACATTGGTGGTTGGACCGGTAAATGTTGGTTAATAAGGTTTATACCGCCTGGTTCTTTTTTACTTTTCTCATCTTCTTCTTCTTTTCTTCATTTCTCTTTCTCAAGGATGAATCTGACGTACCTTTATATTTTTTTTCTTAACTTTAGTTGTCAGATAAACAAACGAAAGTCGAGTATAAAAGTAAAATCACGATCATCGATTTTCCCATGTTCATCAGCTTAATCTTGTGTGAAGACTCTTTTCTAAATGATATTGTAACCATGATGATGATGATTATTATGATTATGATGTTGTACAGCTTGAGGAACACCATTAACAGTACGAGACTTGAGCATGCCATCTTCAATGACGGTTACAGTTTCAACACCGTTCTCAATAACTTTTTTAGTTTCTATTTTTCTTCCGTTTACAAAACGGGTTGACGTTGTAGTACGCTTGACTCCAGGTTTACTGGCCATATTGGAACTGGAATTGAAGATATCGAATGATCGAACTGGATTGAAGAATGTGTCTGGGTTGTGCATGCCACCATCACCGAAGAAAGAGAAAAATGGATCTGTTCCAAAAAATTCTCTAAACACCGATTCAGGATCACGGAAAGTGAATGAGTTGAAAGATGAGAGATCTTGTCTAGTATGACGGCTACCACCATTAACCAAGCCATCTTTACCATAAGTATCGTAGATTTGTTTCTTTTTTTCTGTGAATATATAAATAAACACATAATGTCGAAGGGGAAATTGAACCAAAATTGAATTTTAAAAAAAATATATATTTAACTTACCATCAGATAATACTTCGTACGCTTCAGAAATTTCCTGAAATTTTCTTTTAGCTTCTTCTTTTTTGTCTGGATTCTTATCTGGGTGCCATTTTAAAGCAAGCCTTCGATACCTGAAAACAAAAATGGATGAAAGAGAGAAATTAATTTGGGTTAATGGTTGATCAAGTAAAACAATAAAGAAAGAAAGAGTAGAAAACAAGGATCAAGATATTGATTTTCTTATAAAAATAATAGGAATACTTACGCTTTTTTAATCTCAACAGCCGAAGCACTTCTTTGCACCTCTAATATCTTATAGTAATCCATTGTGAATGTCAATTAATTTACTGGTGAGCAATGTGAACACAAATGTGACCGAAGATGAACAAAGTCAATTCTGAAATGAGCGAAAGAGTTGAAACTATACTGCCCAAGTTGGAACTGATGAAAAAAGAGAGAACATGCAAGAACTGAAGAGAAGGAAGAGAAGTACAGTAAAAGCAATCCACGCCACTAGCGTCACTAACATCAAATATTACTCTTTGTTTTGACTCCTTTTTCGAGTAACAGGCCTAACCAGCTGTGCTACCCTGGCAACGAGGCACATAAACTTAATTTTTCTAAACTACATCTAATTGTTCAAAATTTGTTATCTAATTAACCAGTAACCAATTCTGTTCCTGTGTTTTTTTCAATTGTCATTAGTGTCCAAATTTGATTAATCACACCTTGAGAAATGTAAGTATAAATTTATCTCAAATTAATCAAGTAAAGATAATTGTCAGCGTTTTAAACCGTTTTTATGCAAATCTTAATTCCAATTTTAACGAATTTACTTTTAAAGAGTCTCATTGAGAATTAGACATTCAGTTAAATATATTTTTCACATGCTATTTAGTTGTTTTATGTTGATATAAGCTTACAGGATTTGATCTTATCTTTTAAAAATTCTTTTTTTTCCATTTCGTTCTTTTAGCGTCATCATGGGTAAACAAAAGTCTTCGGCTTTTTGGTGGTTTATGGTTCATCTTCAGAAGGAAGAATACTATAAAACGAAAAAATTACTATCGATACCACAAGTAAGTGGACCTGCTGGAGATAAGTGGAAGAAGATGTCTCCGGAGGAAAGAAAACCATTTATTGATAAGGATAAAGAATACAAAGCTGGAGAAAGATATCCTTTGAGAGATTTTGCTCAAGAAATGGCAAACCGAAAAGTCAAAGTTGAGCCAAGTTCGATTAAACCAGATCCAGATGTCCCTATCTCCAGACCCGAATCTCGATCTTCAAGTGCAAGTGTCATAGTTACTGTAGAACAGTGCAGAAGAAAAAAGTTGACTGATTCTTTGAGAAAATTTATCGAGAGTGCTGATGATGAAAGAATTATCAACCAAAAATTTTACTTCATTGCTTCAAATGTATTATGTGCCACTAGGAAGGAAGTAGAAGGAAGTGATGAATGCGTCTATGAAGATACTTATTATCCGATGGAAATTGGAATTGCTGAATGGTGTATCTCTGAGGGCATAACATTTTTCATCAATAAATTCACAGACCCTGGAAAGACGCCCACTGCTATGGCCAGAGTAGTTAAGGAACATGCAAAAAAACACGAAATAGAAACATCTGATCTAAGTGTTGCCATTGGCTGTACCAAGGACTTACTCACTGGAGAATATGATATGGATAAAAGAAGAAAGGAATTCGACGATCTAGTTTGTGATTTACATGATATTTTTAACAATTCAATAATTGATGAAGTATATATTGATGAAGGGAAAGCTGTAAAAATTATATTCTCCGAAGCAGACCAAATTTGGCAAAACAAAGGTTGTTTAAAAAAAATTGCTCAAGAGGCTGGTTTAGAGCGTTTTACAGAAGGAATTGAAGTTCTGGATTGTGCTGATCTCTTTTTCTTTTTGAGCCAAAAGAAAGGATACGGAATCAAACCTCTTCTTCTTGATATGCTTGATGGTTCGAAATACGATTATGATGGACGCTGTGATTACCATACAAACAAGGATACACGTTACTGTGCTTTAACGGTGGCCAAAAAACACTGTTGGCTAATTTCTGAACATCTTTGTAAGCTTTATGAAGTTGAGGTTAAGCCAGAACATCTTCCATTAGAGCTTAGGTCAGCCCCTGTAATAGAAGAGGACGATTGGTGCAACTTCAACAAAGAAATAACTACGTCTAAATTTCCTCAAAGAAGAAGATATTTCGATGAAGATTTCGATGAGCCAGCAAGACCTGTCAGCGAAACTAATACTATTTCTTGGCCTACTTCAGTGGGTCGTGGATCAGCTAGAAACTTGCCAAGTGATAATACATCTTTTAAAAGAGAAGCACCCAGCCCTAGGAATGGTACACACTCTTTCCCTGCTACTGATGTTAGATTAATCGAGGGCACGTTGAAAGCAGAACCCAGTGTAACACCTTCAACATCATCTTCATCAGGACACTCGAACGGTGACCACTTACCAAGACTACCTGGTCAAGAACCATGCACTTCACCCTTCAGATCTCGAGATGATAGGAATAACGGATCATCAAACAATGGAGATGTTAAACCATCTGTTCCCGATATACCAAGACCATTAGGTAGAGGACGAGCTCGTCAATCTAGACCTAACTTCTAACGTGTTCTTTAGTTATTGAATTTTTTTCTATTGATATTTTTTTCATTAAATTGAGCATTTGATTTAATTAGTTATCTAACAGCTTAATAAATTATATAGCTGTCCAGTTTTCATCTTTTCATGATTTCATGTTTCATTTCCACTTATTGCTTATAAATGTTTCATTGCAATAATTAAAGTTATTCATATTCATATTCGTCATAGTCTTTAATTTAACTTTTTTACTTGACTGGTTTTCATGGGAAGACAATAGAATGAGATGTTTCAATAGGCATGATAGGGTTGGAACAATGAATGAATCGGTTATGAATATTTTACTATTAATAGAAGGATAAAATTTGAACATTTGGAGGGAAACCGTACAGTTTATCTGTTTTATTAGTTAGTTAGATTAGAAGGTAGACAACGGAATATTTGTTTGCTTGAATTTATTCAACCTTTATCTTTAATATTGAGGGAAATATAAGGAAATAGTTTAACGGAGAGCTTTCTATTAATGTAATAAAAGCTATTCGATAGTAATTTAACTTATTGAATGAATTATTATACAATATTACTGTTACTTATTACTACAATATAATACTTCTTAGGCAAGTTTAAGAAACATTGAGGAAAGTTTTAGTTGGATAACAAAATTTATATCTCGATAAATATAAAAACAAAACAAAGTTATTTACGGGACTCACTAAAAGACCAAAAACGAACATAAATGACATAGTGAACAAACGAACATAGTGAGTCCCATTAGATTACAGTGTTTTCGTGTGCGAGATTTGCTAGATACAAGGTGAGAGAGTCAGGTGTATAAACTGATCAATGTTGCTAAAAAGACACAATTAACACAATTATCACATTCATGCACAAATTGACATAAAAGGTCAAAAACGGGCAAAAATCAATTTCTTACAAATTAAGACTCTGTTGGTTGCTAGAGACATACGAACTGAGTCCAATTTTGCAATTTAAATATTTCTCTGATCAATAGTCTTTGAGAGAATCGAAGTCAAAGTTGTAACTTCGATCGGCCTTTGTTCAGTTGTGTGACCAGATTTTTCCATAAAACTTATTTCTGTGATGTAACTTTTGATTGCTAACCAGAAAATGAACTCATTTTGAGAAATAAAACTTTTCTTTTTTGTAAAACAGATTAGTTCGAATTAAGAGTTTAAGAGCTTCAACTTATTATTTGTACATAAAAATTGTTGCTTCACATCATGAATCTGCTACTTTTTTCAGTTTATCGACAGTTCTCTCGATTTTGACTAATTACCTAAAAATTCGCGGCTCAATACATGTATTTTAAGAATGATATCATCTACAATCATCATTCTTTAACCGTACATAATACGATGCTAGGATTTTCAGGATCTTCAATGCTTTGCAGGTATCAGGATCGATTTTTTCTGGTATTTAGTAATATAATATTAAAGGCCATTGTACAGTCTAATGATAACTCTTACTGTAGAGACTAATGTTGGTTTGTAGGGACATAAAAACTAAGCCAATCTGTGTGATTTATTTAAATATTTGTTTGGTCTACTGCTTTCAAGAGAATCGAGTACAAAGTTGAAACTTCGATCGGCTTTTTTGCAGTTGTCTGACCAAATTTTCCCATAAAACTTATTTGCCTAATGTAAATTTTCATTGCTAACCAGAAAATGAGCTTATTTTAAAGAATAAAGTTTTATGTTTCTCTTAAAACCGATCAGTTCGATTTTAGATTAAACCTGATTCTTCGAGTGATCGTGAAAGTTAGAGAGTTGAAACTCATTTTCTGTCGATGAAAGTTGTTGATGAATACCAATATGTAATTACTTTTTTCAGTTTATGAACAGTTCTCTTTATTTTGGCCATTCGTCTGAAAGATTTGAACATCGATATTTCGATAGTGGTTGCACTTACAATCATCATTCTTTCAACAATTATTAGATTCTATCATAAGATTTGTTATAGCAAAATATTAGATGATCATAGGTCCTAAGAAATATGGTTGCATTGTATTAATACTTCTACTTATAATGCATATAATGTTTTATATGCTGTTACTTTTGATTCTTGTTTACAATAATGCAGAGAAGCAAATGATTGTTCAAACAGAAGCTAATGGTGCTTTGGATGGATATTAAAGTTATTAGGTTAGATTTTTCTGGTATTTATTTATATTATATCATATTCCATTGTACAGGCTAATGATCGGTCAAAGAATGGCGATTGTAAGCGGTACCAATCTCGAGATATCGATGTTCAAAGTTTAAAGACGAATGGCCAAAATATAGAGAACTGTCCATAAATGAAGCAAAGTATTAACACATTGATGTTCACCAACGATTTTTATCGACAGAAAATGAGTTTTAACTCTCTAACTCATACTGTCACTCGAAAATTCGGGTTTAATCTAAAATCGAACTGACCTGTTTTACGGAAAAAGAAATGTTTTATTTCATGATATTAGGACATTTTCTGGTTTATCATGTAAAGTAGCGTCAGCTTGGTGAGTATCTTGAAAAAGTCTCTGTCCAAGAAGGAACAAAAAGCGATCGAAGTTTTAACTTTGAACTCGATTTTCTCGAAAACCATTTGTCAGATAAATATTTAAATCGCACTCAGGACTTTGTTTTTACGCCCCTACAAACTTCCTAAGTCTAAATTTGAAGGAAATTCATTTTTACCAGTTTTTGACCATTTGTTTTATTCGTTTCAAATTGTATTTTAGCGTCGTGTCAAAATCTGGTAAAAATCAAATTCAATAAAATTAAAACTAATCACGGTTGTAGGCAAATCAAAATTGAGTCTATTAGTGTGATTTAAATATTTCACTGACAAATGGTTTTCGAGAAAATCGAGTTCAAAGTTAAAATTTCGATCGCTTTTTGTACCTTCTTGGACAGAGACTTTTTCAAGATACTCATTTAGCTGGCGTTACTTTTGATGATCAACCAGAAAATAAACTTATTTTGGGCAATAAAACTTTTCTTTTGCTGTAAAACAGTTTAGTGCAATTTCTAATTAAACCGAACGCTTTCTGTGACCGTAAAAGTTAGGAGGCTGAAACTTATTGATCATACATAAAAATTGTCGCAAAAAATCATGGTGCTAATACTTTTTTCAGTTTATGGACAGTTCTCTTGATTTTGACCAATTACCTGAAAACTTTGAACCTTAATATTTCGAGAATGGCCAAACTTACATTCATCATTCTTCGACCAAACACTAGATTGCATTATGGGCTATAACATGATATGACTAAATATCGAATAAAAACCCGATTTAATTCATTTAATAATGAATATCCCTCTAACACCTAAGAGTTTGTGTTTGTTTTAACCCAAATCTTCTTTAAGCTGCATTTAACTGCTTATTATAACAAATCAAGCTCAAATGTAAGCAATATAAGTAATGAAACGCTATAGCTTATTCTGTAAGATCTTTAATATTTCGATATTGCCATATATTTTAGCTCATAGTTAAGTCTAATGTTTGGCCAAAGAATGATGAATGTAAGTTTGGCCATTCTCGAAATATTGAGGTTCAAAGTTTTTAGGTAAATGACCAAAATCAAGAGAACTAGCTCCAAACTGAAAAAAGTATTTAATCCGTGCTATGTACCATCAATTTTTATGTATAAATAATAAGTTTGCACTCGCTGAGTTTCACGGTCAAAGAATGCGATCGGTCCAATTGAAAATCGAACTGTTCTGTTCTACAGAAAATATAAACTTTTATTTCATGTTATAAGTACATTTTCTGGTTGAGTATCAAAAGTAGCGCTAGTTAAGTGAAGTAGCATGAAAAAATCTGCTTCCATAACCGTCCAAAAGCAGATCCAAGTTTCAATTTCGAACTCGATTTTCTCGAGCACTATTTGTCAGAGAAATATTTCAATCACACGAAGGGACTCAGTTTTATTGTCCTTACAAAACTACCAAGTTTAAACCCTTTACTCAAACGTTCGAGTCTTTGGCAGCACTCTTTGCATAACATCTGAAAGTTGAACCAGAAAATTTCTTTATTTACCAAGAAATGGGTTAAGATGAGTTTGTTTTGTTGAATAAGTTGTTGATCGTACATTTAAAAGCAAATCATCATGACCCAAATGTATTAATGGACACTTATTAAGCTGGTTTTAATTATTTATTAGTAAAGGATTAAATTGGTCAAAAAATAATGTTTTTAGACGATGCCATTATCAAAATATTTAGTCTCAAAATTTTAGGCAATTGGTCAAAATCACGAAAGCTGTCGCTAAATTGTAAAGAGTATTTGATCCATGTTGTATATCATCAATTTTTATGTACGATTGAATAGTTTCAGCTTCCTAACTTGTACGGTCACAGAAATCGTTCGGTTTAATTGAAAAGCGAACTGATCTGTTTCACAGAAAAAGCAAAGTTGCTTTTCTCAAAATAAGTTCATTTTCTGGTTAGCAATTAAAAGATACATCACAGTAATAAGTTTTACGGAAAAATTTGGTCAGGTAACTGCACAAATGGCTATCGAAGTTTCAGCTTTAACCTCGAATTTCTCGAAAACTGTTGATGAGAGAAACTTTTAAATCGCACAAAAGGACTTAGTTTTCTGCACCTACAAACCAACATTAGTTTTGAAATTGTCACAAAATAAACAAATTTATTTTTACCAGTTTTTGCCCATTTGTTTCCCATTTTGTCTAATTGTTGGATGAATGTGAAAATTGTGTCTTTTTAGTATCAATGAATCAAATTGGTAAACATTTGTTTTAATGTGCTTTCTAAGCCATCGTCATCGGTTATTTTTAGGTGCATTTGATGAAAATTATTTTTGATTACATTTCAAGCCTCGGATCCTTCATCGTATTTTAATGTGAATTTAGAAGTTCAAATTACAATTATATTCGAAATTTATTACAATTAGATTTATTCGAATCAATGATCACTTGTTCCTACTGATTCTGATTCTCATTGTTATTTTGATTACTGTTGACTACATTACCCTTCACATCGTTATTATTGTTATTATTATTGTTGCTTCTTTCCGTTGCGCCAAAAATTTCTTCCTCTAAAGGATCAGAGTGATTGGCTTTTCGTTGTTCACAGTTACAAACGCAGCCTTGGGACACATGGTTGGAATGCACGCTAGTCATGCTATTATCGATATGATGATTTTCAACGGGCCAAGGCCAGGTTTTATGAACAACTATGTCAGGATTGATTGGCTCATGAATGAACTTATGGCTTCTCATCGTGAGCGAATCATTAGCTATAACATGAGGTGAAATACCATTGGCGTGTTCAATTTCTGATAAAATCCATTTCGAATGTGATGTTACATTAACATAGAGCAAAGTTCTTGCCGGACAACCAATAGGATCTATTAAAAGACCTTTAAGATAAATCTGACCTTTTTCATGAACAATAATGGGTAAACCAGGAACCAGATAACATTTGTGCGTTTCAGCGGCAGCAAGGGAACCACAAACTACCGAGGCATCTTTAGGCTTTGTAACCTTACATTTATCTGGATCGTCAATAGTAGTAATTTGAACTGGTTTATGAATACCCAAACTGTACAAAATTGTTGGGTCTTTAGCACGCATATTGAAAACATAATTGATTGAAGGCGTCTGTACTTTGCTCACTGGTTTCTCCAAGTAAACAATGGCCAAGCTAGTTGTGTCTTTTTGATGTGATTTTGGGTTGTAACCAGGAACAAAGTGAACTCTGTCAATCGGAAAAACGTTCAAGTCTTCCTCACAGTGAGGCAAATAATTGGGTATATTTGGGTATATTTTAATCTTTGTTTTACCTCTGATGGAAATAATTTGTAAATTAGTTTCTCGACAATCAGTAAAGTTGCATTTTTACTTACTTTTTAACACAGTTTGCCAGTGTCAAGATACTTTTCGGAGTCAAGAAAACTCCACCGCATAGTTTCTCACATCCTTCGTGTATTACCACTGCCATGAATGCAGGATCGTCGGGAATATGGCCACGCACCTCTCTAGTACTCCGTTTCAAGTGTGGTTCAGGAATATCGGTTTTGTTTGGTACAACATGAGCACTTGCTTGGTAAACTAAGAGACTCAAGTAGAGACAAATTTGCTTCATTTTGGTACAATGCTGTTATCACAAAAAAAACCCAATTTCAAGTTGATCTTTCAAGATCACCTCTTTTCGTCTAGTATGGATAAACACAAATTTCAATTTGACTTGAAAAAAATTAAAAGGTTACTTATAACCAATGATCACAGGTGTAAATTTAGCTCATTATTTTCATCTTGGCGATTTAATTACAATTTTTTTAAGTAATAACCATATTTGCATCTTGTTGTTATTAAAAAGTGTTGTAAGAGTTTTAAATTAAAGGCCAATTCATTGACTTTTTCAGATTCAATTACAACTCAGTAAATCAGTAATTTAATCGGTAATATTGCTTACTACTCTTGGTAAGTTTATCAAGGATTTTCAATTGTTTTATAATATTTCAATAATATTTTTAAAACTTGACCAGAAGACAAAATGAAAATATAAACAGTATTATTGTTAAACTTGAAATTCAGATTCTAACAAACTTATTGAAATGGGAGATTTGATGAGATTTCAAATGTATTAAAAATGAAGTCTTAAATGATGAAACTTTTAAACAATAGATTTGATATTAAAGACAGAACAAAATTAAACTCTTTTATTTGATAAATCAACTAAAAAATTAAATTACATTAATGCTTAATCAAAACTGAAAAGAATGACTTTTTCCAATTTTTCAATTTGGTAAAAAAGTAACTGTAATAGTCATAATAGTCTTCATAGTCATGGTCATTGATAATATTTCCAATAATGTGTCCGATGCCATTGCCTTTACCTCCAGACCCGCCGCCTCCACCTCCACCTCCCCCCACATTTTCATTCCCATCACTATTATCATTGTTATCTTCGTCAGTATCAGGCGTATCAATATTTCCATCGTCCTCTCCATCCTCATCGTCACCTTCAATGATATTAACATTATTATTGTTGTTATTATTGTTGTTATTGTTATTATTAGACGGTCTTTTATTATCGCCATCACCACCTTCAACACCTCCACTTCCTCCACTGTCTCCATCGACCGTCAAGTTGCTTTCACCATTGTCTTCATCATTGTCTTCACCATTGCCTTCGCCATTGCCATCAACATTGCTATCGATATCGCCATTACCACCTTCAACACCTCCATTGCCTACACTAACTCCACTACCACCACTGCTTCCACTATCTCCATCACCTCCACCAAATCCATCATCCTCATTGACCACTGTTGTGCCAATCCCTGAATCATTTCCATTTTCAGTTGCAATTCCATCTTTACCATTACTATTGTCACCATTATCGGCCGTAAAATTGCCTTTGCCTTTGCCATTGACTTCGCCATCGCCATTTCCATTATAAATACCATTATCACTGCCAATACCATTGCTGTCACCAATGCCATCACCACCTTCAACAGCTCCACTAACTCCATCATCCTCATTGACCACTGTTGTGCTAATCCCTGAATCATTTCCATTTTCAGTTGCAATTCCAACTCCATCTTTACCATTACTATTGTCACCATTTTCGGCCGTAAAATTGCTTTCGCCGTTGTCTTCGCCGTTGTCTTTGCCATCGCCATTTCCATTATCACTGCCATTACCATTGCTGTTACTATCGCCTTCACCAACTCCATCACCCTCATTAACCACTGCTATGTCAATCCCTGAATTATTGCCATTTTCATTTACACTTCCATCTTCACCATTATCGGCCGTAAAATTGCCTTCACTGTTGTCATCGCCATTTCCATTACCACTGCCGTCCTCACTGTCGTGACCACTGACACTACCATTGCCATCGTTATTTCCACAAGCATTTCCATTTCCAACGTGACATTCAGTACTATTCAGTACAGATCCATTGTCAGTATAATTGGTTCCTTCATTTTCATCGACACTTTCAGATTCAACATTGCCATCACCAATGCCATTACCACTGCCATTGCTATCGCTATTACCATTTCCATCACCACTTCCATCGCTATTGCCATTGCCATTACCACTATTGTCGACGTGATCGTTTCCATTCTCCTCAACTGGCCCTTCGCCATTACCAGAACCTTCAGGATCTTTTTCTGGTTGGTTTTCATCATCATCGTGATTGTTATTATTGTTGTTGTTATTATTATTACTGCTACCATCACCATCACCCATGTTATTATTATTATTATTATTGTTATTATTGTCATCGCCACCATTGCCGTTGTTGTTATTGTTGTTATTATTATTGTTATTACTGCTACTAGAATCACCGTCAGAAGCTAAATTATTGTTATTGTTATTATTATTGTGATTATTATCACCCAAATTTAAATTCGTATTGATATTTTCAACATTTTCACTCATATTGACAATGTTAGTTTGATTGCCTACATGATGCTGTTGGTTAACATTGATATTAACAATCTGGATTTGTCCATGGTTAACATTAACAGGCAATGAATTGGGTAAATGTGGAGCAATATTAACCAGATTAATGGACATATTTCTCAATTCATTAACTATCCAAGTCATTTGGGAAGTTACATTAGCTATCAACGTTTTCGCCGTTTTACAGTTTTCCCCTACACAAGAACCATGAGCAATTATTCCAATCAAATAGCGCTGAGGAATCGTGGGTATCGATGATGGTGATAAATTTAAAGACGGTGTCAGTGCTGGTGGTATAAATGATGAGAATAGAGTTGATTCCCAAACAATTGGAAATCCTTCATCTTTAAGGCAACTGCCATTAACCAATTCAGTTGAAGCACAAAACGTTTTATCAGGTAAAGTTTGCGTGTAATGCTTTTGGCATGAGCTTGAATTAACAATCAAAGTGGACATTTTAACCAGATTAGATGCATGGCTAGCAGACCAATAGTATAATGAATGGTTTTCCTGTGAGTCGAAGGCACGATTAACAGTATTATTGTCAGCAATCAAACCGATTGGCTCTACATATTGATGAGCTGAATTGTACAAAATAATCAATGCCAAATTATCAGAGCTGAGGCCATCATTGGTTAGATTATGGCTGGGATGAAATTTGATCCTAAATATTGGATAAGGAATCTGTTCCCAGTGGCAATCTGGTAAATGGTTATCCAGATTGGGATAAACACGAAGTCTACCAATTCCTCTATGAGACAAGAAGTTTCTCGTTAGTAACATTTAATTAAAGCAATGCACTTTACTTACATTTTAGCACAATTGGCCGTTGTTAAGATAACTGTTGGTGCAATAAAGACTCCACCACAAGAAGATTGACAGTTGTTTGAATAAATAATGGCCATAAATTTATCGACTGCAGGTAAAACATGGTTAAATCTAAGTGAAATGTTTTGGAATCCCAACTTTTGATGGTTAATTGTACTTGACTCTGATAGAGCAATTAAACAGGTTAAATGTAACAAAATCAAAATATTCATATCATCAAGAATGGCCTTTAAAGATTTGAATTTTGTTTTTAAATTACAAGATTTTAACTTTCTTACTTCAATATTGTCGCTTCAATATAGAGATTTTACCCAAATCCAGTTAGTTTTTCATTTATTACTTTAGCTAGTATTTTATTACACTCAACCATATTTGCATTTCTCATTAATTGCTTGTTATTAAATGAAAATTTTAATGTTTAACACAGCAAAAAACCAATTAACATTGACTAAATCAGTAATTTACATTATTTCGAATGAAAAACTTGGGTCTTTGGAAATGTGGTTGCTACTAAAATGACAATGAACACAATTGTCACATTCGTGAAACGCTTAGACAAAAATTGAAAATTTGAAACTTCGATGGGCTTTTGTACGGTTATGGAAGCAGATTTTTTCATGCTACTTCACTTAACTAGCGCTACTTTTGATAATCAACCAGAAAATGTACTTATATTATGAAATAAAAGTTTATATTTTCTGTAAAACTGTTCAGTTCGATTTTCAATAAAAACGATCATATTCTGTGACCATAAAAGTTAGAGAGCTCAAACTTATTATTTATGCATAAAAATTGATGGTACATAGCACGGATTAAATACTTTTTTCAGTTTGGCGATAGTTCTTTCGATTTTGGTCATTTACCTGAAAACTTTAAACCTCGATATTTCGAGAATGGCCAAACTTACATTCATCATTCTTTGTCAAAACATTAGATTTTACTATGGGCTAAAATATATTGCGATATCGAAATATTAAAGATCTTACAGAATAAGCTATAGCATTTCATTGCATATGTTGTGAGATTTGAGCTTGATTTGTTATAATAAGCAGTTAAATGCAGCTTAAAGAAGATTTGGGTTAAAGAAAACACAAGTCTTAGGTTTGTTAGAGGCATATTCATTATTAAATGAATTAAATCGGATTTGATTGCATTATGGGCTATATCATGATATGACTAAATATCGAATAAAAATCCGATATTTAGTCATATCATGATATAGCCCATAATGCAATCTAGTGTGCAATCAAAGAATGATGAATGTATGTTTGGCCATTCTCGAAATATTGAGGTTCAAAGTTTTTAGGTAATTGGTCAAAATCAAGAGAACTGTCCATAAACTGAAAAAAGTATTAGCACCATGATTTTTTGCGACAATTTTTATGTATGGTCAATAAGTTTCAGCCTCCTAACTTTTACGGTCACAGAAAGCGTGCGGAATGTTCAGAAATCGCACTAAACTGTTTTACGGAAAAAGAAAAGTTTTATTTCTCAAAATAAGTTGATTTTCTTGTTGACCATCAAAAGTAACGCCAGTTAAATGAGAATCATGAAAAAATCTCTTTTCATTATTGTACAAAAGGCGATCGAAATTTGAACTTTGAACTCGATTTTCTCGAAAACCATTTGTCGGAGGAATATTTAGATCGCACTAATGGACTCAATTTTGCTATGCCTACAACCGTAATTAGTTTTAATTTTATTGAAATTGATTTTTAACAGATTTTGACACGGCGCTAAAGTACAATTAGGAACGAATAAAACAAATTGTCAAAAACTGCTTAAAATGAATTTCCTTTAAATTTCCACTCATTAGGTTTGTAGGGGCGTAAAAACACAGTACTGTTGTGCGATTAAAATATTTCTCCGACAAATGATGTTCGAGAAAATCGAGTTCAAAGTTCAAATTGCGATCGCCTTTTGTACAATAATGTGAAAAGATTTTTTCATGATACTCATTAAGTTGACGTTACTTTTGATGATCAACCAGAAAATGTACTAATATTATGAAATAAAACTTTTCATTTCCTGTAAAACAGATCAGTTCGATTTTAGATTAAACCCGATTTTTCGAGTGATAGTAAGAGTTAGAGAGCTGAAACTCATTTTTGATCAATAAAATTTGTTGATAAACATCAATGTGTAGATAACTCTCTCCATTTATGAATAGTTCTCTTTATTTTGGCCATTCGTTTAAAAACTTTGAACATCAATATCTCGAGATTGGTGGTGGTTGTAATCGCCATTCTTTGACTGATCACTAGTCTGAACAATAGGCTATAACATAATATAAATAAATAACAGAAAAAATCAGATCTAATGCCTTTAATAACGAACAACCATTAAGCACATTATTAGGTTTTGTTTGAACAATCATTTGCTTCTATGCATTATTGTAAACAAGAATCAAATCTATTATAATAGCAACATATAATACATTATTAGTACAAGTATTAATACAATTTTACCATATTTTTAGGACCTATGATCATCTATTATTTTGCTATAACAAATCTTATGATAGAATCTATTAATTGTTGAAAGAATGATGATGTTAAGGGCAACCACAATCGAAATATCGATGTTCAAAGCTTCAAGACGAATGGCCAAAATAAAGAGAACTGTTCATAAACTGAAAAAAGTAACTACATATTGGTATTCACCAACAACTTTCATCGACCAAAAATGAGTTTCAGCTCTCTAACTCTTACTGTCACTCGAAGAATCAGGTTTAATCTAAAATCGAACTAAGCGGTTTTAAGAGAAACAGAAAACTTTATGTTTTAAAATAAGCTCGTTTTCTGGTTAGCAATGAAAATTTCCATTAGGGAAATAAGTTTTATGGGAAATCTGGTCACACAGCTGCACAAAAACCAATCGAAGTTCCAACAATGTACTCGATTTTCTCGAAAACAGTGGACCAAACAAATATGTAAATCGCACAGATGGGCTTAGTTTTTCCATGTTGGTTTGTATGTCCTTACAAACTAACATTAGTTTAAATTTATTTTAACCAGTTTTTGGCCAGTTTTTTCATTGTTGTCAATTGGTACTTAAATTATGACAATTATGGTAATTGTGTCTTTCTATTAACAATTAAATCTACCAAGTTATCTTTTAACTTCAACTACAGTAAAGTTAGTCTCAAGTGAACTAAAAAGGGTTAGACTTTAGTTAATTTTCAGGTTGCCCCATCTCCATCATTTGTTTTCAGAGATACTGAACAATAGGAAACTGGGTGAAATGAAATTTGATATAAGAGCACTTATTTTTTTGTTAGTTGACAATTTTGACATTTCTTTCTATTTTTCAACTCAAGCCAAACCACTACAGTCTAAAGGCTTGAATAATTAAAAATTCCCATAAATGTTCAGAAAAATGAAAGCCACAAACCTAAGACTATCCTTGAAAACAATTGAGTTTGTTGTCTGAAGAAACGTTATGCTGAGTGAATCAAATTAAGTGTAATGACAGGTTTCATCATGTTAGGTAGTTTAATGATTAGCGATTTCATTAACAAAGATTTGGGAATTTTGTTATTCTCAACAAAGGAATTCAATTGCAAGTCGAAAATGACAGAACTTGAAAAAAGCAAAATTGATTAGTTGAGCAAACAAAAAGACGCTCAGGAAGATCATCAAATATATTACAATATAATACAAATAATCAATTCGATTCAACGGAGGCTCATTTCTCAAAACACCTTTGTAACATTTCATTTTAGACTCGTAGAGATATTAAACAAAATTAATGACTTCTCCTCGAGCCTTCATTTTCATTATAAAATAGATGTTGAATACAAATAAAAAAGAGTCGACTTTACAACAAAGGATTGAGTGCTCTTTGTTTACTTCGCGTTTGTTACACTTTCCAAGTGCTTTCATCAATCCGACTCAGTCGATTATTTCGTTTGATTGATTACAAAATATGAATCAAGTTGTTGTATGAGCTGTTGATAGTTTGAGTAAATTAAAGTAAAATTGCGTACATTAGCAAGTATATAAAGTCTGGAGGATCGGCAAGAACCAGCACAAGTCAATTTCAATCCAAACGTCAAAGTACTAAAATCTATTTCAAATTTGTTCCTAAAGTTTATACTTCTATTCCTACACTCATCATGCTTCGACAAAGTTTTACCTTCATCTTATTATTGTCTGTAATGTCATTTATTCACAGTCAACCAAACCCTACAGAAATGATGAATAAAATGTGTGAAGGAGGAATGAAAGCAATAACAGCTGGAACTTTTGAGAAGGGAATCAAAGACAGGAATGAATGCAGGGTAAGTTTATGTCCACTTCATTGATTACTGATTATCCCCAATCAATATTCATTGCTATCAAATAATTTAAATCATTAAACATTAGGAGAAAGCCGTATCTAAAGAAGTACTTGCTGCTGTGAACAAATGTGAAGAGCTTATGCCAATGTCGACCGCTGATCAAGTGAAGCAAGTTTGCTCTGCTAAGGATGCTAATGTAGCCAAACTAACAGAGGTAATTATCAAAATCAAATCAATCTGATTGATCCTCTTTTGCTCTTGAAATACTTCTAATATCATTTTATTTCGCTTTTTCTTATTAGAAATTGAAATGTGAAAAAGCAGCACTTGGCGATGATATGCCTAAATTTGGAGTAAGTATAACAGAATCTCTTCTTAAAATAACAATTCTAACCATATATTTCAATCTCTCTTTTCTCAAAAATGAACAATAGGAATGCTGTAAGAAAATAAATCCAGATAATGCTTGAAATAGTCCAGGAAATTTCAACTAAAACCTCAACCTAAGCAAAATGGTTCTTTCAATGGGTCTGTTGTTTTTCCGTTGATTTGGTCTGATTTCTTTCTATTAGCATCACAATTTATAAAATGTTGAACACAAATTTTTCATCTAAATAATAAATATTCAATTGCAAACAATTTCTTTTAATGCGTTCGTTTTATTTCGTGTCTGTATAATCGTTACAAAAATAGAGATTTTGACAGTGAAAACAAAAAATGATCAAGAGCTATCCGATTAATAACTATCAAGTCAATTAACCAATGCATCTATAAAAAACGATAATTTCTGGTGACTTCTTATAATTTTAATTTAGACTCCATATTAAATTAAATATTAAATGAACCCCAAACTTCGCCAACATGCTTTTTGGGTAAGTTTTAAAAAACATTGATTAAAGTTTTCGCTGGATAACAAAATTGGTATCTCGATAAATAGCAAAAACGAGCTATTTACACTAATGATTTGTTGATGTTTCTGATGTTCCAAGATTTTTATAAACATTTTTACTGACATAACCGTTGTTCCTTATTATCCATAACCGTTATTATTTGTTCATCAAACATTAATTAATTATGAACTTTTGCTTTCGGCTTCATATAGTGTTAAGTAGTATCGTCTTGTATTGATCTTGACATCTTTTAATGTTTTTAATATGAACATTGATAAATTGCCTGATGACTGCTTATTACATATTTTCAATTTTTTCGATAAATTTGAGACACTTCAAGATTGCTCTCAAGGTAAGTATAATTTTCATCTGAATTAAAGTGAATAATGTAGGAAATAATCAGCTCATTTCCTCTGTCACTGGATTCAAGCAAATATTAAACAAATTGTCAATATCTCTCTACTGGAGCCTACTTGAATCAACACCTTTCTCAACACACATCCATTACTATTTAATCCTCCATATGATTGTACTTTCCACGCCACACATAACTGGCACCGATTGAATGATTTGGTGAAAGCTTCGAACCAAATGAACTATTATTTGATATCGTGTTAATTTCTTCATCTTTTGTAGTGCTTAGCTGCTCAATATTTTAAACTTTGGTGTTTTTACGGTGTAAAAAGTATCCTAGCCTTCAGCTATGCATGTGTCGAGTCGTGTGAATGGTGTGTTTTCAAGTAGGACTTCTCTTTACTTAATTTGTTTCAAATATTTTAGTTTGCGAAAGATGGCAATATTTAGTACTTCAAAGACTATCAAATGTTAAATATTTAACGGGTAAGTTAAATTTTAAAGTGAACATAACTTTGATTACAAATCAATTAGGATAATATTAATAATAATAATAAGTTTTTGGTTTATTTTCAATTTAGATTCCGCAAACATTGAGTACTATCCTGTTAGCAGTACTATATTATATCGAGAGGATGATCGCATTGGCCAGATTGAACTATCAGAATGGTTTCCTAAACTTAGGGTTAGTTTAAATGAATTTTAAAATACAGGAGACAGATTATGATATCTTAAGAGTCTCATGAAGTTTATTTTTCTCTAGATCATAGAAAATTCAGGGAAAGCTGATTGTTTCTCGAATCCAACCGTCGATGGACTGCTTTTGACCTCTGCAAATTTAGAAAACTTTACTTATTGTAATCCATCACTTAAAATGTTAGCAGTTCACGATCCCTTTGATTTTTTTACCAACGATATCCAAGGACCAACGTTAAATCAGCTGTATGTGAGATATTGTCCTATTTCCCAGTTTGGTAAATATGCTAAATATTTTCCAAATTTGAAGCGACTTCATATTTCGAACTTTACACGTAAGTCAAATTTGTTGGCGTATTAAATTAGATTATTCACATTTTTCTTTATCTTTTTGCTTATAAAAACAGTTGACAATTATGAAGACGGTGTCTACACTGGACCCACTCTTGAAAAGTTAGAAATTTTAGAAGCAATTGGCCATTCTCAATGGGGATCTCGTTATGATTATCATGGATTCAGCCTTGCCGATCATTGTCCAATTTTGAAAAGTGCACATCATTATATCGATCGTGATGAAGAGTTTTATGCCAACATTGGAATTAAAAATCATTTTCTAGAAGATTTAGTTATAGATCTTGTTAGTATTTTTTAATAATCTCAGATTTTGCTTTTCTCTATGTTACATTTATTATTATTACTTTTATTACAGAATGTCACGCCAGCTTGGTCGATTTTAAGACGTGTATTGTACAAGTACCCAAATTTGAAGCATTTGGCAATCAGAGAAGATTTTGACACGGGCATCACAAATGAAAATGTTATTGAAATTATACAAAGGTTTCCTCATATAACTCTTATTGACATTAGAAACTCAGAAAAAGTGGACGCAAATGCAACAAGATACATTGATCAATTCTGTAGAGACCATAATCGTTCAATTTCATTATTTTACCAAAAAAGGCCTAAGATTACCAAGAGCTGGCCTAATTTATCTGCTAAAAGTACTCGTATTGGTCGCGGACTCGATTTCATGAAACACTGTTTTCTAAAAGATTATAATGGTTTGCCATATCTGTTGGATCCTGATGAATAAGGAACAGGCAACATATAAGTTCGAATCACTAAGAAGGATCTATGAATTGTCAATTTTTCACACTTTCCTGTCAAATTACTCCGATGTGCAGCAACTCGAATCCATTTTTCGGGATCCAATTTTATTCTTACAAGAGTGAAAAGATTGCTACAAAACACGATAGGTCCTTTGTCTAGGATGTTTGTCAAGTTGAATTTAACCTGAAATTTAACAGAAAATTAATATAAGACCATAATGGTTGACATTCATGCAGGTTTGTTTCAATTTCTCAGTGCATCCATTTGTTTTTCTCCAGTACTTAATGGACATTTAAGATTGAATGAATTGTAAAACGACTATTCAAGGGTATCCTGATTGTTAGAAACGATTGAATATCAAAATTATATTTTTCTTGAAATCCAAATATTGCCATTTTAAACGTGTTGTTGCTCCGAAACTTGTAACCCTAACCTTCAAAAACTTTTAAATTTCTGGCGGCTGTTTCTGAAAACCAGTCAAATTTTTTCCGTTTGTTCAGTATTATTTGTCATCATTGGAGTTTGGAGTTTGGGGTGCCCATGATTTAGCTATTTAGCACCTTAACTGAGCAAGTATGAACTAAACTTCATGGAGTGTAAAGAGTAAATGCGAATATGAAAAAAGAACATATCGATAAATGAGTGAAATAATTAGGTGAGCCATTAATCAATGCAATCAAGTTTATTTCATACAGAAATAAACTCGATTGCATTTCTTTTATCAATATCAATATGCAATTTTGTCTGATTAATACATGTTTAATATTTTTTCGAATTGGAATGAGTTTGGTAAAGTTTGGATATCAAACTAAGCGAATGATTAATCGTGTTCGTAAGAGCTATGGCCAACGATGAGCCCTGAAATTTCTCGAGCGACCTTTTCGTTAGAAGCAGCCAATATGCGCCGGGACATTAAATTAAAAGGCCCACCTTCTGGGTCAAGAACAGTCCCGCCAGCTTCCTGGATGATAATCGAGCCAGCAGCTAAGTCCCAACAATGTAGTCCATACTCAAAATAAGCATCAACATAACCATTAGCCAGCATGCATGCATTAAGAGCAGCTGATCCTAACGATCGCACTCCCTGACATTGCCATCCAATAGCAGCTAAATTTCCGAAATAAATTTTCTGATGCTCATCGGTTCGATTGCTTCCTAGTTCATTGATTAGTAAGGCTGATTTGAAGGAATCACAAGGTCTTACGTGGATAGGCTCACCATTACAATAAGCACCTTGACCTTTTTTAGCAGTATATAATTTGTTCAAGAAAGGTGAATAAATCAAGCCAAAAATGACCTCTTTGCCAACAGTTAATCCAATGCTGATGCAGCAAAAAGGAAAGGTATGGACAAAATTCATGGTTCCATCAATAGGATCAATAATCCATGTTGGACAGTCAGTCAAGTTGACTTTACCAGTAAAAGATTCTTCACCAATAAATCTGTGATCCGGGAATTTTTTCTTAAGCTCGTCAAAAACTAGCTTTTCCACGGCTTTATCTGTTTCAGTAACCAAATCAACAGGAGATAGCTTGGTTTCAATATTAGTATTTCGTCCACTTGTTTCCATCATCATGAGTCCAGCCCTTTTAGCCAATTCAATGGCAATTTTTTCACATTCTCTGAGTTGATCAGGATTCATATTGGTTGTCTGAAGAAATACAATAAAATTAGCTTTAAAACAGGTCTTGTCATGTCATAAATTGAATGCATCAAAAATAGATACTTACATAGGTTCAGATTGCACACTAAATTTGATAAAGAGATCCAGAAAACCAGCGAGTAGGTGATGTTTACAGTCTCTCAACTATCTGGTATATTATTTAAACAAGATCAATTGAATACAGTTTTACCGTATTCAGATAGCTGTTAGATTCCAGATCCTCCTAGATTTTAAATGAAAGAAAATCAAATAAGATCAATAGAACGAAACAATAGCAGCCATTGTCACAACTAATCTTTTCGAGATTTAACTCAATGACATATTGGGACAAGAGATTGGACAGTTAATTTGATAATAAAGCAATCAATATAAAAAACAAGTTAATGGATAAAATGAAATTAAACTCACTTTGGAGATACCAAAACATATGATAAGATGAAAAACAATAAAATTCACAAGTCAGAGCATGAGAGCATGAAGAAAAACAGTTACAGACATCAATGGAAAAAATCAATCAGATAGAGAAGAAGCCATATGAAGAACTAATAGATTTAGAAGGAACAGGAAGATTTATCTTCAATCAGTATATTTAAACAACGATTGTGAGGTGATATGATGGTTAGATGCACGAGGGCGAAGCCCGAGTGTATTCACTATCATATCACCGAGCAAGAGTTGTTTAAAAAGCTTACATAATGAAAGTAAAAGCTTAAGACACAATTGGTCAATTTATGGTTAAAAAATTTTATCTCTTCTTCATTGATAAGATTTGTTGGATTTAACCAAAAATTGAATTCAATTATTTCATTTAACTCTCTATGGGTTTGTTAACCAACCCATTCAAATAACTAGTGCTAATAACCAAAAATATCAGTTGCAATAACTAGCGGTTATCAAGCACTGAGCTATGTAATTTATGTTACATAACTTATGTAACATAAGTTAATTTTTCAGCATATTTGAAAAAAAGATTAAAAAAATTAGATTCAATGCAATAAAAAAGTTTCTCCGATACCGGGAATCGAACCCGGGCCTTCTGGGTGAAAGCCAGATATCCTAACCACTAGACAATATCGGATCACATAGTCTCAGATGGATTTATTTTTATCATCAATTTAATTTATTTTTATTTTTCCTGGTTTGAATTTACTCTACATAATTTTTAGCGCATATTTTGTTTAAATTGTACACTTGAAACTCTTATAATTAGATATTTATCTTATATCAAATCTAATGATTCCCTTCTGTAAGAAAAGGGAAACATTTATATTGTCTTTGTAAATTGTCTACATTGAAGTGAAATTTAAAATTTTTCGAGATTCCATTTCAATCTCACTCTTGAATATTTACTTTAAATTTAGCGTGATTAATGCATACAAGAACCATAGCTTCCTTTAATCTTAGGTAATAAACTGGTTAATATTAATAAATACAACTAAATCTGGGTAAAATGGTTATTAAAACATTTCCATTAGCATTTTAATGCTGATTGTAATATTCAAAAATTTAAAGCACCGAAAAATGGTGATAACACTCGGCCATTGATTTGGCAAAAGTTATTGCCGTTAATCAAATTACCACATGTAGTTGGTTGCTTGGTCAACCAACTCGACTCCAGAGCCTGGCTTCTTGAACTTTGACATGGATTGACTTTTATTGTCGATGGTTTTCCAGTGATTGTTGACTCTAGTTGCACATGATTTACTATGTTTATCCTGTTGCGAAAAGTCACTCTTTTCACTCCGATTGGGTGAACCTAAATTTACAATTCGTTTAAATCAAAATCAAAATACAAACCAAAAAGCAAACAAAATGTCTTACCTAGACTGGAGGCCTGTCTAAATTTGCTGTTCATTATTGATCACTTTTTTCAATCAAAATTTTAAACTGAAACCAGCTAACGCTGAATGGCTTTAATAACTGGTTAAGATCCATACTTAGCTCCATGAATCACATGAATATTGTTTACAATTATCAGATTACCTCACAAGTGCGTTACATAACTTGGTTCATTCACTCAGTCATTTGCTGATCATTGATACAAAGATTCAATATTGGTTTGAAAAAGAATCCGGAAGAAAATTAAAAATCGAAGATTCTTCCTTTCGCATCGCTCACTGTGCTCATATTTTGATTCAGTCTTGAAGCTTTGACTCAAAACTTGAATTCATTCAAATCATGAATAGTCAACATCGATCAAGCATTGGTCAAACGTAGTTTAATGATAATCTCATGAAATTAATTTTCAATTCAGTGCTTAAATAACATCAATACTTGCGTTTGAATGGATTTTTACAAAATTGTCATTTTCACAGAATGATACAAGAAAAGCAATCAATTATAAAACAATACATTGAAATTACCTTACAATAGATTTCAATTGTTCAAAGGAAATGTTGATTTGAGTTGACATGATGATTAATTTCACTCATAAGCCTTTTATTTAGGCTTAGCTACACTGAAGTTATGAATGCGTTTCCAGTCTACTGGCTTAGTTAATCATGAGCTAATAAATCAAATTACAATATGTATTATAAAAAATTGTTTGTTTTCAGTTGTGGTGATTGTTTTTAGAAATGTCAATTTGTTAATCAATCAAATAGAAACAATTTAAGGTGAATTTGAACCAAACGGAATGATTAGCTAACACTGATGATCTGATTAATTGACTTCAACAATGAAAATTTGTACAATTTCATTAATAAATCTACTTTTTGATAACCTTTATTATTTTGTTTTATTTTGCTTGTAACTCTTTGTGATTAATTGTTTTCCCATAATAACACTCATCTTCAATCGTTGGCCATCTGTTTGGGAATGTTCCTATGAAAGTTCGAGGTTAATGGTTCATTTATCATGATCAAAATACGTCAATTCGATTGTTCTAGTCTTGTCTTTTTGCCCAATAACACACTCTTTACACATTTTGGGAAAGTATAAAAAAGCAGAGAAGCGTTCAATCGAACCGTCAGAAAGCTTTGCCATTGAAAGTGATATCATCTTTCGACTAACGTTATACTTTTGTTCGTCATTTGATCTTATTGAAAAATCAATAAAACTCCAAAATGAAAGTCTTTATTGTATCAATCGTACTCTCTTATGCTTGCTTTTCAACCGGTAAGTCCCTAACCAGTCAAACTAACCAGACAAGACGATTGTTGCTTTAAATGGGTTTTGTTTTTTTCTCTCTGAATAGCCTCTCCATTGTTAGGAGGACTTCTTGGTGGTGGTTCCTCATCTTGTAGTGCCGGATCAGGAGGTCTTGGCAGTGCTCTTGGTGGTGTTACTGGAACCATTGGTGGATTGACTGGTTCCCTTGGTGGCGTTACTGGATCTCTCGGTGGTATTACTAATGCTGTTGGTGGTGTTACTGGTTCCTTGAGCGGAATCACTAGTGGTGTTACTGGTTCCATTGGTGGTATTACTAAATCTGTTGGTGGTGTTACTGGCTCTTTGGGCGGAATTACTAGTGGTGTTACTGGTTCTCTCGGTGGAATCACTGGTGGTGTCTCTAACTTGGCTCAATCTGGAATCGGTAGCGCACTTGGTGCAGCTTCTAGTCTTTCCTCAGTTGGATCTGGTTTGAAAGAATCAGTTATGAACAAGGCTAAGAATATTGCTTCTTCAGCATTGGAAACTGCCAGCTCCACTGCATCGTCTGCTATCAACTCTGCCTCTCAACTCCAGTCAGCTCAATCTCGATCTTCAAATCAATATTCAGCTGAAAACCAATCATCAGAAAGAAACTATGAAAACTATCAAGCTCAACAACAACAAGCTAACCAGCAATATCAAGCAGCTTCATCCAACCAAAACTTCCAAGCTTCAAGCTATGGTAGCTCCAACGGAGGATCAAGTGGTTACTCTTACAATGCTTAAATAAATGTTTTAGATGATTTTGTGATTAAATAAAATTTTACTTTATTGACTAACAATTTAAATTGAAAATGATTGTAAAGTAAAATTACTTGGTCACCTAATTACTCTATGGTTGCATGTAACATTCATTCTCATGTAATTTGTGTTAGTCGTTGAACGATTGTAACGGGTTTGCCAACATTTAATGTACTGATTCAATAAACTGTTTATGAAATTATCATTCAGTCTCTGTCAATATATTCTTTTCATGTATACAAGATCGCAACAAAAGATTGAATGATTGTTACTAAAAAGACAAAGTTAATACAATTGTTACATTTATGCACAAAAAGACACAAATACTGAAAGATAAATGAGTAAAAATGGGTGAAAATGGGCTTTTTTGGTTTGATTAGGTTAGGTTAGGAATAGTATGATTTACATTATTACAATATTTATTCTTGTGAATTGTCTGCATTGAACAAATTGAAGTGAAATATTATACATCGAATCGAAGTTGAAATCTTTCGAGTTTACCATTCCAATCTCACTCTTACAAGTTTACTTTAAATGCGTGATTAATGCAGAACCATAAAATATAATTAGCAAAATTATAGTAACAAATGAGGTCGATCATGAAAATAAATTAACAATAATAAATGTAATACAGACAGTAAACGTCCAATCACTCATGTAACCTTGATCGAGACAAAAAAACAGTTATCATAGTCATATTTTTGATTGTGAATGTTCAGGTTAATAAGATGACATTCTGTCTATTTGTGAGTCAAACAGTTGATTTGGATCACATTTAAATTACTAAAAATTCATGTTAATCAGGTCCGAATGGTGTAATCTTTATGCATACAAGAGTCTAAACATAATGAAATAAGCAAAGCAAATGAAAAGACAGCTAGGAACGGAAAAACCCATCCCTGGTTTATTGAGAATTGATTTTCTACGGAAAGTACCATTGAAAGTATTCAATCGAAAAATACTTTATTATTATGAATAATGGAATAATGATAAAGGTAAAGAGAACGAGAATTTTTATTTTCATCTTTATCCATATAAATATGATGATATTTCATGCCCATTTACCTCGTGTTCACTTATTATTATGTTTATCTTTCATCTTCGTTAACATTAACGGAATAATGAAAGGACAATCAATTAGCTTCCTTCTTTATTCACCTACTTTGAATCATTTTACACTTTATTCACCTACATTGATCTGAATCAGGATAAATTCATTACATTTGACAAATGTACTGAATTTGTAACAGCAATTTTTGAAAGGGAAAAATAATTATCACATTAACTCAACAAAGTGTCTAAGCAGTTGACGGCAGCTAGATAAAACGATCAAGTCAATTTGTTTGACTGAAAGTCGGTTGAAATAAGTATTCAACGAAAATTAGGAAAATTATGACTTCTCCTGGTTTGGTCTATTCTGCCTGCCATCCAAGGGATTATCAGAAAATTCAACAGCCCAGTTTACTTATCTTAGTGATTTTTTCGATAAAAAGTAAAGTGAACACTTTTTTACTTCCGAACGAGAGTGTTTTCCAATCTTTCAAAGTTTTCCTCTTATTCCATCAAATTGGTTTCAAGTGTTTCTGACATCAAATTTACTTTGGTCATTTAACTGTTCAACTGTTATGCTTTTGATTTATTTCGTTCTCCTTTCTTTTCTCAGTTTGATTTCTGCTCTAAAGTTGGGGTCAACTGAGGCTTATTTCAATCGCGATGGTAGGGTTAATATAGCCAACAAAAATTGGATGTCAAACATTAGTGATTCAGTCTATCTTAACCACTTATCGCTTCCTGGGACACATGATACGATGGCCTTTTATGGTGGACCTTTGGTACAGACTCAAATATTGACACTGGATTCACAGCTGCGAGTTGGAATTCGTGCCTTTGATATTCGCTGTCGCCATATTAATGATAGATTTGAAATTCACCATGGACCCATCTATCAAAAATCTGACATGGATAAAGTGTTGCAGTCGATGGTCACCTTTTTGGGTAACTTTCCAACAGAAGTGTTGCTTGTGAGGATAAAAGAGGAACATATACCGAAAAACAATCAAAGATCTTTCGCTGACACCGTTGAATATTACCTCAGTAAACCAACATTTCGTGGTTATGTTTGGAGAGGCAACTCAACTGTTCCTCTAGGAATGGTTCGGGGTAAAATTGTGATCCTTCGTAACTATCCTTCCAAACAGTTAATTGGTGTTCCATGGGATCGTACTTTGATTCAAGATGATTACTTTGTGCCAACTGTGTTCTCAATCGGAGCCAAATGGGTTAAAGTTCAAGAGCATCTGGAACGTGCTCGGTTACGTGCCAACCAATCTGATACCTTTGTCATCAATTTCCTTTCAGGAACATCACCCGGAGCTTATCCATGTACAATTGCTCGACGAATTAACAAATACATAATGGACTGGTTAACACGATCCCAGAATGATTTTATTGGCATAATTTTTATGGACTTTCCTGGTGAAGGTCTGATCGACACTATAATAAGGTTGAATTCAGGAATCCAGGTAACCAATGATTTGAAAGAGAGTGATAGACAATTGGGATTTGCTTGCAATAATGACCGAGATAAACATCTTAATCCAGGCGAATCGTATCAATTTAAAGACAAATTGAATGGTGTTAACCTTTGTAAGTTTAAGGTTGAGCGAAAAGAAGCAACTTTGATAGTGACAGGCAATGACGATATTGTGGTGGATGATGTTGGTTTTTACCGATTTCGTGATGTTTTTCCTGATAGACTTGAGATTGGGCGATGGAACAATACCATTGAAATAATAATTTAACCAATTTATTTATAATATTTATAAATTATTTTTAAGCTGGTTCTCAGTTCCTCTTTAAATTATTAAATATCACCTATTTATTCAAAACAATCTGATATTTTTTTGTATTTTTAAACACATACAGTAATGGCTGAGATAATGAGACTCAGTTTATAAACAAACCCTTTTTTACATTTTTTCTTCATTAGAAATGTCAAGAAATTTATCAATGAAAGATTAAAGTTAATTTCGAAAATTGAAAATGAAGAAATAAAATTTGATTGTAAAATAAGTTATTGTCACTATCGCCTAATGAATAAGCTGTTTCAAGATAAGTCTCATTACCTCGGCCCTTACTGTATAAAGTAACTTAAAGATTCAAGTTTACATCTGTTTTCACTCTTTCAAAAGCACGAAATGACCAAAAGGATGCACAAAAGCAAGAACAAGTTTAATTTAATCACTGATATCAACTATTTTCAGATAATTCACACAATTCTTAAATCATCAACTTTTATAAACAGCAGTCAGTTTGATTCCTTATTGACATTCTAACTGTGTGTAATACAGTAACGGTCCCTATATTTTGAAAATTTGGCGCTTTTCTCTCCCTTGTTTCTTAACCGCTTTTGATGTTTGCCAGATTGTTTTTAAACTTTTTTTGCATTGTTTTAATTGTAATTAACCATGTTAAATTTTGATTAACCTTAGTAATATTTTGTAAGGCACTTTTGCCAGTCTTATTTTTGTGTATTGAAAAATGAATCTAGAGACCGGTCAATGGAGAACATTCTTGGGATGTAACTTGATTGATGAAGCTTTGGCCACAATAGCTGAAGAATGGGATCAACATATAGCCAACCTTCATCACTCCATTGTTGGTTTATGTAATCAAGACTTAAGGTATTTCTTGTTATTATGCTTTGCAAATTATCTCTATTTACTCAGTCTGTGTAATGATCGTCTGATCATTCATATTCATATAGCTTCATATCGGTTATGTCGATGTTGAAAATGGCTGTCATTGTGTCATTGAAAAAATGGGCGAGACTATGTGAAACAGTGATATCTCATATTTAGTTTTTTCTTAGTGAAAATTTAATAGAAATTTTGTCATCTCTTTTCCATCAGGTCCTCGGAAACTTCATCCTATTCGGCAACGCAAGCTGGTAGACGTGAAAGAAGGTTCACAGCTGCACAGAAGGCTCTACAAGCATTATTGAACAGTGCTAATATATCATCCATTAATTCATCTTTAGCATCAACGGACAGTGTTAAACGTGTAACTCGTGCTCAAGCTAGAAAACGTGTAAAAGAAAATAACTCTATAACTGGCTCAGGAGGGAATCGAAGTTTAGAATCTAACTCTTCTGTTAACGAAACTAAAAGTAAAAGGAATCTTAGAGCAAAAGTAAAGAAAGACGATAAAGATGAGACTTTCGTTAAGCCTCCAGCACCAACCATTAAGCCAGATACTGAATTACAGTGTATCAAAAACGAGCGTGATGAAACTGATTTCAAAACTTTGGATTGTGATGAGTTCATGTCTTTTAAAGTCAGTCCAATTCCAAAGCTTTGTGAACCTACAGAAGAGGGTGAGGACCCATCCATGTGGAATGTAAAAAGAACAGAAATTATAAGTCAACCCAAAAAAGAAGAGCCTAACCTTGAACCAATACCTACTAATGAGGTTGAGTTTGAAGTGGTAACTCCAACAAATGCAAAAAAAGTATCACCTGAGTCAGCACCTCAAGATAGTGAATGGACTACTGACGACGAATCATTTGAAAGTGTCCGATCTATCGGGGACGAAACTTATCAAAGAATGACCAGAAAGAAGTCTCCGGGTTCGAGCCATAAACTTTCAACCGTGAAGAAAAAGAGGAAACAAACAGAATATTTCACTCCGTCTATACCTCGCAAGTCATCTAGGTTAACTAGACAAACTGCTAAACTTGAAATCACGCCGAAAGTTGAATGTCTTGTTCCAAATAATTTTCTAACTAGAACTGCATCAGCTGTTAAATGTTCACGTAAAGTACTCTCTGAAAAATCAAGTGGAACTACGACCAGTGGAAGCAGTATTGCTAGTTCAGCAGCTACTATCACTTCATCACTTGGTAGGTCAGAGTCAGTGAAAGGAAAGACGGCTGTATCTAGAACGTGTACTACTCCTGATACTAAATCTTTAACGGCTTCTGCTTTAAAGAGACGCTTGGACGAGGACGAAAAACGTAGAGCACAATTAGCTCAGCTAGAAGAAAAGGAGAAGAAAGCGAATCAACAAAGACAAGAGAATTTGAAGCAGAAAGCTTTATCCACAAAAATGAAAAATGAAGAGAGAATGAAAAAGATAGAACTCAAGAAGAAAAAAGAAGAAGAAGAAATGAAAGAGAAACGCAAAAAAGAACTTTCAAAGCAAAGAGAGATGGATGAACGCCGCAGAGAGAAAGAAGAAGCTCGTCGTCGTGAAGCACTTCGAATGCAAGAGGCTCTGAAAAGAAAGAAGGAAGAGTTCGAGCTAAGGAAACAACAAGAGGAAGAAGATAGGAGAGCTCGTCTTCTCAAACAAGAGGAACAAAATCGAAAGAAAGCTGAAGAAAATATAAGAATTAAAAAGGAGCAAGATAGGATATTAGAGATGATTGTGGCTCACAATAAAAATATTCAACAAAAAGCTCCTGTTCCTCAAAAATCTGAACATCTTGCACCAACTTTTAAGCATCCTTTACCATTAGATGTCGGAACTCCTCCAGTTTTACCTTTGAATAGTACATTCAATGTTGACAAAGAACCAGAACCAGAACCTGAATCTAAGTCAACATCAGCCAAGAAAGAAGATCCTGTCCCGAATGAAAAGTAAGTTCTTAATTTCACCAATTTTATCAAATTACTGATTGACTTTAAACTTTCTATTACAGTTATCCACTGACTCCTCCTCCAAAGCCTAAACCATCACCAGTAAATTATGATATCAGTGATATAAAGTCAGATGATGATACTGATGACGAAGATAGACCGAGAAAACAGATACCTCCATGGGCTAAAGGTAATTTTTTGTGCATAAAAATATTCAATTTGAGTTTAATAACTTATTTTTTCATCCCCATTCAGGCGATGCCTTGTTAGACGCATTGGATAAACAATTTGCCAAATCCAGGCGAGCTCGAGAAAAAGAAATCCGGCATATATTCCCTAACTTCGATTTCTCGATTCGATTGAGTGAAATATTCAAGAGTAACCGTGTCGTTCATCCAAAATACGACAAGAGAACTAGTTCAGCTGTATGGAGCTCTCCGCCTTGTAATTCAACTTTTAATTGCAGTGTTTTAACTGATGATTCATAACTAATCCGTTTATACAAAATCACTTTTATTTAGAGATGAACAAAAAATAAAGCGTGAAAATTTCATCGAAAAACTACTATAATGTAGATCTAATGTCCGATTTTTGATCAAGTTTGTAACTTCATTGATTAGGAAACATTTGTAACTTTTTTGTGACTTATGAAGTTACACTGCATTTTGATTATCCATTGCACATTGTAAATTGTAAATAATCTCATATTCAATCGGAAATCTTGAACAGGATCCTTTTTATTATGATGCATTTCAAATTGAAAGTTGAGTTGATACACAGTTTTAATGAATGCTTATCTCCTCCTCTGATTATATCATTAACTTAAATCATTTTCCAACATTATCCATATTTTCGGGCCTTACACAACTGGAATTGAGTGATTGGTTCTGATGTCTTAACACTTTTACCATGAAACAATGTACAGTCATTGACTTATCGCTTTCTAAAGTCAGTCACTTTGTCCTCAAAACTGACCATTCTTCGTCCCTTGATTGTCGAGCTAAAATAAAAATTTAAAAGAATGGTTGAAGTTAAATTGAGAACATAAGACAATTCTAGTAAATCTAACCGATATTCCAACAAATTTAACAGTCACTGTAATATTTCATTAATCATCTGCTTACAACCTGAAAATAAAATAATTTAAATAATTAAACTCTAAAATTATTGCAACCAATGAAAATTTTATGTTTAATTTCATTTTCGATTTTTAAATTACGCGGATTTCTTACCAACCTGTCGCCATCTGACGAGTTATTTGATTAGAAATAACGTTGTAACAGTTTTTCACTTTTGGTTTGACAATAATTTGTTTTGGTAAGGTTGTACTATAATTGTTGTTGTTGTTGTTGTTGTTTTTGATCTCTTGTTAATTAATTGATTGTGATAGTTAAGTGATGATAACTGTAAGTGTAACATGAAAATTTTTTATGAGAAGAGTTGTTAATTAAAATGATAGTATCCAAACAAGTGGTTAAATCGAGGCAAAAGTATCCATGCCCATCCAATAACACTATAAATTGTTAATGTTAACAACACAATCATCTGTGGCCCAGCCACAACCCCAACAGCGACCTCAACAACCACCTTCATATCATTTAAAATGGATCAAATGGAAAGGGAATAAATGTCCGATAGTCACTCAAAATGAAAATGGTCCTTGTCCGCTGATTGCTATAATCAATGTTTTATTGATGAAAGGACGATTACGTCTACCTTCAATGATGGAAGTAATCACAGCAAATCAATTAATGGAATATCTTGGCGATTGTATATTGGAAAATATCCCTAAAGGCCTGAAAGAAGAAAATCAACTTAATTATGAACAAAATATGCATGATGCTATCGCTATTCTTCCCAAGCTGCAAACCGGATTAGATGTTAATGTTCGCTTTTCCGGTGTCTCTGATTTTGAATTCACACCCGAATTAATTTTCTTTGACCTTCTCCACATTCCTCTTTATCATGGCTGGCTTGTTGATCCAAATGATGTCGAAACAGTATCATCTATTGGTAATCTGAGTTATAATCAATTGGTAGACAAAATAATTACTCATAAAACCTCTACACGGCCAGAATCAGCCTTCGAAGGTATTTATTTATTAATATTTTCATCAGCTTAATTTTTATCATGTTTATATATATTTTGTAATGTCGTTTTTATGGATAATTTTGTAACGTTGATATTTCAACCCACACATCGATTAATTGACATAGAAAGCTCGTAGGAGGCGAAAATTTTCTTGCAGATATTATTTTGCTGCAAGGTTACTTATTCTGATTACAAAATTATTCCAAATTAAATTACGATGAGTAAATAAGATAACGTTTGCAAAAGATAAAGAGATAATATTTTTGAAATTATCTAGATTTAACTCTTTTTTGTTCTTGACCTGAATGATTCAACTTTTGATTCAATTATGGATTTTTATTTTCAGATTGTCCTTTTCCTGTCATTTTCGTACACATTTGATATCATGTTACTATTATTCCGGTGTACTTTTGATTAATATCAATTTACATTACTTATTAATCATGAATTATTTTTTTTTGTTTTAAAGCTTTAGTTGTCGAACAATTTTTGGAAAGAACCGCCTCGCAGTTAACCTATTTTGGTTTGTCTCAGTTAAATTCAACGTTAAAAGATGGTGAACTTAGTGTTCTCTTCCGAAATAATCATTTTATTACATTATATAAACATAAGGTATTTATCATAATACTTCAAAGTTTTCTCAATATTTTCGCTACTTATCATTTTTACTCATTTCTTTATTTCTTACTTAACAGGATCAATTATTTCAATTGGTAACTGATCAAGGTTTTCTAACTGAATCTAGAGTAGTTTGGGAAACACTCAGCAATATTGAAAATGATGGATTATTTGTTGATGGTGACTTTACTCCAGTTCCTCCTAAGACTTCCTTAACTGTCGAAGATCAGCAAGTTCAAGTTGATCAAGATTACCTTATTGCATTAAGTCTTCAAGAAGAACAGAAAAAGGAGTTCGAGAAAGAAAAAGAATGGGAAAATTTTAAAACAGAGAATGGTTTGAATGAGCTTAGTGACGAGGAATTCGCGCGTAGACTGCAAGACGAAGAAAAACGTAAAGCAGGACAATTAGTTAGTTACCAGTAAGTTTCATAATTAAAATCAATTTTTATTTTCATCTTTTTCATCCATGGTGTTATATATATTACCTCGATTGCTTTTTCGTTTCTTTTTGTTCCAGGGAGCCTCAAACTGGGCAAACATCTCAGGTAAAATATATTTAAATTTATTTATTTATTTTCTATACTGATTTATCGATTTCTTTGCAGAATGAAAGCCAGTCAAATCTCGATTTAAACGTTGAACCTAGAGAAAACTTCAGGTCACTTCAATCGGGAAATAGGAGAAGTCAGAGTTTACCATCGAGAAAAAATAGCAGCAAACCAGATGAAAAGTCGTCAAAGGTAATTGCTGAGCTTTAATCATCAAATTATCATCCGGAATAATTTATTTATTATTGTTTAAGAAAACTAATTTTTGCCATTTTGCCTTCTCCTTTCCAGTGCTCAGTGATGTGACACCTATTTAAACAAATTAACATTGTATAAAACAATAAAAAGGTATTCAATTATCTTATATTCCTACTTTTATTATCACATCACATCATTCTGGTTGTTGCAACCCAGATTTTCTGATTTTACATGTTTTGTAATGTTAAATCATTGTCTTTTTGATTCTCATTGAAACTAGCATCATCAACATTGGTTAGTGAACAAGGCCAAATATTTTTTATTATATTTACTTGATGACTAGATCTCATTGATGCGAGCCTATGATTTGATGGTCGAAAAATCCAAATTATGGATAAGCGAGTTATTTGAATCGCCACTGATCAACTGACTGCACAATTCAGATCACATCAAGTACGGGAATCACATAACCATGATAACTTGAAGAAAATTTGCGTAACCATGAGACATAAAAGATAAATTTGTAATTTTTCTGTACAATAAACATGTACAATAAACTTTTAACACTTCATCATTAGTGGTTCAGAGGAATGGTAGATTATTCTTTCTTTTTGCTTTTAGACTTTTGAGGTTTATGTCGAGACTTGATTTCACTTTCCCATTTCTTTTTGTACATTGTATACAATCTCATAGCCGCTCTAGCATCTTGAACGGAATCGTGTTCACCATGTTGAATATCAACACCTAAAAGCTGAGAAGTTAAACGTTTCAATGACGGTTTTCCTCCTCCTTTGAGCATTTTCTTAAAATAAACGCTTGTATCTCTGATTCGACTTCGTGGATGATCTAAGAAAAGTACTTTAAGATCGTTCTTTAAAGCATGACCAACCAGTATCCTTCCTTTAATTATATCATTAACGTCGTATTGTACTTTCTTGAAATCTTCACCATTCTCAATATCCTCAGGTCTTATACCACTAACTGAAGTACGATAATCAGTAACGGGCTCTGTTGGTTTAACATATTTATCATATAAACAGTGTCCAAATTGATTAACCAGTGATACTCTAGCAAGAATTGATTGAGTACCTTTGTCACCAACACCAACCATTTCACAATCCATACCAACTGTTCGAGTCAATCCCTGGAAACTGGTGTTTTTAACCAAGCCATCTCGTGGTTGATCATTCTTCTTATTCTTATTGAATCTTGAACCATTCCTAAATCTTCGATTCGGTTTTTTGCTTGGTTTTGTAGTCTCCATTGAAAATAGTTAACTATTATCTTAAAATAACAAAAAATTCACATTTACCAAAAAACTAAAATTGTAAACAGCATTTTAAAAATGTAGTCACATGAAAGATCGGTCAGCAGTTCCCTCTGATGTTTCTATAAGAAATTAAGCATCTATGGCGGTACAGTCAATCGCCTTAAGTTTACAAAAGACCAATAGTAATAGAAAATTAATTAACTAATTAATTAATGTAGTGTTGAATTACAGTTATGTATACTGTTTCGTCTACTATACTCAATAGTTCAATCATTTTATTTCAGTTTTACTTCAAGTTCTTTTGATTTTCTATATTAAAGTTATCGATATTATGTGATTGATATTTCACATTGATAAATAGTTCAAGTAGGTTTCAAGCACAGCATGGTATTTTTAGTGACATAACTTTTTGATGGTTTTATTGATTTTTCTCAATGTTTCCAAATTTATCAGTAATTCTTTATAAAGTTGGACACAATTAATTTCAGTGATTCTCTTTTTCCATTTTGAAGAGTATAATTTTTCCTTTGAGTGTTGAGCCTTAAGTGTTAAGTTTGATCCAAATTGCATAGGGTAAGTAGTTGTATTGTTGAATTATGTAATTATTTAATTCAGTTATTTTTAACCTTTCCATTCTTTTTCTTCCATTTGATGAAATATTGATTTAGTTTAATCAACGCAGGGTGATCCTCCATTGAAGTATTTCTTTATTTAAATGGGTATCCAGATGTTTGGTGTTTAACTGTTCAATCATATCTACTTGTGTTTTAATTATCAATCATCAGGTGGTGACATTTTGAGATTTTTTTGTAAATGCATATTTTTTCACCTTTTATGACGCCTTTTAGCATTAATTTAATAATTTTAAGACTTTCAGTTAGCGCAGCAATGCTGAAATCTATTTAATTGAAAAATCACCATCTACAAATAAAACAACTGCACTTTTTCACCGAAATCTGGATCACAGAATCGAGAGATTTGCTGATAGACTCGAAACTGAGTTGTTTCTAATCCAATAGATGGCGCTTTTGTGCTACCAGCGCCACCTGACAGATAACCGGAAGAACTAAAATCAGCCTTTAATTTGAGCCTTTACTCTTTGCGTCTGTGCAATGTTAGACAAAAAAGTTCCAACTCTTTTCTGACTGTAGATTCATCAAGTGGATGATGGCGAAAACATTGAACTCAGTTTCTCCTAACTTTCCCCTGTACTATTTTATTTACCATTCTTAATCTCATCGTTACCTATAAATTGTTTCAAAATGGATACAGATTTAGGATTGATAAGTGATATCTTCATCAATGATTCCAGTATGGATAACGAGATTTTCAGTCATTCAAATTCACAATTTGTAAGTTTAATTCTTAATTATTTTCAATTTTGTTTCAAATCTTTCTCTCTCTCTCTTTCTATCTCCATGTCTCTATCTATCTCTCTCTTTCTCCGCTTCTTTCTTTCTCCTCTTTCTTTTTTCTATCTCATCATTAGTTGTCATCTTATTACCTAGTCTTACCTGGCAGTTTTTGCACTCATGATTTTTGCTGAAGAAACTAGAAATCATCGGACTTCAGCAAAATTACAACTTATTCAGAGGTTTTTTCTTGTTTTATCGGCTTTTACCATTTCTCCTTTTCGGCTTCTAGATAATTCATAGAGTGAAAAAGGTATGATTAAAATCATATACGGAAACGGATATATCATGAAATGATGAAGATATGAGTGAAAAGAGAGAAAATTTTGAAGGAAAAATACCGAGAAATCAATTTTTCTGCAACACAATTAACATAACAATTAACATTATGATTAACATCACAATCAATACAATATTATCTTCTCATTTAATTCGATTATCATACAAAAAGATATACAATAATGATTATTCAATCCTTGTTTTGTTATTTCTTTCATTATCATAAGAAGAAAATTATTTACCTTTTGATGAAAACTTTTGATTGGTGCAAAAGAAGAGAAAAGGAATTAAATTTTTGCCCTGAACCATTTCATTTTTTGAGATTTCAGATTAACTATTTTGTCATGATGACCTTGAATTAACTGGTTTACCTGAACAGGTACAAAAATTCTTGTATTGAGTTTCACTCTTTACTATCACATTTTTGATACTTTACTTTATCACCTTAATTTTATTGACTGGTTTAGATTTATCCTGAATCAAGAAAAAAAAGGTTCAATATAATGAAATAAAATTATTGCCTGATTAATGCTAGTAATAAAAGTACAGAAACATAAAAAAAGAGTAAAAATAAGTTATCATAATTTTCAGCTTAAACAACTTGAAACAATTGTAGCATAATCAAACAATTGATTCAACAACTTATTATTCAATATCTCAATGGTATTGAAATGTTTCCGATTAAATCTCACATTTTCACTCATTGATATCACTCATACCAATCGTTAGATTAGGTTTAAATAGTCTCAAGATTTACTGTTGACCATCACAGATAATCAGTTAATTACCTGGTTACAATGAAACTTGACCTTTTTATTTTCAGCAAATTTACTATAAATAACAACATCGATAATTGCTGTTTGTTTGTTAATATTCAATGCACCTTAATTTGGTTGTTAAGCTTATCCATTTAGCCGTAAGAGATGACAATTAGAAGATAATTTGCTATTAATCAAATAAGCAAATTGAATGCAAAATAGGAATATAATCTTGATTTGAAATAGGCATTCATTTGAACCATGAAATTATTATACATTTTACCAGCAATAGATAACAATTAATAATTGATAACCCAATAAAATTAGCTCTTCTTTTCTCTTAATGAACATGGAAATGTAACAATTAATTTCAACATTTTTTTATTGATTTTCCTTCCTTTTCCCCATCCTTTCCTTGACATTATTATTTAGTCAATTTGATTTTCATTTCTGTTATCAATTCTGTATTATTAACTTATTATTTGTTTTCTTTTTTCTCCCATTTTTTTCCTTTTTCTGCATGATTTTTGGTTTCTCTCTCATCTCTTTTTTTACCCAGAACGATTGGAATGATTCAGATAATCGCAGTTATAATGTAATCATTCTTAACGATCGCCTCATGTCCGAAACCGTCCAATCAGAACATTCATATTTCAATAGTGCGTCAACTTTAAACCATAACTTAGATGATGATGATCTTTCAAATGATGCTGATCTCACTGAATCTCATGGATCATCTTTTAAAGGTAACAATTTTTCCAACCACCAATCCAAATGTTTAGGTAACGAAGTAAAAAAGTAAAAGAAAGGCCAAAATCAACTAGGATAAGTTTCAGGTCAAATTATGGCTTTAGCTGGTATAAACAGTTTTTTGGTAATTTAATGAGATAACTTGATCTGCTATTGGTTTTTGTAGCTTCAGGTTGTTGTTGTTACTTCTGCTTTTGCTGTTGTCTTTCATCTTTTTTTGTAGACATTGGCTTAAGGTCACAATAACTATTTGATGGTTGGCTGGACATTCCGTTTCAGCAAGGTTACCAGCTCCTCTTTGCTCTTCCTCTTTCTTCATTTAGCTTCTTCTTGTTCTCCTTTTTGCTTTCTTCATAATCTTTTTTGCTCTTCTCATCTTCGCCTTCTTTGCACCATCTTAAATCCCTTCCATCCCCTTGGACACGTTTGCATGATCAACATGATATTAGCGTCAACCCATTGTTGACATGGCTCACTAACCACGATTATAAATGCTCCTGCTAGAGAAGACAAGAGAGTAAAATGATGATAAGAGAAAAGGGGTGAGAAAATAGGTCTAATTATATCTAATTAACATGCTAATTCAATAAGTCAGGTTTCGTATTAAATGATTGAGATGAAGCCAAGAGTTGGAGAGTAAGAAGGGAATGAATGGGAAAGATATTAATGAATTAAAAATGGAAGGCAAATGAAATTACAATCAAAGTTAATACTAATTGTAAACAAATATGATTGAGTTTAGTATTTAATTTGATTGCATAAGTAAGAGAAAAGTACTTTTTTATGTCAAGAATCTTAAAGTACATGGTGTGAGTATAAATTTATAGGGAATACAGGTTGAACGCTGAGGAATTTTATTGCTCAAGAAACAAATAGATCTAAAAGCGCTTAATGCGCATCAAACCTTCTTCGCATCAACGCTTCTTTTCCCCCAGTGAAAACTTTCTTTCCATCCTGAAGTTGAACAAGATAATAATAATAATAAGAATGGGAATAAGAAGAAGCAGAAGAAGTAGAGGTACAAGTAGAAGAAGAGAAGAAGAAGAGAGAAGATGATGAAAACGAGAATGATAAAGAATTAACACACAAACAAGGTAGAAAGAGAGACAGACAGAGAAGATAGAAAGGGAAGATGAGAGCAAGTTTTTCATGAGTCCTGAATAAGAGGACTACATACCTGTTGGAGTCAACAACATTTGGTAAGAAGGTCAGCAACCTTCGGCGAAGCTCCCATCAGCAATTTTTGTAAAGCAAAAGGCCTTAGCCTACCTGTCTCAGACGTGATCAACAAGCTCAAAAAACAATAATTTCAACATTTTTTAAAAACTGAAGATGATTCCACCTGACGCGTTTTTACACTATCTCCATCTATTGATCATTTATTACAAATTTACATTCAATTTTTTAAACTCTTTTTCACTCTTCATCACATTTCAATTGTAAACATAATTTAATGTTTATTGCACTTATTTTTTTTCTTCTTCTCTCTCGGCAATCTTAATCAAATTTTCCTCTATTACATTTAGTCTAAATTTTTGTCTCTTCTTTCGCCTTTTTGCTTTGCTGCTCATAGACTAATTCAATTGAATACACTAGTTGATGTTGACTTTTACATCTATCAATTTTATTTGTAATTTTATTTGTAATCTTTTTCTTCTTTTTCCTTGTACATTTCCCTGCCTTTTTCCTGTTGAACTTTGAATTATCTTAGACATGGATATTGAAGCTGAATGTTTCCCCTGCATACCAATGTCAAGTGCAATTCAAATGAATGGACTTCCAATTGGGCATAGTTTGGTTGTTTCCGGCGGTAACCGGCGGCCTTCAGTAACTTCCTCCAGTTCAACTGGTTCAAGTAATAGTTCTAGCAACAGTGGTACTCTTGGTACTCTTACGGGCAATTCAACCGGTCTACTTGGACCCGAAATTAATAACAATGGTACGACCATTAATAATGAAAACACCAATGGACTCAGTGGCAACTCCAGTGGAACCCGGAGTTTAACATTAGCAGCTCTTTTAAATAGTAATTTACATTCTCTATTTGTTTAAATTGGACACTGATAAAGTTTACCCATTAGCATTGTTGCTTTCCTATTGACCTGTAAATTGTCATGCAAATTAATCAATGACCTCAATGGGTTGAATAGGATGAGCAAGACTTAAAAGAATCCAAAAGGGAAGGAATACAAAACACAGTTAATGAATCTTTGCACAATACAACCTTTAATGATACAATTTAATTAGCCAGTTTCTGAATATAATTGAAATTACAGTTAATAGTTTTTTTGTCTTTTCTGTCTTACATTTTCTTCTTTTCTCATTACTAATCTTGTTTTATTTCAACTCTTTTTTCAGGATTACCGCCAACTCCACCTGGATCAAATTCTGGGTCTGACTGTGAAATGTCAACACCTAGTAATAGCAATAGTAGTAATAGTTTATTTCAAAATAGCACATTAGCCCAATCAACTATTCCTAGTAGTTTAACATCATCGCTGTATGGTGTTACTGGTAATGATCATATTAGCAATTTGAATCTAAACACAGTAACTAGGACGACAACGGGTAGCAATTCGCACCATCTTTCGCCAACGTCAACCTCAACTCGCCCCAATGGACGTAAATCACGTAACAACAATAGCATACTTTCAACTCATTCACCATTATCTTCATCGTCTTCCTCTTCATCTTCATCACCTTCATCGGTTACCTCAACAACTAATAATAATTTAACCTCTACCACCAACAACAATAATACCACCTCAACCACCTCACCATCATCTTTATCTTCATCCTCCTCATCACCACCGCAAACACCAGCAACAACGACAATAGCAACATCGCCAAGCTCCTCTTCAATATCACCAGCCTCTTCGATCTCATCATCAACCTCATCTTCCTCATCTTCCAATTCATCAACGTCTTCTCTCTCCCTTTCCTCGTCCTCTTCTTCCTCATCCTCCTCATCAGCCCCCTCACCTCTGGGTGCCTTATCGTTACCCCTTTCATCAGCCTCCTCAACAAACTCAAGCCCATCTAAACGTGATAATGGTGGCTCATCGAAAACCGTTCGTAACCTTAGCACAGCAGCCGCCGTCTCATCTTTAATATCTGTCCAGCCCAAGAACGCTGCAAGTGGAACAGCCGTTATTTTAACTGAAGAAGAAAAAAGAACCTTAATTGCTGAAGGTAAGCACATAATTAATGAACAAATTTATGGCAATTACAAATTTTCTTGCCTCTCGATTACGATCAAAGATAGCAATTTAAGTCTTCAAAGGCGCTTCAGCCAAAAACATGGTTACAACAATCAAGAAACTTCTATTACTGTCGATTTTCTTATAAAATTAGTTGTTCAGTTCCATCGCATGAATGAAGATAAAAAATCACATCTCTCTCTCTCTCACACACACAAAACACTCAAACATGCATTCAACTTGAATCAAAAATAGTCTCCTTCTGACTTGAATAATCAATAACCGTTGATACTAAATCATATTAAATGCCACTAAATCATGAAAAGATTAGTATCTCAGTTCTACTAAAAAAAATAGTTACCTCAATTGGAATAATAATGAGCCGTTAACATTTAAAAATCTCAAAGTTAATTCAAGGAAGAACAAATTATTAAATTTTTACACTCATAAACTGTATGTGGTCATTTAATATAATCTCATCAATTATGCTCTGACCATAGCTCATAAAAAAACGTAGTTTCAATTCTCGGCCCAACATCAATAGTTTACATTAATTTTAATCGGAAAATGATCAAAAGATGAATTTGCACTTTGTCTTGAATTTCATTTCCACTCAAAAGCACATTCAGCTAATAATATCAACCAATTTTCACTCCTTAATTCAATTTTTTCTTCTTCTAATATCATGAATTAAAAACCAAACTCATGATTAATCCTCTTTATCACCAACATTTACGTTGCTGCGTGAGTTTCAACTTCAGTTTCCTGCGATTAGACTTTTAGTTTTTTTCAACATGACTTTTACACCTTTGAATGAATTTTTTTTTCCTTCTCAATATTATTTACCATTTTTTTCATTCCAACTCAAATATTGTATCATTTTGAACACATGTAAATAAAAGCATTGCCTGTGTAAATAGCAATGGTAACCTTTGTTGGCGACACAATTTCGCCCTCCATTGAAGATAGACCATTTTCAGGGGAATCATTTATTGCTTTTGTATTTTGTTGAAACAAATGATGTTTTATTAGAGTAACACTTTTGCACCTCTTTGCCAATTTTATTTTATTTTTTTGCCAATCTTTACCTTCTTCATTGATTGGCAATCAACACCACAACTGAAAGTAAAAAAAGGATTGATACCAAGTTAATCGAGTATAATTTACCTTTACAACTCTTTCAGGTTGCTTTTTTTTGGCCAGATATAATAATGATAATAGTAATAATAGTGTTGATGATGATGATAATGGCGGTTACAGGTTAGTGATTGACGCCTTTTGATGATGGTTTAATGAAGAAGAAGAAGAAGAGAATAAGAAAGAGAGAGAAGAAAGGTTAAACTGTGAACGAACTATTTACCTGTGCGAATGTTGCTGTTCCAATTTGAATTAAGGTGATTCCAAATTTATAAATATTTTCATTTTTGATTGATTATTATTAATAGCCAACGTTACAAAATTGATCATTTTTCTTTGCTTTCTTTACCATCTTCAATTACTATTCATGGGTGGATTTTTGATGATAATGATGCTCTTCTTGATGATCATGATGAGGCCGTCAGGCTCTGTGATACACCCTGCGTATGTGTATCAAGTTAATAGTCAAGAAAGATTTACAGAAAATCAAAGAGTTGCCAATTTTAGGTAACATCATTCAAACTCTACCTTCAATTGTTTTCACATTTTCAGATTTACTCATCAACATCATCGTTTTTTTTTCGCTTCTTATCAAAACACACACAAAAAAAGTGAGTGAAAAATCAAATTGTTTGATTGTTGATGAGATTGGGTTGGTTAAGAAAATGAGAGTGAACAATCAATGTAATTAGAACGGCAACAGTTAAGTGGTGAAAAATAAAGAAGAAAAAATTGACCCATTTCTGTCAACTATTATAGTTGATGGTTCTGATTCATCATGATTATCATTGAAGTAACAAGTAAAATGACCAAAACCTTATCTAAACAGCAAATGTATCTTTTAAGAAAGATAATCTTTCTTTTTCAAAGCCCTGGGTTAACTTTGAACGCCATGTTAAGCCTATGTTCAATACCAACAACCAGTTTAATTTAGTTTATTATTCAGGTGCTTTTCAACTTTGAATCAAGTTTAATTTATATAGATAAAAGTTAATTAATGTAACCATTCAATAACGATTGACGTTCTTCTGCTCTTCTTTTATCACCTTTACCAATATTTAGCTGATTGTTAGAAGGTTACTGGTTTAATTGTTCACCATTTACACAAACATATCACTTGTTATTAATATCATTATCATTTAAACAAATGCTATGAGCATATAAAACAATTGTATTGTCTGTTAGGTCTATGTGTATAAAAGACAGTTGGTTGATTGTTATTCAATTTAAATCTAACAGCCTTTTCTTTCCCATCAAACAAACATGATTTATCCTGTTGATACCAGCAACTCAAGTATCAAAAGATGCTGGTTTCAAGCCATCATCATGATAATCTTTTCAGATTTCTCCTTCTTCTTCTTCTTCTTCTTCTTCTTCTTCTCCATTCATTGTAATACATTAGTTTCATTTTCACCCAATTTGCAAGATGAAAGTAAACCCAAATTATGGAGATCACATTGAAGTTGAAATCAACTGAGTATTGAAACTGTCCAACATCAAAACACAATGCACAATACAATTTCAATTTTCTCCACCTGATCTTTACTTATCATCATCATCGTCACAATCATCCTGTTAATCATGATAATGTATAAACATGTTAAATCATGTGTATAAATCATTTTGGCCTAAACTTGTTATGATTAAGGGTTAAAAGGTGAGGCTAAGCTGGTTTAACTTTTTTTACATTCAAATGTAATCCATTGAACCATTGAATTGGCAAAAAAAAGGTTGAATTGAAGTTAACCAATTTTTATCAAATTTCAATTGAATGGAAATGAAATTAAATATTATTTACTATAAGATGTGGTCAATAGAAATGGCACAAACTTTTGTATGGTCACAATTTAAATTTGTACCATTTTTTTGCGCTTTCGTATTGATCACACCTTAATCAGTCACAATTCCTTAATCCTGTTCTAATTTATTTACAAAATCATGTTTTACTTTCTCTGTTAATGTTGACCAGTCAAAGTCATAACAATCAAATGAATTACTGCAAACATAATGTATATTTCATTTGCAGTAAACATCAATCAAGTTAAATATGATCTTAACAATTAAATTGTTAACTTTGATAGGTGTAACAATAATTTGTTACAATATCAAGTTTCCAGTAATTATAATCAGAGATTGTGTATCATTGAATGTGTCACTTTTTGTGTGTTGTGTAACAAGTTATGAAATATTACTATTAAAATAGACAAACTAATCAAAGTTTGATCATTTATTAAGACACGGCAAAACTATGTCAACATTTGGTTTACAAATAAACTGATTAAATGTTTAAATTAATTGTAATAAAAGGCTACAATAATTCATAACTGTAACAGTGATTTTACCTGAAGATTGTACAAAGCAAAATCATTGAAAGTGTTGTAAATGAGCTTCATAAAAGCATGAATCGTGCAAATTACAACCAAAGATTTTGTCAACTCGCGATAGTAATAATGTTATTAAAACATTAAACAACAATTTAAATTTTAACCAATTCACTTGCTACTCATGTTTAAAATTTGCTTTTTACCTTTTACATGGTTGACTTAGCAGAAAGGTGTTTTAATATTAGAAGCGAAAAAAACTGCTCGTAATTGAGGCAATATCAACAAATTTCTCCTTCTTATTATCTTTTCTTCTTCCTTCTCCCTTTTCTCATCATTATTATTGACTGACCATTGATTCAATTTATTAATTGTCTTCTCTTTTTTATCCCAACAATTTAGGTTATCCAATTCCAACACGATTTCCATTAACCAAAGCTGAAGAGCGAAGTCTTAAGAAAATTAGGAGAAAAATAAAGAATAAGATTTCAGCCCAAGAATCGAGGCGCAAGAAAAAGGAATACATGGAGGAACTTGAAAGACGAGTTCAACAGTTGGACCAACGGGCCAAAGAATCAGAGAGACGGGCTCAACAATTAGACCAACGGAATAAAGAATTGGAAAATGAAAATAAAACGTTAATGCAGCATTTTAGCCTTTGCAAGGCAACCCATACTCATGTCAATCAGCAGCAATTAACAAGCACAACGGAATCCTTGTTAATGTCTCTTGATTTACCAATGATGAAAAAAATCAAAATTGAACCAGAAGAGGAGGATGCTGGGTCAACTATTTAAGAATCAAAAACATAAAGATATTTTAACTTATACGCCTTCAACTACCCATTTTTGGTACAACACATTCAACATGAATGCATGCGATGTGATGCACAATGTTCAACACGGATTTTTTTATTATTATTAATTTTATTATTATAATTATTATTATAGCTAATTGTAATTCTCTGATTGTTGGACAATCTCTGTTTTTTTCCTGGGCAAACGAAAATTATTATATTATTCTTATTATCTTGACTTCTCTAAGAATTGAAATGTATCATCCAGCATAATTATGGGTTCTCTCTTCTTCTTCTTTCTCTGTCTCTTTTTTTCCTTCTCTTTCTCTTCTTGTTTTTTTTCCTTCTTCCTCTTCTTTTTTTTCAAATCTGGTCAATTGCTTTGGATGAACGAGAATATCTGATCAATTATTATCATAATAAATTTATGGGTGAAAACTGAATCTTCAATCTATTTTGATTTAACCAAAAATTGAATGTTAAGGCTTTTATGAGTTTTTCAGTATCTAATCATTTCTCCTTTTTTTTGTTAACTTTCCAGTATAAAGGCAATTTACAAATGACAGTTAATGATAAATTATTTTCACTACTTCTGGATAAGCTTATGAGTTGAAATTCATATTATAATTTTAGCTTGAGTCTGTGTCTTTACCCAGATGGATATAACAGATGAGATAAAAAGTCAGCCAACTGAGAAACTAGTAAAGTAAATCACATTTCAACTTAGCTCATTATTTTGCACTTTTACATGATAAAATTTATTCATTTAAATGTAATTGAGTTAATAAGTTTTGGACATATTAGTAATTTGAGGTACATTAAAGAGAAACTAAATTTCAAATAATCAAATGAATGTTGTACGGTTTGGTATTAGTGAAAGCCTGGGCAAGCAATGTCAATAGACATGTTAATTATATTGAGGTAGACTATTAATATTTTTGTCAATCACTAGTTTGCTGACTTTCACAATTAGTTACAGAATTGAGAATTAAAGCGGAAAATTTGTTGAGGTTAAAGACTTTTGCGTTAATGTAAATGTATTTATGAATGTTCGTGTAACAGTGAGTGGAATCTGAATGAGTTTTATTATATACAGACCAATCAAAAATTATATTAATACATGAAATTAATTTTCATATTTGGCTTGTAGATGAAAGCTGATAATATTGTGAGACTTATAAAATCAGTAAACAGATTGGTTTTAAAACAAGAATGTAGACAGTTCATGACAGTAACTTTATACCTTGACTAAATATAAATATTGTAACAGAAGTAAAATAATGAATATTTTATTCCAGTGATTGCCAATCAACTATCTTCGAATCGTCCCAAACCATATCACCTTTGGGTTTTAAACTATTAGGTGGAAGCAACGCACAGTAAACAGGCGCTTGAGCTCCTCGCTCTATAGTCATTGGCCCCTTATGATTAGTCAAATCAGTATCAACTGCTCCTGGATGTACGGCATTGATGACAATATCTTCCCTGCTGTCTTTGTTGAACTCTCGTTGGTGGATAAAAGTCAAAACGGATAAGAAAACTTTAGAGGCAGCGTATGGTCGTGCAGGCCAACCTTTGTCTAAGTGAACACCCGCTTTAACATCAACTAAATATTCGTTAACCAGGGAAACCAATTCATCCTCAGTCAAATCAGGATTGGTAAGTTTTTGTCGTATCTCTGGACTAGTTACTTGCTTCAACATACCAGCAGCGCTTGAAACATTGACAACTCTAGCATGAGGTCTTAATAAAGGAAATAATGTCTTACAAACATCGAGATTGGCAAAAAAGTTGACATTAATAGTGTCTTCAGCTTGTTTAACCAAAGGATCTGTCGCATCACGTCTATAAGCTATAGCTGCATTATTGACAAGAATGTCCAAACCTTGATATTCATTCTTGATCGTTTCAGCCAATTTATTGATGCTGTTTTGGTCAGATATTTCCAGTTGATGTAGAACAGGATTTAAACCTTTTTGTTTAAGAGCGTCAACCGCTTTTTGTCCTCGTTCCAAATCTCTTGAACATAACATAACAGTTCCATCAAATTTTTTGCAAAGCGCTTCGACGATGGCAAATCCAATTCCTTTATTGGCTCCTGTAACAACAGCTAAACGTCCCATAATTTTATTACAAATTAAATACACAAATCACAAGAAGTCAAACTGAGAACTGGCAAGTTACTTTGTATTGAGATCGAGGGTATACAGTGTATGTTGTGCACAAAAACAAACTAAATGTTATTTCTGTGACTAGACATATCCATACTTTGTGTTAAATACCTTCGTAAGATTATTAATCAGCTAAGAAAATAAGGCGACTTATTAAATCAATTTGCGATAAACATGCAATAAAAAGATGACGTCTTCGAAGGTAAATAAAAAACAAGAACACATTTAGCACATTTTAAGTTCGATAGAGTTAATAAATAAACACGAAATAGAGATTCTCTGATCATTGCTAACCGATTGCATATAACTAGAGTACAAGTAAAGATGTAAAATCATTAATAAACTTGCAAAAAAATCTCTATTAATACCAATTGTATTCATGACTTTCAACATTCAATCAATCAATATAAACCGATTAAGTTAATCTTAATTATTGTTCCAGATTTATGTTACATGAGTATTCGCAATGATAATTACGATTCATATTGAAAAAATGATGAACTGGAAGTTAGATAAGAAAATATTACGGACAACTTATTCTCTTCGTTACTATTCAAGTTCAAGTAATAGCTTTAAGATACAATCATCTCAGGATGTTAGATGGAAATAAAAATAATCAGAAATATTTCACACCCGTTTATAATGTACCATATTTAGCTTGATAGCTTATTGCGATAATGGACTTGAATAAAGAATCAATTTAAACTTAAATTGAGTAGATAAGTTATGCACATCATAAGATAGACAAAAAAGCGGTTAATGTGCCATTTGTACCAGATAGTTTAAAATTGGTTGACAATAATCTGTTGACGCAGTTGATCTGTAACTTTGATTTGCGCAGTGGTGATAGCTCATTATTTGTTTCTTTACTTGATTTAAGTTCACTTCATCTTTGATAATTGATCTTTTCCCGGCGTTTGGACCACTTTTAATTTTACCAAGTCAGTCATCAGTCAAATATCATTTGCTTTGCGTCAATCGATTGTGAGGATCATCAACATTCAGAATCTTGAAACAAAGAAAATTTATTTGAAGTAAGTATCCATTGTTCAATCACATACATGAAGTTGAAACGTTAGACAGTATTCAATCTAAAAACGTTACTTAAGTTACCTGCTTTATAAATAGCCGATCAGCTACGGAGTCTTTGTCTCACTTTAAATTTGAAAATGTCATCAAACAATTTACTTCCACTTGATATTTTTAATATCTGTTTTGAATCACAAAATTTGAAAATGTGATGAAGTGCCAGTTTGGAATGACATATAAACATTGTTGTAGCATTTAAATTATTTCAGTTTGATTGTTTGCTTTTAAAATCGTAGTTAGTTGTGCGTTATTTCACTTTGAATTTTGACTTATCCATTAGAAAATATGTAGTAAAGTGTCAAAGTATATGAAAATATTCATTTTGGTCGGAATAATTAATCCATTTAAATTTTTATTCAACAGGTTGGTCTAATCTTCTTTTCCAGTCAATTTAAACTTGCCAATAGTTAACAATTCGGAGCTGAACACAAATGGATTCGAAATTGGTTGATAACTTAGAAACAGGTGTATTCTCATTACAGGAATATTTAAAAAGTTTATGTAGAGGAGAACAACTCGAGATGAAAATAATTAAATCCAGGCAAAGGTTTCTTCTCGAAGTTTGTGTGGACTCATTTGAATCAGCAGTAGCTGCAATTCTTGGAGGAGCTGATAGACTAGAAGTATGCTCAGCTTTAGCTGTTGGTGGTTTGACTCCGAATCTATCTTTAATGCAAAAAATTTTCAATTATAAATTGAATAACAAATTTTCTGTTTCTTTGGCTGCAATGATTCGTCCACGATCTGGAGATTTCATTTACTCTGAAGAAGAGCTTTCTTTCATGATGGACGAAATAGATCACTTAATCCCTGTCTGTGATACCTTCGTTTTTGGATGTTCAAGTGTCGATGAAGACGGAAACGTTTGCATAGATACCAAAAGCTGTAAAATTTTATTAGACCACATTAAATTGCGAAGCCAAGGGGTGAAGAAATATACCACTTTTCATCGCGCTTTCGACTTGTGTACGGATCCAGTGAAAAGTTGCACTAAATTAATTGATCTTGGATTTGACTGTATTCTCACATCTGGATGTGAACCAACAGCACCTCAAGGAGCAACGAAATTGAGAAAGTTGCAAGAACTTTACGGTAATGATATAAAAATCATGGCTGGCTCTGGTGTTAAGCAGGATAATTTGAAAAGCATGTATGACACAACAGGACTTTTCTTCTATCATTCATCGGCAAGCAAACAATTCGAGTCCCGGATTGCGACTAACTGTGAGCGAATATTTCCTTATGGGGTAGCAAAATGGCAGACAACAGATATATACACAGTTTACAAGATGAGCAAAATCCTTGATGACATAGAAAGCAATCACAAGTCTTGAAATTAATTTTTCCCTTTGGAACCATGGAGGAACATTTAATGCTGATAGCCCTTGACAATTTTATAACAACCAATAAATCAATTTATGATCAGTTCACTTGAGAATTCATTATTCGTATATTTCGGTATATGGTTTAAATTAACTTTTTTCAAAAAATCTTCTATTTCACCAGCAGGTTTGAAAAAATGGATACTCAGGTCGTTAAACGCTTCATAAATATCTGAAGGAGCGTTCAGAGGAAATTCAATAGTTAGATTGCTTTGGTAGGTATGTATTAGATATGCAAAATCTTTCTGTTGGTCTGAATCAATAAACGAGTTCACCAATGATTCAAAACTGGTCCCTAATAATACCATCTTGCTCAAACTGGAAGATGACCAATTAGACCAGAGTAAATTATTGTACATTGGAATAGGACAGTGAGGCATATAAAAAAATGTTGATGAAGTAATTTTTCTTGCTCCTTTTTCATTCACATCCATGATTTTGAAACCGTTAGCAGAAAGGAATTTTTTTTCGTGGTCAGTAAACACCGGATCATAAATAAGCCATTCTTCTGCGGTCACTATTTTCTCATTTTTTAAGATGAAGAGAAGACTGAGTTGGTAAAGAGATTCTTTTGATGCGGAGAATCTACCGATTCCGTATGAAACTACTTGTCCAAATTGTCTGAATGGACATTTATCGGAGTTCATTCTCGAGTTATCAAAACGTTTTTTGTCATCAGTGGATGTGTTTGTTCCAACTTTGTTACCAATAGGTTGAGATAGTCCATGAATAACCCGCTCAACAAATTTGATTCTTTTGAGAGTTTCTGAGCATTTATCCAATTTAGAGCTCAATCTAGAAGAAAATTCTTGGTCATCGACCTCCTTTTCGTCGCATTGGTCTATGAAACAATAAGCTAATTGGGATCTTTGGTTCGATGAAGGATTCTTTTTTTTACCTTTTCGACGTCGATTTACAATCGTGAAACCATCCGTAGAAAGACACTTTGCATCTATAAAGATAGGATTATTAATATCAAATGAAAATTGTATTTTTTCAGGTGACTTACTCATTTTAAAGGTAGTTAGAAAACTTTAACCAATTATCACATGAATTAGTCAACGACTAGTCAAGGAAGAAATTTTGATTACTCGATACAAAACACTTATCGATAATACGCGTTCATTGATCATCAAATTGAAAATACTTCTGATGAAAAATTAATAGTAGATCACAATTTACTAATAACTATTTAGACACAGAAAAATTCTTGAGATGAATTATTTGCCTCTTTGTTCACAGGTCATCCATGGAAGGATAAGACAGAAGCAAAATACCAAAAATTTTGGATTGGCCCAATTATTTCGATTTCATACATGTTTTAAGTACAATGAGTTAAATAAAAGTTGTTTTTACAAAGATGTTTACCTCAATCAACAGCTGAAATATGTGTGTGCTCGTAAAATTATGGCGCCAGATATGAGAAGAAAGGTAATCAATAAAGTTTAAATAGAGCCTTTCCAGCTATTCAAAGTCAAATATCTTCGAATCTATGCAATGCACCATTTTGTTGAAAAATTCATTCATAAAAATTCAGTTCTAATGGACAATCAGATCTTAATTTATCATTTTGCCGATTAATTTAACCAATTTGGTTTTTATAGCTTTTGCGCAGTGCGCATTAAAACTCATGTGATTTTTGTTATGATTTGTTGAAATATCCGAAGCTCTTACAATTTTATTTAATTGTTGGATTATCTTATTACCATTTACTTGAGAATTGTCAACTTTTTGTTTATTGTGCCATTGTTTATCAGTTCTCAGCATAGCTGAATATGGAAGCCAAAGGTGATACCGTGACAACCAACGAACCCTCAGATCCAAATGTGACACAATACAAACTTGAAAAGGAAACAGAGTTAAGATTTGAGATTGATGGTAAAGAAAAGGTTCAAATTGAATTGATTTCTGGTTTAGCAGAGATATTTGGAACTGAACTGATAAAGGGCAAAAAGTATGAATTTTTCAAAGGGACCAAAGCAGCAGTTTTCACTTGGCATGGTTGTGTAGTTGATGTAACCGGTAATTGCAGTCGCATCTATATTGATCAAGATACTCCAATGAAATTTTATGCAAATGTTCATGGTGGATTGGAGGTTTTGAGGAATGAGTGTAAAGAAAATGGAAAGAGAGGCCCATTCACTTTAATAGTTGGTCCATCTGACACAGGAAAGGCTACACTCGCTCGTATTTTATGTAATTTTGCGGTAAGCTATAAAAAATGTTAGCCTGAAACGCTTTTTTAATAAAAAATTTTCTATTATTATTTACAGATCAGAAGAGATAAGTGTCCAATCCTGATTGATCTCAACGTGGCCTCTAACAGAATTGGAATACCTGGAACCATAGGAGTTAATGCCATGGAGCGGTTAGCAGACTTAGAGGATAAAACTTCTCCAACTGCTCCTCTAATTTTTCATTTCGGTTCTCTATCACCTGAACAAAACGTTAACTTTTATAACTCTCTGGTTACCAGAGTAGCTGAAGTTGTTGAGAAAAAAGTGGAATTGAACAAACACGTACGATATTCAGGAGCTTTCATAAATACTTGCAATTGGGTAAGTTTCGAGAGAAATATCCTTGAGAACATTGCGTTTAGCTATCCCTTAAATTTTGTTTCTTAAAGCTTTGTTTCGCTTTGATGTAAAAAAAGCTCTTATGAACTGCTGATAAATGTGATTTTTTTTTCTTGTTTTTTAGCTTGCAGGAGAGAATGGATACAAATCCTTGCTACACATTGCTGCAGCATTCGAGGTGGACGTTATTCTGGTCTTGGACATGAAAAGCTTATGCTATGATTTAACTCAAGAGCTACCTAGATCTGTTAAAATAATTGACACTCCTAAAAGTAGTGGGGTTGTCCGTCGTAACGCTGCCTATCGAGATGAAATGAGGGAAGAACGGATAAGAAGATATTTCTATGGATCTTATAAGTCTTGTGGTCCTCCTAAATTTTCACCTTATGCATTTAACATTCCCTTTTCTCAATTAAAAATCTACAAAGTTAGTTCAATATCCACACCAGCTTCTTGTTTACCGATTGGAATGTCTCCAAGAGATGATCAAACTAAACTTGTCAATATTACTCCTGATCCATCTTTGAATCGTCATATTTTGTCGGTCAGTTTTGCTAGCGATTCATCTGAAGGTGTTAAATCTAATTTAATGGGTTTTGTTTGTGTTACTCATGTTGACACAAAGAGAAACTTTGTTCGAGTTCTTTGTCCTCAACCTGGACCAATTCCTTCTGGGTCTATACTTTTATACTCTGACATTCAATTCCAAGATTCAGATTGAGTTGCATCCCTTTTAAACCATAACAAAACTTACATGTAAAAAGATCTATGTTATTCAATAAATCTATTTATCTAATCGTAAATGTTACACAAAATTGATAAATAACAGAAAAGGGCAGACAGTTCATGAGAGTAACTTTATTATTAATATGAAATAAATGTTATAGAGTTATTACATTATTACGAAGTTATACCAATTTTTAAAGGAAAGTTTTTGTTTTCTTTTTTGTTTAATATCTCTGATGTAGTGATCCAACACATAATTGTGATTATTTTATTCCACTGATTCCAATGATTGCCAATCAACTATCTTCGAGTTGCACCAAACCATATCACCTTTAGGTTTCGTGCTATTAGGTGGCAGTAACGCACAGTAAACAGGCGCTGAAGCTCCTTCCTCTATAGTCAATGGTCCCTTGTGACTTGTCATGTCAGTATCGACATATCCTGGATGCACAGCATTGATGACGATATCTTCCCTGGTGTCTTTGTTGAACTCTCGTTGTTGAATGAAAGTCAAAGCAGACACGAAAACTTTAGAGGTAGAGTATGCTGTTTGAGGCCAACCTTTGTCTAAGTGAACACCCGCTTTAACATCAGCTAAATATTCCTTAACAATCGAAATCAATTGATCCTCAGTCAAATTAGGATTGGAGAGTTTCGTTCGTATCTCTGGACTAGATACTTGCTTCAACATACCAAGAGAGCTTGAAAGATTGACAACTCTAGCATGAGGTCTTAATAGAGGAAATAATGTCTTACAAACATCGAGATTGGCAAAAAAGTTGACATTTATAGTGTCCTCAGCTTGTTTAACGAAAGGCTCTGTTGCATCGTGTTTATAAGCTATAGCTGCATTATTGACAAGAATGTCCAAACCTTGATATTCATTCTTGATCGTCTCAGCCAATTTATTGATGCTGTTTTGGTCAGATATTTCCAGTTGATGTAGAACAGGATTTAAACCTTTTTGTTTAAGAACGTCAACCGCTTTTTGTCCTCGTTCCAAATCTCTTGAACATAACATAACAGTTCCATCAAATTTTTTGCAAAGCGCTTCGACGATGGCAAATCCAATTCCTTTATTGGATCCAGTAACAACAGCTAAACGTCCCATAATTTTATTGCAGATTAATCACACAAATTACTTGAAACACAAATAGTAGAGTTAGAATAAAAGACTATATGATATCTGAGCAAACTGATGAAATGTAAACTGTTAGATGACAATTACAATGTTAGTAATTCGCGAAATCAATGGGATTAAATAATAAAATGATAGGGCGGTAAATGAAAAGAAACAGACATTCATTAACGCATGTGCATTTCAAACAATTTGTTCAGTGCATAATGTTCTTGATGAATCAATGTGAAAATTTTTGAATGTCCTTGATTAAATAATTTATAGACGAAAGCTTGATGAATCGTCTGTCTCTAAGTTAATTAAGCATAGTTTATTGAGAAAAGCTTACAATAAGCCTCCACAATAAATCAATTGAAATTTAGTTACTTCTCAACTTACATAGATTCAATTTATAAGAGTACACATGTATTGAAATCCCTGAAAATAAAACACGATTAGAGTTATAAAAATGAATTATTATTTCCAAATATGTAGCTCGGGCTTGTAATAAATAATTTAGTCAAAGTAACTTTAATGAAATCAATCAAAAGTTAAATGTTAAGGATGATGTTTGGGAATAGTCGCAAAAAGTATTAAGCAGCTAATAAAACAAGGCAGATCGTGTAATCAATCAACAATGATGTCTTCAAAATTTATTCAAACAAAATATGTTCAACCTGTTCAGCAATTGGAGTTGAGAAGCAATTTCAATCTAGAAAATAATGATTTACTCATCTCTGTAGGTGCATTAATTTGTGATGAACCTCAAAAAAATGGTTGGTTATAATAAACAACCAAATTCAACATTGAAAATCCAATTAAAAAGGAAAAAAGCTCAGAAATATTCAAAATCTCGTAACAGAAGAGTTTGATTTGTTTCATAAATCCCGACTAACTAATCTTATAATCACTAGATTGCTGATCAATGGCAGCTTAAATTGTAATAATGTAGCTATATAAAGCAAAATTAAATAGATGCCCATTTTTATAACTATTAGACTTGAAATGATAAATATTTACAAGTTATCTTTGCTATGATGCTCAGAACATTTTATCATTTAACTCGAGTCCAATGATTAAAGGTACAACTGCAATAAACTATTGCTAATAAATTATTAGTATTAATGCAGTGATCATGATAATGATCATTACGATAGGCGTAATTTTTACATTTAAAAAGCCCTTCTTAATTCCTTACTCGATGAATCAATTCATGTAATTCTCATAAGAGTTTGTGGACTTGAATCAGTATTTCTGAAAATCTTATAACTTGTTAGTTTGCATTGATTTCCTTTGCTGTGTGATCTTTACTCAAAATGCCAACATTCAGTCAAAATATTCACTAATGTTTAATTCAAATTATTTAGCCATAATTGATTAATCAACAATCCGTCTCAAGATCATCAATCGAACAGGAAAATATACGTTATAATTTGACAATAAGATATCTTCAAATAAAGATTTAATTTTGATTTTGATGATTGCAAGAATAAAATGTCAAGACATCCTCTCTTGTACAAACAAACTTTATCATGATTCCTACGAAAAAATACCTCAATTTTAATCTCACAATTTGTCAGCTAATTTAAGGTATTAATAAAAATGAACAAATTGAAATTAAAGACTCATACAATTCATTTCGTTGATGTTGTTTTTAACATTGATTTATTAGACTTTCAGATTGTACTCCACCAGATGGCAGACAGACTGCTCATTTTCGAGTAATTTCTTGACTTTTCGTTTTATTTACTTTTCCTTTTGAAGTAACTGAATTTTTCTCGACTTTTCTCGTTAATGTGGCGTTAGGTATATAAAGACCAGTCAAACTCAGGATGTCAATCGGAAAAGTTGTGAAAACTAACTGACCTAAGAAACGCTCTACACGCTTTAAACTCTCAAACTCTCAAACTTTTCAATTTCTTATTCTTGTGATCAATCTCAAGTTCTTGTTTTGTTTTGAATTTTGAGTGTTCCTTATTGAAAAGTTAATTATGGCTCTAAGCTCATTCGTTTTCAGACCAAACAATGATTGGTGGGACCTCTGGAACTGGCCAGAGCGAATTTTCGATCAACACTTTGGTGTGGCTCTTAGTGACGATGACTTTGTACCATCCAGTTTGTCTCGTTACCATGATCGTCCCATTAGCCGTCGTCTTTGGCGAGATCGCAAAAGTGCGGTGAAAAGTGGAATGTCCGAAGTGGTCAACACTAAGGATAAATTCCAAATTAATCTGGATGTTTCCCAATTTGCTCCAGAAGAGATTAACGTAAAAGTGGTTGACAATAAGAGTATAACCATTGAAGGTAATCATGAAGAGAAGCAAGATGATCATGGTTTCATCAGTCGACACTTCGTTCGCCGCTATGTCTTGCCAAGAAATTGCGAGGTCGATAAAATAGCTTCATCTCTCAGCTCTAATGGTGTTTTGTCTATCTCGGCACCCAAAAAGGTTGTTGAAGCTATTAAACCAAGCGAAAAAGTTATTCCCATTACAATGGCAGCCCCAATGGAAACAGATGATCAAGCTGTGCAGAAAAAATAAAGACTCATTAGTCGAATTCCATGCTTTAATTGCAACAAATCATGTAATTTTGTCACAATTTTGAAGCCTCCGATTACTCGAAACATGTGATTACCTCCAATGTATTTTTCACCATCTCAAAGATGTAACTGATCTCAATCAAATTGAAATAAAGGTCTTTTGAACTATAACATTTTTTCTTTTTCTTAATGTGTCAACTTAAGAAAATCTCTCGAATGGTTAGCAACCGAGAAAAACTTATTTAATCATCTATAATTAGACTTTTAAAAAATATTACAAATTGGTAACAGTTTAACGCTTAGACAATAATTTAACAAAGCCATAAATTTTGCGAAGTGTGATTCAAAGCAAATGAATTTCAACTTGTCTAGTTGCTTTAATACAAATTGAAGTATTAGATGGTCTTGATCCAACGTTATTCAAGAAACTGGTTAGATATAATTAAAATTATCAATAAAGCGCGATCTAATTCACAAGGCAAAATTCACTTCTCTAATTAAAATTAAATCAATAATCAAATTAACAACAAACACAATGAAAAAGGAAAGACTTTGAAAATTATTTGAGACAATCATGCGAAAGAAAATGCAGACACTTTGTTGTTAGGAAACGCTCCCTTAACTTATTTTCTTCATTAAAATTTCTCTTAAATTAAATCAAACTTTTTATTTCATTAGACTTGCAATTAGTGGTTATTAATCATGAACTTAAGATTGATTCCCATTTCTGTTTTAGAGAAACAAAAACACGTCGACAGATAAATAACGCAACTTATTCCGCAACCAAGAACTTGAATCCTCAAACTTTTAAATCTCAAAACGTAACCAATGAAATATTCTTCATTTCATTAACCACAGATAAATCACTGTTTATAAATCTTGAGAACAGATTTGCATTGATTTAAATTTTCTTTGAGTTTATTTTATGAACAGTAATCAATTTAAATGTAAAATTTAAGTTTTGTAGACTTGTTTTTTAAAATTAGGCGGCGATGCCTTGCAATGAAGGAGTTTGTGCGTCTCCTTGGTTACCTATCGGAAACGGAAGATGTTTTGCAGGCAGTTTTAGTGAATTGTTTGTGTAGTTGGTGAAACACGAGTTGTTATCGGATCGAGCAACATCTTATCTTTTCCTCTTATCTTATCTATTTAAATTAAATTAAGTTATCTTTTTAACTGCCTTTATCAACATCTTTCTTTGAAACACCAATAAATCTAATTTTCTTATCTACTTTCATTATCGTTTGAATCAAAGAAAACCTCTTATCTCATTGCGTTTATCTCAATATAAACAATCCAGCATGGTAAGTGTAACATACTCATATCTTATCACAATCTCAAGGGTAAACCTTGATAACCTACTAACCTCAATCACACAACAACACAATCAGTAAAAATTAACGAGAATATTATTATAAGAATCTAATCATTATTTTTCTTTTTTACAACCTTCTTTTTTCTCTGAACTACCAAACACCAGGCTACACAAGCAAAACAAACTCTGGTTGAACGTTGGGAGACCAACAAACAAAGCACCATAAAGTTCATACATGAAGCCATTGGATCGACACCCAAATATGTTGAACTAAAAGCAACACATAAAGAGAACGACATCAGGAAGGTTATTGTCCTCATCTGTGAAAATCTAAGAAAAAACAAAATCCCAGAAGATTGGAGTGTTGACACAATCAACCAAGCAAGTGCAATTACACGTTTCTTTGCTGATATTATCAAAGCCCAAAAAGAGAAAACGAGTATTCTGACCAAAGGAAAAAATAACAACGACAAACAAGCTTCCAACAACACTCAAGGTGACAATGACAAGGACAGAAGTCCTATCAACAACAACTTAGCCTCTACAAGCAAACAAGTAGAACATAATGTCACTAATCCTACCATGCCAACAACAGCTGACACCAATAACAATGGGTCTAACAAGAATGACCACGTGGTCGCTAATGATGGATTAGACAACAACGCCAAAAAGAGAAAGACTTCTCCTAATGATGAAAATGATAACATAATAATAGACGATAGCAAACTCAATGAAATCATTGACCTGGACAACATCAATCCCACTAAACGTCAAAGAAACATCAGCAAAAATTATATGAGAGATGAAGACGAGTTACAACCAGGATGGCATAAAATTAACAACATGGAAACCAAACCTGTAGTAATTGCTAAACCTGATGGTAACAACTACAAAGACTCGGCTTCACTCAAACACTGTATAAGCAACACTTTAGAAGATGAAGATAAGGACTACGGAGAAATTGAACAAGTTACCAAGTCTCAAAAGGTAGTTATCATTCATTTTGATGACATCTTGAATCGAGACAAATTTATGAAATATGTCAAGACCTATCAAATGAAGTGGAACTGTGAGATTCCTAATCTTAAAAACCCATGTATTAGAATCAATGGTGTTACAATCAGAAAAGAGAATGACTCGTCTATTGACTGGAATAAATGGTTGGAGAGAATCCTCAACAAAAACAAATGGATTCCCAAAACTCAGGACTCAGTTTTTAAAATTAACTTTAAGATAGAAAGGAATAATAAATGGAACATTGTTTTTGAGGTCTCTCCAAACATCAGACAGGCAATCGTACGAAGACAGGGAAAAATCTTTGTTGGTCTCCAAAAACATGATGTTTACGACACTTTTAACATCCATACTTGTTATAATTGTTCGAGCTATGGACATACTACCAACCAATGTGGACAACAACCAGTCTGTCGCTTTTGTGCAAAGCAACATTATACCAAGTGTGGTGTTAAGAATAAGAATAATTATAAATGCCATGCCTGCAAGAATTCAGGTCATGCTTTCAATGATCCGGAATGTCCACAATTCCTATGGAGACTCAAACATGAGCTACAATTCATCAACATGAACTACGAGCTCATAATGACTCCACCGAATTTGTGAACACTCTTTCTCTAAATTCAACAAATCATGAACAAAGATAACACTTCGTCATTCTTTCAATTTTATAAAACAAATCATTTGAGAATAGTACAAACAGCACTCAGAAACACCTCTCAATCAGCATCCTTTTTTACTTAATACAAGAATCATTCCATTTTCTTTCTTTTTACTCTCACAATAAACACTTCATAAGTTTCAACTTTCTGTATTAACATTTAAACAGTTCTTGTAATAACAAGAATCCATTTCTGATCTCAATAAAAACCTTTGCATCAATAATTTTTATAATCAAATTTCTCTTTTTTCTTTATTACTTTCTGAAACATTATTTTTAGATAAAGCCTAATAAAACGAAAGCTCCACATCTTCTTGATCATAATTATAGTCTGCCAAAGATCAACAAACTTAACCTCAGAGTTATCAATCACAATTGTTACAATAATGCAACATTAACAAAAAGATATTTTTCGAGAGCCCTAACCAACACTATTACTACACTTCAAGAGATTAATCATAAACAAATTACAAGCATCAATGAAGATAACAACATTGTCATAAATGGTACCTCAGCAATTTTACTACCATCAAACTATCGTATCGTAAAGAAGCACATGATCTCCAACAACACATTGGCAGTACTTGCAAAAAATGATTCCTTTGATATAGTAATCTTCAACATACATATACAACCACACATGATAATCCGCACCAATGAAACTCTTGAACACATGGCTACACTCATCAATCTTTACAAAAACTTACCCATCATTGTAGCTGGAGATTTTAACAGCGAAGCAAAAATCTGGACTCCAATTCATCTAACAAAAAAAGAATCCATTCTAAGATGTAATAGATGGAAAGGTGGTAAGAGAATAGACAGATGGCTATCAAACCTGAACAATATCTTCACATCTGTCTTTGAACCTGAGATTGAGAACTACACAAGACCAGCTAAAGAGGATGTATCATATATTGATGCTATCATTCATAATAATAAGATTGAGAACACTTTCTGTAAACTCATTGATGAACCACTATCTGATCACAGAATCCTGATGGCTAAATTCAGGGTTTCAAGCAACAACAAAAAACCCACAATCAAAAGAAAAATTATATTCAAAAGAACAAAGATCAATGAAGTAAAAATAAAGAACAACAAACTTGAAAAACACATAGACAAAGCCATAATTAACATCTTAAAACACCCTAACATACATGGAAAATGGGTAAATCTCAACAACATCAAAAGTAGAAGATTCAAGAACTTAAGAAAAAAGGAGAAACTTGGTAACAAAAGAGCTACAGAAATCATCAAGAATAAAATTAACAAATTTTCTATCAAAGACATTCTTAACAACTCCAAATGCAGCAGGAAAAAATGGCAAATAATAAACAAGTTCATCATTCAAACATCCAGCCAGATTGACATTGAACAAGCAGTTCAAGACAATGATCTACTCCTGAAAAACATCATAGACATTATCTCAAAATACAAGTACAGAACACCGAAGTTACATGATGATGATTTAATTGAAAACAAATCAGACATCGGTCTTACAATTGAAGAAACCAGATCGTTGGAGAAATATAAGGCCAAAACATCATCAGGAATTGCTGATGACTTTTCAATAAAACAATGGAACAAAGTATGGATTGAAAACAAGTATTACATTATCAAAATCATCGATTTGATTTTCCAAACATATCAAATTCCCAATCGATGCAAAATTTCTGGAATCACTATGCTGGTCAAACCTGATGGTGTCTCTATCAGACAAATAAGGTTACAATCTCATTTCATGAAAATAATAGACCAGATTCTCACAACAAGACTTCAGAAATACATTCACTTACTGATCAAAAACAATCAATTTGCATACATACCTGGAAGAAGTACAATTGATGCAATTCTAACTATTCATAAATTGCTGAAGAAAGAAGACATCATCATCAAGATCGACATTACCAAAGCTTTTGATAACATCAACAAGAACATCATATATAACAGACTGAAAGGTGTAATTGATGACCAAACATACAGTCTAATCAGAAGTTTCTGTACTGACAGATGGGCCAAAATCAGATTTAAACATGAGAATTATTACTCAAGAGATGATACCGGGGTGCCACAAGGGTCAAGCCTTGGTCCTCTTTTATATATTATTGGGATGGAACACGCACTTGACATTTTGAAACGTAAAAACTTTAGACTTGTAGCCTATGCGGACGATGTGGCAATAATCGAAGATTACAACAAAACGCTAACTGACCTTCCATTTATCTTAAATGAGGTTAGAGAAGCCTTCCATGAAATAGACCTCAACATCAATGAGCAAAAAACTATAATACAAACGAGAAACCAAGAACAAAGCTTCAATCTTGAATACATATACAGAGATATCAAAAATGAAGAAAAGATTAATTTCCTTGGCATTATGATTGAAGATAAAATAAATGATGCTATCATTGAAGAAATAGTAACGAAAGCCCTGAAACCCATCAGACCAAACATCAATACAATCATAACCCTTCAAGCTAACGTAAGAAACATTATATATAATGCTTTTATATCATCCAGTGTAAGAAGTATTATTTTTCAAACCATCAAAGATTACAAACCTTATAATAAATGCAGATTCTTCCTAAACATCATCAAAACCAATAGGGTAGTTGCCAGAACACTACAATGTTCGGAAGCTGGACATTGGACTCCTACCTTAATCATGGGAATAACAAACCCATGGATCAATGAAATCCCTAATTATCTCACAGCCATAATAAGACACAATGAACAACAAAACTTTGATATCATCAAAGATTTACAACTACATGAATATCACCTCAACAACAAATCAATCCCTGAACTTGACATGAAAATCAGAAACAAAACTAATATCCACACCAACTCATATCAAATCATGAATGGACACTCGAATACAGTTGCAATAATAACAAAAAACAGAACCTTTGGCTATGAAATAGAAGGCTATCTATCCATTCAACATAAAATCATTACGGCTGTTGAAATCATGACCAACATCATCCTTCAAAACAATGACAATCACTTTCATATAATATTACCATCCATGCTTAAATCCAAGAACCAACTAGATGAAGTAAGAAAAATACTTTACAAAATTCATATTTTTAACTGGACCTGGGAATGGGGTGATATGGGACAATGCTTGGTCGCTAGTCTTGGACTAATACGAGCAGTCGTGCGAGAATCGGACGTTAGAAGAATAGCCACGAGAAACTTTAAAAATCTACTCATTTGTCACATGAGAATGGAAAACAACACGATCATCAACTTTAACCCACAATTCAAACAACGGACACTCAACTACATAGGAAGGAACAGACCGAGATACCTTATTGACCTTCTACAGAATATCACGAGACTAAAATCAAGAACCAAATGCTGCAATTGTACCAAAGCTACTATCAATCACTATCTTTTCGAATGTCCAACCATGAAAGACCTTTTCTTAACAAACAATCTTAACATCTATAGCTCTCACAAGAATCAATGTAATATCATCAAATCACTCGAAAATGTCCTTGACAAACTAACCCATATTTACTCCAATAACCCTAACAGAAACCCTAACAGCAAATTTCAAATCTCAAATTATACAAATTTTGTTAAAAACTGGAATCAAAATACAATGTAAAATTACAAACTTGGCGGTGATGCCTTTCCAGGGGGAGCCTGGATATACAAATCCTTGTCTCCCTAGCTACTCTCCGGAAACGGAAAGTTGGCAACACTTGTTTAAGACAACTTCCTAACAGAAGCAATAAACTTATCCACTTTAATTTAATTTAATTTCTTAATTGTGACTTTATATAGTTTATTTGAGTGAAAAAATTAGTTATCATGTCTGGAGGATTGCGAGCTCTCGCTATTACCCAAGATGATGTGTCCAAATTTCTTGCTTGTCACACACATCTCGGTGCTAAAAATGCTGATTTTCAAATGGAACAGTATGTTTTCAAGCGACGTGGTGATGGTGTTCACATAATTAACCTTCGCCATACTTGGGAAAAATTGCTTCTTGCTGCTCGAGCTATCGTCACCATTGAAAATCCAGCAGACGTTTGTGTAATCTCTTCTCGAGTCCAAGCTCAGAGAGCTATTCTTAAGTACGCTACATATACCGGTGCTACTCCAATCGCCGGTAGATTTACTCCTGGTACTTTTACAAATCAAATTCAAGCTGCTTTTCGGGAACCTAGGCTTCTTGTTGTTACTGATCCAAGATTGGACCATCAACCATTGACCGAAGCATCTTATGTTAATATTCCTGTTATTGCTTTCTGTGACACTGACTCACCTCTTAGATTTGTCGACATAGCTATCCCTTGTAATAACAAGGCTCCACTTTCAATAGGTTTAATGTGGTGGATGTTAGCTAGAGAAGTTCTTAGGTTACGAGGAAAGCTTTCTAGAGAGATTCCTTGGGAATCAACAGTTAAAGTAGATTTGTTCTTCTACCGAGACCCTGAACAAGAAGAGAAAGAGGAAGCCGCTGTTACTGAAACTGCTAAACCAATTGCTCGAGCTGAAGTTGATGGAGCTTACGCTGAAGAATGGACTACTTCCGGTAGGTCACGAATTGATATTTATTCTATGTTCACAAATTTCTCATTTTTTATTCTAATTCATTATTTTATCTTATTCTCTATTTTTCAAATTAGCTCCAGTTGAAACTCATGAACCTGCTGATATCCCAGCAGTCACCGGAACCGCAGTAGGAAGCAATTGGCCATCAGCCGGAAGTGCTGCAGCATCAGTCCCCGCTCCAGCCCCTGTAACTCGTGACTGGACTCCTCAAGTTATCGGAGATTGGGGAGCAACTAATGATGACTGGGCCTAATTCTTTCATGTAGAAGGGAATTCAAAACTCTTTTGATTAAACTATGATTTTGTCAATTAATTTAAAATTGTTTCATGATGTTTTCACAATCAGAAGTTTATTGAGACATTAATGTAATGAAGATTATTGAGTTGTTAGAATACAATTGAAACATTACATTCTTGGTCACGAAATCCACGTTATTCAGGGCTTTCATGTTGCTATAATTTCTCAGATGATACCAGAATGTTTTAATTTCAATATTAGTTATTATATTAGCTATACTATACTTCATATAATATCAAATAGCTATTAGTGTTATTATTAGATTTTATTTCATCAGGTGTTTGAGTATTGCAAAATATTGGTTACTAGGCTCGTTTTGTTCGCGATTAATATGATAAATATAACTTTGTTAATCTTTAGTACTACTCTTCATGTGTTTGAACATAAACAACTTTCTGCAAACCAAACATTAACCCGAACCTAACATAAACTTTTCCACTTTTATTATCGCGATCGGAATTTTCCACAGTTTTTTTTCCACTTTTGTCTGTTTTTTCATGTGTTTATTTATGTCACTCTAAATCAGTTTAAATATTAATATACAGCATCTCGATACTGATAATGGAAAAGATAATCTGATGTATAGATTGTGAAATCTTTAATTTTATCATTGGCTAATCATCCGGTTCACACATGGCTCGAATGAGTTAATTGTCAAAATCGGTGTTCTTTTTTATAATTAAAGAGAGAAATATGAGAAATAATTTCTATTGAATTAGCAAATTATAACTATCACTTGAGTAAATTGAGCTCATTGATGAATATCAAACGTCATCAATTAAATTGGTCAATTTTGCTGAAGAATTCAAAATTGTCAGAAGTAATTACAATTCAAAGTCTATTCACTTGCTATTTCAATTGTTATCTTTCATAATCCAATAAAATATATTAGTTATAAAAGCAATGAATTACTAAGACCGAAAGCAATAAGTATAATTAAATAAATAAGTTTATATAGTAGATGAAAACAATTTTTCTGTAAATCAATCAATTTTAATGATGCATTAAAAAAGAAACGAAATTTGACAAGTTATAAAAAATAATTCTGATACAATCTTGTGGCAAGAGAATGAATCAATGAATGGTGAGAAAAATGAACAGAGAGAAATTTTAACATAAATAATACAAGATTTAGAAGCAATTGTCCGAATGTCATCATGTCTTTTTCAAAATTTGCAGCGTACTTGCATAAGTACCAGTGAAAAAACCTAAGATTCCAAACAATGAAATGACGGCGTCTTTAATTACAATTAGAGTCCATTTGGCTGTAAAAGGATTATCCCAATTAACAATGATGTCGATAAGAGGTGGAAATATTAAAGCAAGACAGCTACCAGAAAGAGCACCGACCAAGGAAATGACGGTATCCAGTTCAGGTACAAGTCGAGCAATAAGGAATGTCAATGATATTAATAAAGTTCGAAGAACAGTATCCAAGAGAATGGTTTTCCTTTCACCAGAAACCAATTCGTATTTAGTCGCAAAGTAAGGCCACATAATGTTAATTGGTACATAAAATTGTACCGCATAAGATAGAAAAATGGCTATCGTGAACATTAATTGTACAATAGCATATTTTTTTTCCGGAGGCCAGCTCATGGTTATACTGCCCTGGACTCCAGGTCCGTACTTGAGGAAACCAAAAAATCCAATTCCTGTGTAGAGACATAGCACTACGCCCATACCAAGGTTAAGAATACCAGCGAATCCACCCAAAGCAGATGGATGTCTCATCTCTTTTCGCAAAGGTAACACTAAACCGATTCCTTCAAAGGCGTAAATAGCTATTCCAAAATAAAGAGGAAGTTTTTCGACGTCGTTGATAGCAGGTCTACTTGAGATAGGAGGTAAATTTTGACAGAGATCGTAAAAAACAAATATAAGACCACTGGTTTGTAAAATGTTAGCAATGGTTGAAATAATAGCTAAATGTTTCCAATTTCGAATAAGATTAAATAAAATCATAACGGGAAGCTCAATGATTAACAATAGTTCAACACGTAAGTGGTAGCCAAACAGGACACGAATAACAATCGATAAATTTGAAGCAACAAACAAAGAGTATACACAGCAAAATCCTAGCTGTGTTATGATTAAAAAAAGGACCACAGCCCGACGAGCCCATATCGCTTTACTTCGTAAGCACCTGGGACCTAGTTGTAGTGCTTTTTCGGCCACCTTTAATAACGATAAAAAAAGTAAAACAAAAAACAAAAAGAGTGATTAGGAAAAGCTGTCAGTGGGTAGTTATAAAAATGTGAAAATATTAATCAATTGTCGTCAAATGGATTGTGTAATTGTTCAATAGATGCAAGCAATGTTCAAAGGTTGTCGTAATATACCCAAATTTGATAATAGATGATATAATTTATCGGTTAAATCAGCTGTTGTAACTATTAACCGACAATTAGAGGGCGGAAATGAAAGGAGAAATTTAAATTCAGTGTTTGTCTAAAGAAACAAGGGGAGTGTTTTTTTTAAATACGAAAAGAGGGGATAGAATATGAGAAAGAACCTTGAAGTTTTTAATGAATTTCCAGCTTTGCTCAATGATAGCAAGGTAATTCACTATCAAAGCGAGAAAAAGTAAAAGGATTCAATGAAGCTTATCTTTTATAACAATTACACAAACCAGAACTGGCGTAAATTGAAGGAAAGGTAAAAGTATTGACTTACTTCTTGGTAATCTAAGGCCCTGTATCCCAATATATTGCATATTTTGTTATGAGAATTGACCAACAAGTGCATACAATGAATTGCGATGAAACCAAGAATTGGCAGGGCAACAGTACCCAATATAAGACCAGAATTAGCAAAAGCATTTGGAATGGCCAATATTCCAGTACCAATGTTTGCTTTTATTAATTGCATGAAAGTTAAAGTATTTGAAGTCAAATTGGCTGGAGAATCATGATCACTAGGAAAGTTGGAAGAGTGAATTAAAGGTTTAGTCTCGGAATGAGTCTCAATGATTCTTCTTTCTGGCATAAAATCTACATTTAAAGCCGTTATATCCACTTCTTGACTCATACAATTAACCGAAGTGAAAACAGGATCATCAGCAGATCCATTATAGTTAGATACTGGTATTATGGCGTGAACGGCAGTTGTCGTGGTTGTTGGAGTATTAATTTCACACGTTCCATCAGCGTAATTTCCATCATCTGATGAACTGTTGGTGGAACACGATAGTCTTAAACGATGATCTTGACTAGAAGACATCTTGAAATGTCATTGAATGCGGTCACGGGAAGTACACTGTTGAATTAGAGAGGGTAAAAACAGGATGAAAAAATACCAGAGTAATTTGGATTGGAGCAACATTAACTTCTAAGCAATAGAAACCAACTGTTGAATGGTGAATGTTGCTGATCACAATTTTTCACTCTTTTTTCTTTCCTCTTGCTCTCTCTATCTCTTTCTCCTTCAAACTCTCCCTCGCACTTACTCACTCTAACAAACTTGTTCCCTTTCCCTCTACTAATTCCTAATGTTTACATTTGGTTCAACAATTAACAGAATATGAAACTTACCAGTAAAATTCAACCAAACTCTTTGAACACATAGAATGAAGTTACTTTACCATAAGCGAACCTTCAATATCCATAATCTTAAACAAGCTCAAAACAGTTCACTTTACACTTTAACAAACGATTTGGTGAATTCACAATAAAAACAATTCTTCAACTGAAATCTCCAGTCGTGAGCTTTTCACTTCTTTCTTCTTCTCTTTTGTTTCTTACATCATGACATTATTTTCAATTGAACGTAAAAAGGTTAACCAAACGTTCCAGTTTCATTTTCAATGAAATTTTTCACGAAAACGCAAAAGTTACGCCATCTAGTTTGAGCGAAGAGTTGTATTTCATCAAAGTTGCTCAAATTACTAATAAAATCATTGATTATCTCTAACATCAAAACAAAATCTTAACTCACAATTAACTGCAAGCCTCAGAATTAGTTGAAAACGATTGTTTAACAAATGATTCGTCGATGCAACTAATCATTTTTACCATTAGCGTTTCCCTATTAATTGACAATTGCTTCTGATGTTACTCTATTGTGGACAGTTTTGTTGAGGAAAGTCTCTTTAAAAAGTGATGATGTTTGATTTGGTTGATTTGGTGGATGTGTTAGATTGGGTGGTGGACAATGCGGTGAAAAGACGGTAAAAAAGTGGTGGATGTGGTGGAGAAAAGCCGGTCCCGATCAAACACCTTATGGATAGAAACATTTCATTATCAATCGCAGTTAGCTTTAAATTGTTTTCTTATAAATCATCGAATCAATGTCCTAAAATTATAAGAAAAATACGATTTTTCTATTTACGGTCAATTCGCGTAGACAAGGTTGTTGACTTCACTCGGTTGGATGAAGATCGAGAACCCATGAACCAAAAAAACCCAGAAAAACCCAACTTAATGCCAGTGTTTCTTTAAGTTTCACTAATGGAGATTACTGGAAGTTGCCCTGCCAAAAGTACGGTCTAAATCGTTCTAAATATTTGAGCTTTAGATAATCTTTTGTGCAATTTTGGTCTCAGATAACAAATTTAGTTGCGATCACAGTTGCGAAGTTTATTCACCATTTTTCATCACATGATATACTTTGATCTACTTAATGTTATTGAGATTGACGGAGGTTCCAACATACAGTTGTATAATTATTAATACAAAGGTTGGAAAACTTCAGGTCGAAGATTAGAAGTAAATTAGTTGATCTGAAAGATAATGAATTTTTCCATTGAGGGAAAGATTAGTTTGTTTACTCTGACTGTACCAAATTGTGGGGAAAAGGCCTCAAAATTGTAACTAGTGATTGTATTATCAGTTTAACGTTAAAGTAGACTGCGGTTCACGAGAGCAACACTCGGCAAGATTAAAGATCATTTACAATTATTGTGTCTTTTACTATCTTTAATTATTCTTGGAAGTTTTTTTGCTGTGATTAAAGAACTGGACATTGATGATGTCAAATTAATTTATACTATCAAATATTCATCTGTAATTTAATTGTTGTGGTCAATAATTCAGAGTTACTATTTGATGATACCTCTACTTATGGTGAAAATGTATCTTTAATCTTCATACACTGAAGCTCAATCATTTATAAAATATACAAAATATGAATAAATTGCAAGCTAAATGATTTCTCGCATTACATTAGCAAAATTAAATTAATGTAATGGTTCTATTTGAGTGCAAGTCAATTGAAAACCTCTAGAGTGCAGATCAAACAGCAATATTTTTCTTTGAATTGGTTAAATAATTTATTCTACAGAGAAAGATTATTGTAATTTATTAAAAAGAATGATTAAACCCGAGTTTTAAAAAGTTCATAATTGCCTCTCAAAAGTTTGGGTTTCTTTTGTTTAAAACATGTGACTGAACCAGTTTAAGCGCCAACTTCTGCTGTTTACATTTGGAATTGCTTAAAGGGGTTTTTCTTGCCTTGTGTCTCTATTGTTTCATTCAATTGTTATTAAGTTAAATAAATTAGATTCATTGTTTTGTCAAGAAATTAATTAATCAACCATGGAAGGTGATTGTGAGGACCAAGCGTTAGGTGAGTTAAAAAAAAGATGAAACAATTTTACCTATCGTGTGACTTTCTTTTTCCGATTGTATTTTCATTGTTTTTATTTTTACAGATGTTCCTCATGAAACGGATTTCCTTGTATTCTATCGGAAATTGTCTGAAAAATCACCAACAACTGTGCGACTATTTGATCGTAAAGACTTTTTCACTATGCATGGACCTGATGCGTTATTTATTGCCAATGACATCTTGAAAACTCAAACAGTCATTAAATATATTGATAGTATTCCGTCAATAGCTTTGAGTATGAATAAGCTAGAAATGATTTTGAAAGAACTTTTGTTGATACGTCATTATCGAGTTGAAATTTATAAACAAGAAAAAAGTTCTAGATCGGCCAGTTGGTCACTCGATGTTAAAGCTTCGCCCGGTAATCTTGGTTCTTTGGAGGATACTCTTTATTCTGTTAACGATAACTCATCTGGTCTAATCTCAGTCAAAATTTTTGGTAACGATGTTCCTATCATTGGTGTTGCTTATATTAATACACTGGAAAGAATTATTAATGTCATCCAATTTGAAGATGATCAATATTTATCTACTTTTGAAGCGATTCTCGTCCAATGTGCTCCTAAAGAAGTAATTATTCCAAAGTCATTTCGTTCGTCTGTTTTTTTCAAAAGGTTTGAAGAAATTATGGATCTAAACAAGATTCTTGTTACTGATGTCAAACCCCAAAGTTATTCGGAAGATTATCCAACTTTGCAACTCCAGATGAATAAAATTGTAGCTTCAAAAGGCAAAACAGGTGAATATTAAGTTTTGATGTTTTGTTACAGAATTAAATATAATTTTTCTATCTTTTTTACAGACTATTTAGAAGATCAAAAATTGGCAACTGCTGCTCTGAGTGCAGCTATTGAATATTTGAATTTATCTACTGGCGGTGTTGATGGTCGATACATAATGAAAAAATTCGATGTCTCGTTTGTTCGTTTAGATTCTTCTGCCATAAAATCTCTTGATTTATTCACAATCGCTGGAACTGAACCTTCAAGTAACAGTAATTTCAGTGTTTACCACTTATTAAACAATTGTAGAACCTTAGCTGGTCAAAGATTGTTAGTGCAATGGATCAGGCAACCTCTAACTGATTTGAATCATATCCGTAAGTTTTGCTAATTTTTATCTTTTATTTTGAAATACTATTAAATATTTCTTTCAATATTTCAGAGGAGCGATTGGACCTAGTTGATTTTTTCCGTAAATATGATGATATAAGGAAAACCTTGAATAATGTAAATCTACGCCGAGTTCCTGACCTGCTTCGCTTATCAAAAAAATTTGAACAAGAAAAGGCTGCTTTATTTGATTGCTGCAAAGTTTATGACTTCATTAAATGTATACCAAGTATAGTAGAGCTGTTAGAGTCAAGTGGTGATCCAAAGATTAAGGAAACATTTGTCGATTCTTTGAAACGATCTAATGAAGACTTTGAAGAGTTTGTAAAGTTGATTCAAAGTACTGTTGACTTCACTCGACTAAATGAAGACCGTGAACCCATGATCAAGGCAGATTTTGATGAAGAATTGGAAAAAATCTATAAAGACCTACAAGAAGTTGAAGATGCTGCTGATGGCCTAGCTACTTCTATTTGTCGTAAATTTGATATTGACCCAGCCAAGCTCAAACTTGAACGTAATTCACAAACTGGATACAACTTCAGAGTTACCAAAAAAGAAGAGAAGAGTATCAGAAACTCGCAAGGTATTCGATTCATTGACAGGGCTAAAAAGGACGCTATTCGTTTCGTGAATGATAAATTGGATAATTTGAGCTCTAAATATGTTGAGCTTATGGCTACTTATGAGAGCCAACAAAAAGAATTAGTTGAAGGAATTATCAAAGTTGCAGGTAAGCATATTGTCCATCGATATGACATTTTTGATTTCTTACCCAAGCTATCATTTCTATCTTTTATTCCGACAGCAACTTACAGTGAAGCAATGAGATCTCTAGGAGACTTGATAGCTAAACTCGATGTTATCATTTCTTTCGCTATTTATTCTTGTAGTGGCAAAAAATTTTGTCGACCAGAATTGCTACCAAAAGGTAATATACGAATTTTGATCCAAAAAAATTGTTTCAAGCATTGACTTCCTTTCTCATTTCAGGCAGTGGAAAGATAATACTTTCACAAGTTCGCCATCCTTGCCTGGAGGCTCAACCTAATTCTATTTATGTTCCTAATGATGTTCATCTTGACGAAAATGATCATAAATTTTATCTTGTTACTGGACCTAACATGGGAGGAAAGTCAACTTACATTCGATCGGTTGGAATTGCTGTTCTTCTCGCTCACATAGGATCTTATGTGCCTGCAGATTCTGCCACCATATCTTTGGTTGATGGTATTCAGACTCGTGTCGGTTCAAGTGATTATCAACTTAAAGGCGTTTCCACTTTCATGGCTGAAATGATAGAGACAAGCTCTATCCTAAGAGTATGTTGTTGCCAAACAAACACATCGAAATTTCTTTTCTCAATTTTTTTCTTATGCGTTACAGGGGGCCACTAAAGATTCTCTTATCATAATTGATGAACTTGGTCGTGGGACATCTACTTACGACGGTTTTGGTTTGTCTTGGCATATATCTGAGTACGTATTTACATTTAAATAATGTGTGAGACTCGGATTGATCTTATTCTGGACCATTTATCTCTTTTCTTAGGTACATCGCGACTAAAATTAACGCCTATTGTTTCTTTGCTACTCATTTTCATGAGCTTACAGCATTGACCAAAGAAGTTCCTTTAATTGGTAATCTGAATGTCAAAGCTGAAACTTCATCCGATGGACTTGTCTTTCTCTATAAAGTTGAAAAGGGTATATGCGATCAAAGTTTTGGAATCCATGTCGCCAAATTGGCGCAATTTCCTGATCATATAATCGCGGATGCTTCAAGAAAAGTTCAAGAATTGGAAGGATTTAGTGGAGTTGATGATAAAACTCGCCGAATTCGTGAACATGTTCTGAAATCCATTCATGAATTTAAAGTCGATGAAGCTGGTGACGAGAAGATTGAGAAATTTGTTTCAGAACTCCGAAAATATGTTAAAATTAAGTCATCCGAATCATAAACTACATCCAAATATAAACTGTATCAGCTAAAAATGATATCATTGTTGTCATATAAAATTCACAAATTTTAAATTTTAAAATAACTTGCCTCATCATAAATTCATAATTTATCTGCGAGCTTCACAACGCTTAAATCGTCCATTTAACTCCTCTAGACTTTATTTTAGGCTTCAAACAACGTTTCACTCTTGATGAAGATGATACTACTTTCTCATTTTTTGCTTGACATGTGAGAAATTATAGGAAGAGCATCATCGATTCTAAATGGATTTAAATGGATTTAAATGGATTTGAAAATGACGTAAATAAGATTATTTTAGATTTATAAAAATTTTTTATTGAGATCGAATATGATTTTTCAATGTTTCAAATGTGCACTTAGCATTGTGATGATAGTGACTAGTATACTTGACAAAATCAAAAAATTTTTGCCCACATAAACATGCAAATGTTACGCCCATTCGTGTTGCAAGTACTTGGGACTGTGCTAATCTTCTTAGTACCCATTTGGACGGTTCCCGAATCTCGAATCTCGGGTTTTTTTCCTTTATCAAATTTTCATCAACTTTCTCCAATAACTCTTCGAATTGGTCTTTAGTCATTATTTCGCCATTTTGATGATAAGCGATGAACGCCCCTTTTTTGTATCTATTGACTTGATTCAAATTTACGAGAAGTGCATCATCTGGCTTCACGATTCTGCTTTTTTTGCCAAAACAATGTCCTTTCAAAGATAAAATTGTCGTGTATCTTCGTGTCTCCAAACAATCGCATTCGAATTCCAGATGGTAATGGTTTTCCAATATATGAGAAGTCATAAACGGCTTATCTAACGTTCTAACTTTTGCTTTTTTACATTTTTCGTTGTCGCAACAGCATTCATATGTGTTTCCATCTATTTTTTTGCTCCACTTGTCAGATTCATCAAATATCTGCTGAAACACTTTCGCAGTAATGGGTTGTCCATATCGAAAGACACGAAAATTCCCTTCAGAATAAGGTACGACCATCTCATCATCGGCATTTGTGTCTTTTTCTAGTTTGTCTATTAGATCGAAATAAAAACGAAAGACTAGTTCATAAGTGGCCGCATTACACCCGATTTCTTGTCTGAACAGCGCGTAAGTAGGACAGCTCTCTAATTTTTCTCTCAATTGATTTAAGGATGTCTCTGTTGGAGTTCCAGTAGGAATAGTCCTTTCGTTAAAATCTTCATTTTGAGAAACAATTGTAGGTAAACTGTAATGATCGGAATGGCTATTTTTCATCTTCAATTGAGCTTGATTAATCATTCTTAGCCTTTGGTTTACCTCCTTTAAAACTGAGTTTTGCTTCTCATACTCTGTCATTTGATTGGCTAATTCGACATTGCTATTATCGAGTTCGCGAATTCGAGCTTCTAGACTTCTCACAAAATCTCTGCAATTGTGATTTCTTTTTGGAATTCCACAATTGCCACATTTCTCAATATTAATGGGGTTAAAACCACAGCTATTAACATGGTCCAGGTAACCACCATATCGCACTTGTTGGTAACAGAAATCACATATACATTTCAACCCCAGAATATCAGATTGAGCCGTTCCAAGATCGATTCCTTCAACATCGAGTCTTTCTTCCTCACAATGATTCTGGCTCTGGTCGTTATAATCTAAGCGAGCTCTCTTCATTTTTTTCGGTGTATCACTAGTTGAAACAATAACAGTGTTGAATAGCGATTGTAATTATTAAAACAGTTAAAACTAGTACAGTAAAAAGTCTCTTTGACGATGGCTTTTTTAGTCTTTTTGATCGGACAAAATTAAAATCAAAGAGTAAAGTAACGTTATGCTATTCTTTGATTAAAATGAAGTGTTTGAAAGAGATAAGTATTAATTATTCCAATAGATGGCGTACTCCAAAAATATCGAAAGTGTAATTTTATTGTATCAACGAGTTGATAATGTGTTGAGAATATAAAAATAAGTATGAAAACTCTTTAGGTACTCGAAGCACCCAAATGTAGAATTCATTTTAATTATGAATCACGGTGATTTTACTGTCTTTATTAGAGATTTGAGTGAAAGCACAAATCGCTAACTCACTCGCTTGTGAATTTGAATAGAATTTTCTAGATGAAGATCTCTTTATTAATCAGTTAATTGTCATTGCATGCTATTATATTTTTAATATTTGGTAGATTTTTCCTATGATTTTGCATCACAAACATTCGCCTTTAACAAATAATAGATAAATACAGTTGTTTTGGATTAAATTGTTTTTATCCGTGGAAAATTTAGTCACTATACAAACAAATCTAAGTTTTTTAAATCTTCTTCGAAAGAAAAATTAAAAGTAAAAAATGATATGCTAATATTGGTAAAATATGATATGAAGAGATAAAAATTGAACTAGAAATTTAAGGTTGATAATAACTACTAAACCGATTGTAAAAAGGTTCAATTATTGTTATCAACTATTCCATGAAATAGTTTATCCCCACCCGTCGGTCATCTCCATGTCGTAATCATAGTCAGGTTCTTCAACAATCTCTTCCACAACTTCCTCGACGTTTGTAGTTGCCTGTGAGCATTGATTACAAGTTGATGGATTTGTAATTGGCATTGGCATTGTAAAAGTCATTGAGGTTGGAGCGGGTGCCATCACCACTGCTGGAGCTGCTGGAGCAGGGGCCCGTGAAGGAGCCGAAGATGGTGCAGGAGATGGTGCTGACCAAGATACCGCTGGAGCCATAACCTGAGCTGCAGCCGGAGCTGGAGCAGGGGCAGGATAAGCGATGGGCATCATTTGAATAGGCATAAACATTGGCATGGGTGAAGGTGCTGGTGCCGACGATTGAGCCCAAGACTTTTGTTGGTTTTGTTGTGCAGCCATCATCATTGATTGGGGCACTTTAATCGTGAATGATCGCTTTCCACTTTTCACTGGTACAGCAACAGGTATAATTCGGGTTTTCTTTATTGCTACAACCTCTGGAGTACAGCCTTCATCCTTCATTTTCATTTTCATTTTCATCTTCATTTTCATCTTCTTCATTTTATCCTTACTCTTTTTATCTTTCTCTTTTTTGCCTTTACCTAAAGAAAGAGAAAAAGTTCAACATTAAAATAACATGTTAATTTAGCCTATTACTGACATACGCATGTTTGAGGTTCAAATGATGTTTTTCTTACCTTTACCCCCACCGCCACCTCCACCACCGCCTCCCCAGCCTCCATCCATCACGCTTTCCGATGAACTTCCCCAACTATCTTCCTCCTCTTCATCATCTGATCGTCGTATAATTTTGTAACCATCAGCAATCATATTGAATCGATCATCATCGCCATCATCATCTACCACAGCTGTTGCTGTTGCATCAGATACAGTATCTGAAACTGAAGCTCTCCATGTTATTGAACTTCCTCGGATCAGCACAAAGTATAAAAGTAAAACCATAATTACCGAAGACTTTAACCGAATACGAGTAATCATCGTTTATGATTTTCGATTTGGTCTGCCTGAGGTTTGAGTATTGATTCACGATAACTTTAGCTGATTGCTTTTGTCCATTGTAATTGCTACCAATCTTGTCACAAAATAATATCAACAGTTGTCCAATGATTTTAGATCACCACAAAAATATCACCACTCTAATCCGATCTTGACTCTTGCAATTGTTCAAGACAACTAAATCCAACTTTTAAGATTATATTGAAATGAATAAAATGATTTAATAAGTCCATTATCAAGTACAATCACTTTCAATTTGAGTCCCGGATCTTTGATTTCTCAATCTTATGATTTCAATTAGCATCTTTAATTCAAATCTTTTCAATCACCTTTGTGTTCATCTTTCATTATGCCTTTGATCAACTTTTTTCATCCCAATTTAGCAGTTTTGAACCATCACAAAATCATAGCCTTCATAATCACCATTAACTTAATAGTGGCTTCCAGAAGCAAATTGAAAATAAATGAGTTGGTTCCTTTTGTTGCTGTAAATGTATAAAAAAAGGATTTGAATTAATAGTCAAGATCACTTAAACAGTTAAATTAAAATTGTCTTCCCTTGGAACGTGTCTTTAGCTCAGCTGTTATTATCTAATTGTCAAAACTTTGACTTGTGAATGAGAGGACAATAAATGAGATTTTGACTTTGACCTGAATAGTTTACGATCTTGATGATGATTAAAATAATTATTGTGTTTTCTCATTAATTTCAAACTTTCACTGATCCAAGTAACAATGAGATGAGATTTTTCCAATTGAATATAAAACAAATGATTTTAGACTCATTGATTAATTAAAGAAGCTAATCTAATTATCATTTCAATTGATGAAACAATTAAACTGGACAGTTTTTTGAGCTATTGGAAAGATTGGTCTCAATGAAATATTCAGTTTTCAGGACTGAACCTCATTTGTGTTTTAGGTTTTACTCAAGTTAACAGCTTTTCGTGTTATCATCTTCTTCATAATTAACCAGTCTAATTAAATGGTAAGTTAATTACTTGTGCATTTAACTCCAATGTATCAACAAATTTTCTACTCAAGTATTTTGATATGATTGAAGTTAATTTTAGTTTCAATTTTTGCTTGTGTCAAGTTGTCACTTAACCATCAACGAACCATATCCTTGCTGCGGCCAATAAACTTAATTGTAATTATATATAATACAAAAGCTGGCATTACACGATAAATCACGTTAATCACCTTAAATGAATTAATTTATAATAAGGATGAGTATTATTGTCAAAGAAAGGAAAAATTTACCTAAAAAAAGGTTGTTACACTGAAAAATATCCAGCCTTTGATCCGTTAATAATTTGAATGATCATCAATGCTATTCTTGTCACCTTTTCATGGCTGGAATAGAGCTTAAAGCTATGTAAAATCAGTTGAAATTGACAATTTAGTTGTTAACTTGAGAATCCAGTGTTGCCAAATCTTTTGATTAAACCATGTCAAGTCAAGTTAGATGTATATAATTTAAGAATCTTGTAATAATCTTGAATGAAGTCAATGTGTCCATCATAAATAGTGAATTGGCCAAAGGCTAATGGCGATGGCCTCTAAATCGTCGTTATTTTTTCAACTGTGATCTCTATCGAATGAATGTACTGTTGGTCATTTTGGTCTATTGTCTAATCCTTGATGATTTTGTATTGCCATTGACTCCGGTTGATTATGCTGATTATGTTTGTGATTACAGCTACCTTTTTCCAGAAATTGATCAATTCCATCTTTATAATGATGATTACGGTGTGTTCAAGTTTCCAAATGGCCTTTTAGCAATAAAGGATTATCACAACACTTGGGTTTGTTTTCCGCCATTAATGACTCTTTTAGCCAAAAATGGACTTTACTCTGAAATTCACAAAGTTCTCGCCAAGCCAAACTATTACGATCCAAACTATGATCACATTGAGGGTATTAAATATGCTGATGATACAGATGATCCTGACAATAATTTTAAATCAACAACAGACGACAATCAAATTAGTGAACTGAGTGACAATAAGAATGAACATTTAATTAAAGGAAACAATGAGGAAGGTCAAGAAAATACAGAAGAAATAGATGAACTTGATGAGCTGGAAGGCGCTCAAGACGACGAAGAAGATAATCTGTTAGATAATGATCCCGATCTCGATATATCTGGATTCCTAACACTGATCAATCCCAAATCATATGAATAAATTGAAAAACAAAGCTTTTTCATTGATTCCAACTACAATTTAATTCACCTTTCAAATGTAATTATTTATTAATTGTCTCCCTTTATTTACAAATTTAGCTTGATTGTTGCTAAAAACTATGCTCCATCGACTGGATTGTAACTGTTGTGTTGATTCAATCAACCATTAAAAAGTTATTTATTTGCTTGCATTTGTTTTACCTTAAAGTATCGATTTCCGAAGAGATTTCTCTTGATTGTGATTAATTTTGACTTGCCATTAATCAAATTGTGACTTATTGTTAGTCAAAAGTGGATATTTAATTCAATTATAATGTGATAAGTGTAAATTGTCCACAAGTGAAAATTCAACATCAAGACTTAACCTTTGTCTATCTTGACTACTCTTGGTTCATTTGAATTGATACTTGTACATCTATTGACCTTGACAATCAACTGACAATTTGAAAATCGTTACATGAATTAAAGTATCACTTGAATTTTCGATCAACATTAAGTACAAAATGTGAAGAAGAGGCCGAAAAAAAGAAAGGTAGAGAATGTAAATTAATTTAAATGGTAACAATCCCTGTAATGATTGTCCAAGGCGAGGTTCAGTTTTGTTATTGTATATTTATATCCATACATTATTGTATTAATTATTATTTCAACTTTGATTGATATTACATTTCACAATTATTTGGGTCATCTATTTACCATCAACCCAAGCCAGCAGTTCAAGGTTGAATCAGGTTAACCAAGTTGAATGGTCAACTCAAATGGCCAACAGTTCCGATGTAAATTATCAACCAAAATACACGAAACAACCCAAGCCTGAGACATTTGACTTCAATCAAATGCAAACCAAACCATCAATTGACTTGTTTATCCATCAAAGTCAAGACAATATACAGATGTGTTAATTAAGGGAAGATAATTAAAGCTATAGTTGACTATAATATACATATTAACAGATATTTGATTGCCAATCATTGTTAATTTCATCAATAGTTGTTATTGAGTCAACAAGATGGTATAAGGATGGTAATCATGAAATGTAAATGTACATTTACCAGTTTTCATTTCACCTTTTAATACTAACATCTCAACCTTTGAGTTGATTACCAAATAGCAATTAACTATGATGTAGCTGTGATAATCAATTTGTCCTTTAACATTCCCATTAATCAGTTGATTCATGATTGAAATTAACGATGAGCTCAATTGTCTGAGCTAACCAACATTTATTGCTATGAAAAAAAGGCTAACAAGTTGGTCTATTGATTTTCAACGTTAAACCAGGAAAATCAATTGAAACTCATTTGTAGCTCTTTTAATTGTTGAAAAGCTTAATGTTCAATAGCCATTAGATTAACCATTAGATTTGCCATTCCTAATCCTGAGCAAGATTGATCAGTTTAATCTTTAATTGATTGTAACTGTAAATGAGAGGATCACCAATTAGGCCAATATTTTTGATACTCTGTCAGTTGTCATTAACTCAACTCTTACCGACAATTAATCTTACATTTCCCTCAAGTTCATGGTTTCATCTTGATTATCAACAGTTAAAATGGAGACAATTAAGTGTTGATAAATGTTTTGACCATCAAAAACCATCTAAAAGTCACATTTTAATCAAATCATGTGAATACTTATCCAACGTTTTGTTGTATTGTTTACCATGTGAATTGGATTCTTCATTTAGCTGTTTTACTATTCTTAAGCTTTCCAGCTCATTAATGATTAATCCTTGATAATAATAAGGTTAATAATGCTCCAGACAATCATCTATTGTATATCAATCAAGTCAACAATCAATTTAGGATAAACATTTGTTGAAAGAATCAGTCGACTACTATATTTATTAATAATGCCACTTTGATATCATATATTACTAAATTGTATATTGTTGGTTAATCTCACACAATTTGGTTATGTTTCCTTGTTATAATTAACAGATCAAACTATTAAAATGCATTTAATTATGTCTTGATTATTGTTAAATTCAAGAAAAATAAACATTCATTTAGCCTTGCATTTTCATTTTTACCTTGTAACCAGAAATCATTATTCGCGCTCAAAGAGATCAGCTGAAATTTTTCCTAATTTTCTTCATTTTTCACTTTTCGCTATTGTTATATGTTTACTATTATTGTTACAATTAGTTGGTTTTATTTATAAATTTAAATTATTATGCTATTTAGTTACTTTAAATTGTGTTATTTAACATACCTTCATTAGTTAATATCTGGTAAAAGCCTTGTAACATTTATTTCATTAGGTAGCGTAAATTATAAACCACTAGAGTTAGGCTTTTCAATTATTATGAACATTATTTTCATCTAAAATTTAAATTGCTTAAAAATACGTTAATTTAATCATCGTCATCTAATGGTTGTGTTGTAATACACAAAATGTCTCATTTAATCAACTGTAACCAGGCTCCTGTTAATCTCAACAATCAATTTGAGCTTTCTCTTGATTTTGGTTGATAGTTTTTTTGCTACCGCTGTTGATGCTGATGTTTGGATTAATACGGAACAGATAATCAACGATAGGTGTTCAAATCAAGTGTCCTTAATTGAGCTAACTTAATTAACAGGATAAGTTGGTGAATCAAAGTGATCAAGAAAACGCAAGGAGATGAAAAGAAGTTATAAGGTAAGAAAATTGGTGAAGATCAATCAACATGCTCAATCAAATTGATCAATCCATTTAGCTGCTTTAATCCGAAATTTTTCTCTTTCATTCAATTTTAGTCAATTGAAATATTCCATTCAAATCAGGATCAAGCTAATCTTTTAATAACACTGCTCAAGGCCAGGTCGGATCAGATCATCATCCTGTATCAATTGAAAGTGGACACAAAACCCGAATCAATTTTCAATCAATTGGGTTCTCCTTTTTTTCTGGTTAAAGACCATCATCTCTAATCCTTCAAATCAATTGATCAATTGGTTCGGATAAACAGATTATAATGCCACTCAATCTCGCGAAACATTGTTACCATGTAATTCGGTCGTCATTTCAATCTCTCCAAACGAATTGACGCCAAAAAAATGAAATCCTACGTTCCTTGGCCATTAAAAAATACATCACTTTTGCCGATACAATTAAGATAACTTAATCTTATTGTATAAGTCTGTCAAACAGTAAAGCAAACATAATGTTCAAACATGTTCAAGGTGCAACAATAGGCCATTAATATTGTGATATAATTACATCTACTTATGCTAATAGCAGGAGCAATGGTCAAAAGCATATCAAACCAAGATTTATCTTAAATTGCTATACTTAATTGAATTAGATTTCATTTGCTATCATTTACCGATTAACCTTGACCCGATCTTTGAATACATTTTCACACTGGAAATTGAATTGAACGTTAATAGCCAAGTTGATCAAGGTAAAAATGTGAAGATTTACGCCCGATGATTAGATTATTCAGTGTATCAGAAATGTAAATAAATATTGAAAATACTTGCATTGCTATTTAATTTGTAGATCAGTTCAATCAATGGTTAAAGTAAATTAAACTTGCAATTTGAAAACAACTTCACTATTTGTTTAAATGTTGGGTTGATCATTGATACATCAATATAGCTTGAAATATTTTTTGATTTTGCCAAAAATTTGGTTAAACTGATGAACTTCAGTTTAAAATGTTTATAAACAATCAAATGCATGGTAAACATACGATTATGAAAGAATGTTGTTTATCATGAAAGAGGCGTTGAAATTAATCAATTTAATGGTCAACAATTTAAACAATTTACTATCTTTTAAGCCTAACAATGAGTATTTCAGATCATTTTCAAACCTTGAAATAGCGTTTATAAAAATTAGGAAATGGTTTAATTGAAAGCAACACTTTTCATTGTTACACTTGAAACAGTTTCTCATTAAACCAGTTCACAATCAAATCACTCTGTTAATTAACTGGTAAATATTCAAACATTAGACTGCCTTGTGTCAGTTCAATTTTGGTGAATGGGTTTGCCTGTTTACACTTTTTGGGTTCAATTTTGTTTCTGGTCTTTGGGTTAATTTACTCTTTCTTTTCTCTATTTATTTCTTGATTGTAAATAATTTAGCTATCAATACATTTTTAAATTGAAAAAATATTAATTCCAATCATTACACACATAAATGGTTATAATGTAAAAGGTGTGAATGATTAATTAAAAATGAAGCAAACCTTATTCACATCATTGTATTGTTTTCATTATTAGTACACTTTTTCAAATGTTTTTGTTCACTCGACTTGATCTGATTTGTGTAAAGGTTAATCAACAATCGCCAAATTAAAAATGGTGAAAATAATTAAGAAATAAATTGTAACAATTGACTGAATTAGAAGGAAAAAGTATAAATAAATAAGATTGAAAAAGCCAGGGTCTTTAATATAATGGTCACTTCTCCAGGAGCAAAAATTGGTCTAAATGGAAGGTCAATTATCATCTAATCATGTTTTTTTGCTTCATTAATATTATTATTATATTAATAATATTGTAATGATTTGCAGATCAGTTCAGTTTTGATGTTGATACTAAATTAATTTAGTTTCAGTTTCCTCACGATTACCATTTACATTTGATTTTAAACATTCAACTTGAATTGTATACGATAAACAATATAAATAACAAGTTGATTGTTTCAATTGACTTTGATTTTAACAAAATTGTTTTCCTTCTCTTTTTTTTGATTTATTGTTAATTAGTTTTGATCTTGTGCTTGGTCAGAGTAACCCTCAAAAAGGTTGACGATGAGTTGGTCCATGAAACGATTATTAGACAGACTGGATTTGATCTTAATCAAATTTGAAGTTTCCTTGTTTAATCAATATTTTTAGATCAATTCATGTTCATTATATTTCCAGATTTAATCAACTGTTAGTTTTCAGCTGCACAATCAACGGCATCATTGGTGACGCTTTTTGCTGCCGTTTATCTGTTGTCCAACCATTTGGTTAACAATTAAATTGCTATTAAGCATTCGACTCAATTAGCTTTGATTATGTTGAGATGATTTGACTTGACATCAGGTTGTGTTGTATGTTGATCAAGGCTTGCTTTGTTGTTGCTTCAACGTTGAAATAATTTAATTTAAAGACGCTAAACTAACTGCTGATTTAAATCGCCAATTTCACCTTCTTCACCAGGAAGACAATTGTTGCTATTTAGGATGAGTGACAATTTTGGATGCTTCAATATTCAATAACTGACCATCTTTTATCCATATTATTGTAATGACAATTTAGGACCATTATAATGATGGCAAGCTGAGAAAAAGAAGAAAAGATATTAAACTTGATTTTGAAAGGTAAAGTTATATTATTATTAATTGTATAATCATGTGCAAGCCAACTAATTCAATTGACTTGAAGACAATCAACAAAAATGAAGGAAATAAATCGTTCACTTACTTTTCAGGTTTGGTCAAAATGTTAGTCGATTAAGTAGACTTGGATAGATCGGCGAAAACTGCAATTAAATGAAAAAAAACTAATTTAATCATTAATTGATTACTAAGAAAGATGAAATTTTGATCAGAATTTCATTTTATTGAAACAATTTTCATTCTCATTTTCACTTACCGTTACATTACAATCAAATTCAATTTGGTTGTTGTTTTTGTTTTCAGCTAATAGCTGATGATGATGGTAATGATATAAGAGTAAACCTAGATAAATTAATAAATACTAATTAAAAGCAATTCAGTTATACAATGTTAAGATTCAATTGTAAAGATGATTGGAGCGGGTTGAAACAAATTGAATACTAAAATATAAAGCATTAACTATGAATAAATTATAGCTGATACTTGATATAATGTTGAATGTTAAAAGGATTGGTTTCACTGTTTTGTTGGCTTTGTAAGGATATTTTAATGATTGACTGATTTGACACCCAAACAATTATTGATTTGTGTAAGAAAACAATTAATATTTAGGTGATTGTTGAAACGAACCAAGAAAGGCTAATCATTTGAATTAGTTTAAACCATTTCCTTTTACGAGTACATTGAAAAATTACAATCACCATCATAATTTTGATTTAAATACTAAAGATGATTTGCTCCTGCATCACATAACCATTTATTAATTGCTTCAGTTGAAATCTCAATTGATAAATATCACCAATTAACGTTTTTCTTGGCTTTGTTTTTACAGGTCATCTTGATATTGCTAGAAACTCGTCGAATCTTGTCTTCAATTGATTTGTTTTGCTTCTTGTTGCTTTTCATTAACCATTGTCTAATTGTTTCAATCTGAATCTGACTAGAATTGGGTTTTAATTAGAGAAATTTCAAGGTCGATCTTTAAGCAATTATTTGATCTGATTTCTCTATCAATGACAACCTTTTGTTGGTCCGCTTATGCTTTTTAAATCATTTCAGCAGATTGTGATAATTATCAAGTGCCACTTATTTTGATAACTGATTCAATTGATAGTTTTACTTGGTGATTTGGTCAAAGCTGAAACACACAAATATATATGCACATATTTTTAGTTGAAATCAGGAAACACCTAATCCTTTAAGCATAGAGAAGTTCATTGTTTTTGATTTTTTTGCTGGACAATTCAACGTTGTATGCACAGACATCGCCCAATCTTAATGAAACAATCCGCTGAAATGATTTAACAAAGCGTTAAGCTACAACAATGTTGTAGCTAAAAACTATTCACCAAATGGTTAATTGTTAACAGAAGATGTAAAACAAAAGTTGAAGACAAATTCAGTTATAATGCCAATCACACTATACCAGAATTATATCTGTTTATGGTCTTTACGGGTTAAATATCCTTGGAAAACACCTCATGGTTGCTTTCAGGTTCATTAAATTACTTATTTGATTCAATTTAATGGTGATTAAATCTGCTGCTGAGAAACCTGAAACAAATGGAAAGAAGAATTGTAAATAACAGTAAAATAAAAGCAAGATTGATACAATTAGAATTGAAAGATTGAAATGTTTGATAGAGCTTACCCTTTTTATCGTGAATGACATTCAAACGCTTGAACTTCAAATTGATTTGAACAATAACCACTTGTAAGAAGCACCGTAGGAAGTATTAACAATAAAATTAATTTAAAGATTCCAGAAGCGCAGAATTGGATGAACAAAATAATAGATATCCATTAAGAATACGATTAAAAATAACCAAACAGATGTTTATTGCTCGAAAGCCTATCTCCCTAAACATGTCCATCCTTGAGCACTTCAAGGGTCTTTCAATTGAGTAGGCCTGAATTACAGGCTGTAGATTGGGCTACAGCAATTTAAAAGATTATGATAAAACAGAATATTAATAATGATGTAAATTGAAATTAAAAAACAAAAACAACAACTTGGATTATTAGAGTGTAGAGACTTTCCTGATCCTATTGTAGATCATAGATCATGATAAACATTTATCTCGAAACAGGAATTCATCTGCAGTAGCTCTGGAACTTTTATTAACATTGATAGCGTACAATTAAAGGAAACAAATTATAAAGATGAGCGAAAATCAGTGATTAAAAGAACAATAATTTACAAATTTTCACAAATCAGGTTGGTTACTATTAGTAACCAACTCATTACGAAGCGAACGTAAAGTTCATTTTAACCGCCTTATCCTTTTACCTGATTGGCCCTTACGATTACCAAGGACACCATAAGAAATGCGGTTTAATTTCTAGCAATTTATTTATGTAACTGTTTTTAATTATTTGCCATTAATTTAACGATTAATTGGAACTCATTTTATTGGAAAAATAGTTTTTATATTGGTTTGTGATCCAGTTAATAATTTGACAAAAATCAATTTTATGTGTTTAGACAAGCAAAAACTGCGTGACAATAACAACTGTTAACCAAAAAAGCCAAAAGCGTCTTATGTCGTTTAAAAATTAATGATTGACAAATGATCGTGTTAATTTTAACATTAAACAAACGGATTAAATGACTTCCTGATTGTGATTTGAAGATCCTACACTGATTAGATTATCAGGTTTAGTTATTTATAAATTTCTTGTTTATTATCGCTACATTTGTGTTTGTCTTTTTCCCTTTTTTCCACCTTTCCTTGATTCCAAACATGCAAAATCTTGCCATCACGACCTCAACATTGACAGCCAAGCTAATCAATGAATCAATTATTATTGAGTATATCAACGATTATTACCATTATTATCAATGACTTGTCTTTTCATTATTTTATTATTTTCTGTTTCAGTTCATCAAAACAATCTGATGTCGCACATCACTTTGGTTTTATCATCGTTAATTTTGTTGGCCACTAAATGCATTTCTGGCCAAATGATTTGGTAATTGGATTAAACTCTTGGTTAGCTGATTCCAGGAAATCTCAATTGATTCTGATAATGGCTCTGATGGTGATGATCAGGATGGAATCAAACAAAAACAAAGCATCGAGATATAATCATAAGATAATTGAGGTTTTTGTCAAAATCCAAAATCAATATTTCAAACTTAATCATTGATATTATTTACACTTTTTTTCAGAAAATACGTAACTTATTGTGAATTTGATCCGTTAATTCAGCTGGTAACATTCAACAATCAACATTCGGTAATTATTACCATTGTAACTCATTCACTGTAATTAGATTATCAATTGATGATTATTCTAGTCAACCTTGGTTATCTTACCTTTTTGTCAAACTCAATCTTGGCAAAAATGATCGGTTTCAAAGTATTGATTTAAAAAGGTCACTTGTAATGTTAAATTTTAATGATATTATTGTATTATCATATCATTATTGTTCATCATTATCGGTTTCTTAACTCTTTAAAACAGTACGTAAACTTGATAGTTACTGATTCATTGAAACATGATGATTATTTATTCATCATGATTTTATCGCCAACAAAAATTCAAAAAATCAAGATTGCTCTTGGAAAAACAATCAATACTTCATTGAAGATTGTGTTAAAGGGTGAGGTTAGGCTTCCGCTTTTCTGTTCATTTAATTGTTCCCGTTATTTTTGGATTGAACATTGTTTGAAAAGGTCCTTTTGATTGGTCTTGTGCAATTGTCCAATGTAATCTGAAGTTAATCACGAAATGGACACTCACGCATTACAATTTAATTGCAATCTTGAATCTGGTAAATTGGTTCAACAAGGGTCAGTGGTAGCTGAAGTTAACAGATAAAATTATAACCTAAAACGTATATATTTTCACTTAATTTCTTGATTTTATATTTTATATTTCCAATATTTGGTCATTTTAGGCGTCGGTCAGGTTAAATCATGTTATCCAATTTATTTGATCATTTATCTACCCATCTATTTATTCATTCATTTGTTTATTATTTTGATCATTTAGATTGGCAAAAGATGATAACTCGATCTACCTAACTGAAAGCCACACAAGCAATATTATTATGGATAAGCTGATGCCGATCAATGATGTGGTTTGATGCTGATCAAGAAGCTTGAATTTTAAAGTTTGACCATTGATTAACTCCCACGGATGAAACACATTTAAGTGATAGGAACAACCAAACCTGTAAAATTTGAACCCAACGAACGTAAACTCTGGATATCGTTTGATCATTCAAAATTGGACGTGATTACTACCATAACAATAGGCTTAAAAGGAGAGGACATTCAAAATTTAGTGCCATTTCTAGTTCAGGTGTACTTGTGTTATGTAACAATTTTACGGAAAGGCCTGATGACTTTATAACATAGAGTCTAAACTAAACCCAAGAGTGACAATAAAAAGAGAAATGATTCCGTCTTGATTGTCCACTTAATCAAAGTGCCAAAAGCTGCTAATTTGCTTCATTTTTCAAGGTGGTTCAATGTTATCAACCTAATAATTGGTAGTAAAGTAAACTCGGATAATCAAATTTCCTGAAAGTTTGAACAATAAGCAGATGGAACGTGATGATAAGTAAACTATAAAATGTTAACAATCTTGATGATAAAAATTTAAGGTTAAAAAGTTTGATAATAATGCGAATGGCTCAAGATGTTGGAAAAAAAGTTGGTTTATTTGGTCATTTTTTGGAGGCTCTTCAAACTTTTGGGACAATTTAATTTATTCAAAGTGCAATGAAATTTATGTGTGACTTTTTTGAAGGTGAAATCTGACTTGGTTAATGAAACAATTAATGAGCAATTCAGTGTTAAAAAATTGGCAACACTTGTGACTATGATGGACTAATGAAAAATCCTTGTTTATTTATGAATAATGAATCTTAAGGAGAGCACTAAATGGAGATCTCAACGCAAATTAAATATTAACTTTCATCTTTTGTCAAGGAAATTGCAATTAAACTGTTTAATGGGAAATCATTTTGGACCAAATCAGCGGAAAATTACAATTGAAATGGATAGATAAACAACTTGTTAATTGTAATGATAATACACATGCAAAGTAGGGGAAATCAATCTCGATTTTTGACAACACCAAGCCCCATTTCATGTCATTGATTGACCAAGATTATGAATTAATGAAGAAAAGCCTGTTGAAATTGTAAACACATTCAACTTTTCAACAGTTGCAACTTACCAATCAAGTCTTAAAAAAATCAAACAATCTGTACATATGATTTTGGTTAATGACGAGACGTCAACATCTGGTTTACCCAAAAATGTACAATTTTCTCATCATTTACAAATGATTACTAAATGTTTCAATCATCACCAGATCAAGGAACCAATGTGAACCCAATGTTTAAAGATATTTCCCGGTTGAACCAGGATTACCATTTCTTTACCATCCAAAGTGATTAGGTGTGTGAACGGCAACATAAAATAGTATCAAAATCACAGCAACGTGTTAATTTTTGTGGTAAACACAAAACGATAGATTTCAATTGAGAGTAGGAGTAATCATGATTTGTTTCACTATTCATCAACACTAGGTTAATCTCGTGCAAGGTCAGGTTTTCTTAGGTGAGGTAAATTTTTTGTGTGTTAGTGTTTTAATATTGATGAATTGGTTTACAAAAAGCGCTTTTCTTACCCAATAAGTTGATATTAATCTAGATTAATTTGGATGGATCGATAATATTAATAATGAAGTGAATCAAAAGGAGTTGCTTTTAATCACCTTTCATCAGACAAAATAAGGTGCTAATGAATTTTTTATCCATTATCAATAAGTTAGTTTAAAGGCTAAAGAGCATTTTATGTTCACCGATTGATATAGTTGTTAACACATAACAATAGGGTTGACCTGTTGTTATATATTGCTTTGGTTACTGATTTTTTTCCGCTCACAAAACCATTCAATCGGTTTACATGATGATGAAAAGCTAAACCATTTGAACCTGATTCGGTAACAATGAATATCATGTAGCATTAATAATAAGCCAGATAGCTTGATTGAAATGCTAACGGGAAACAAGAAAGAAAGGAAGAAGAAGATGATTGTTGAATGAATAAATGAATGAAAATGATGATGTTTCTTGGATGTATTAGTAGTTTGTTTTATTGTTTATCATGATAGCTTGTTGATTTATAATAATTTATCAAAGGGAAACAACTTACCGTGCATTACATGATGATAAGCGTTTAATGATTTTTTAATTTGCTTTGGTGGTGTTTGTTTCTTTCTTTGCTTACCTATTTAACTCAACTGTATGGAACGTGTTTATTCATATTATTTAACCTTCAATCTTGAGGTTGATAAAATTAAAGAAGCTACTTAAGAAGGTGTAAAGTGTAATAAAGAAACAATTTATCTAAAAGCGAGGATAGAATGACAATTAAAATGAATTACCTTTAACAACTTCATTCATTTTAGAGCCACAGCGACTGTATGGTTACATTAGGTTTTCTGATATCCATTTTAATCCAAACCAAACAACATTATCTGGTCTTTAATTACAATTTATTTCCAACCGCAGTCATTTCAATTCACCAAACTAATTACAATAACAACAATTTAAATCTTCATTTTCATCTACAACTCAGGTGACAAAGATGAGTCTAGTTTCGTTGCCATAGCTTAAAGTCCTCCTGTGACAAAAAAAGTAACTAACATGCATTGACGATTTGATCGTCAATTTTTCATTTTAATTTAGTTATTGAATAATTTCAGCAAAATGTATTACAAATGAACGATATTCAACTGACTAGTAAAACGATTTATGTTGTATAATATCCGTTTGTTGAACAATCAGCTTTTTAATTGAGGCTATCATATATTGTTGAGACTCACTGACCAATTGAAAATAATGATTTTCTTGTTTCCTTTTTAAACTGATTTCCATCTAAATTTGATGGCTATACTTTTAATCGATTACGTTTAATGGATCCTTTCTGGTATATTATAATATAATGGCTCTTATTAACATTCAACTGTTTCATTTACACTTACAATAAATGATATTCAAAATGATTTCTTGTGTAAAAGGCAAAGTTTTGATTAAAGAGTGATATTTTACATTTGGTTATACAATTACTCAAATATTTTACATGATTAACTCAAGGGTTTGGTTTGACAAAGAGTGGGAAATAATTATCCAATTATCTAATTGGAACCATTATTTGGATAATAGTTGCTGAATTTAATACTTCTGTTTTGAGGTTGAAAGATCTTCAGAGTTGAACAATTAACATAGGAAATTGTTGAGCGAGTCAATACATTGACAATTTTAACCATTGTTTGACTGTTAGTAGTCAATGGCTGGGTTATCAAAGCCTGCGTTACGATTTGGATTACATCTAAGGTAGGAATGATGAAGTTAACATGATAAGTGATCGGGCGAGGCCATCAGAAATCAAGGTAACTATCTGAATGTATAATCGCATGTAATACAAATGAACGGCCAAAATGAGATGATGATGATAATAATAATAAGGATGATAATGATGAAGATGATGGAGAGTGAAAGTCGTCCAGTCCAGTTTCACTTTTAGCTTCACTTTCCTTTTCATGTTTAGAGGAGTGAATTAATATTCATCCCTTCCTCTTTGAATAATATTTGGTTTACATTTGCTTTGAATGTCCGATGTAAGGTGAGGAAGGAGGAGGAAGAGGGAGGAAGAATTAAGAGAAATAGAGAAAGAGAAGAAAGAAAAAAGGCCAAAAGAAATGGCTACTTCAATGAAAGGTGAATAAATATTTGGGTGGTGAAAATTGAAAGCCAAATGAAGTAAATAATAATGACCTTACTTTTACTTTCTTTTTCTTTCTGACTTTCTCTTTCTCCTTCTCTTCCTTCTTTCATGATAGATTCAATCCCTCTGGATCTCACATTTCTTGGACAGTATATAAATCGTTGTGGTTACACTTTCACTTTCATTCAAAAACATTCAAACCATTTCGAAGTAACAATCTCTCCAATTGCTTCCAACTTTTAACAGTTTATCCATTTTTGTGTATCTTAGATTTACAATTAACCAACAATCAGTGAAAATGATCCGAGTATGTAAAAATTATTCATCTTATTTTCATAAGTTTAACCAAGCTAATCAAAAAGTGCGCCCTAACCTTTTACCCGAATTACTCATTTCTCAACCGTTATTTTTTGTCTTTCTAATCATCTGATGTGTTTCTTTTTTCACTTTCATTTTTTTCTCCTAATTACTCCAATCAAGTTCGTAGCCTTTGTTACCCTCTTCACCTCAGCTTATTGTGGCCTCATCGCTGCTCCAGCAGCCTATGCACCCGCTGCAGCTATCCTCAACACCGGAGCTTCAAGCCAATACCGAAGCCAGGATGTATGTTTAAGTTTCTTTTGTTTGGATTGAAAACTCAACTGTCTTTTCAAAAGCTTAATTGTTGGATTCTTATTCTTATTTTTATTTATTTTCTCACATGTGATATTACACCACTCATCTAATCATTGGAATTGCAATTAGAATATTGGAAACTATGCTTTTGGATATAATGAAGATCATTCCACCGGTGGAACCTTCAGACGTGAAAGTGGAGATGCTTTTGGAACCAAAATCGGATCATATGGATTAAGAGATGCTGATGGTCGATTACGAATTGTCAACTATGTTGCCGATGCCAACGGTTTCCGAGCCACCATCTCAACCAACGAACCAGGTAACATTCAATAATCTAACAATACTTAATTTCACTAATCTGTTTTTTTATCTTTTTTGATTCTGATTCTCAACTTTAGGAACCGAGCCCCGTGACCCTGCTAGTGTTTTGATCAACAAATCTCCTGCTATTGTCACCCCAGCTGTTGCCGTACCTGCTCCAGCCGTTGCCCCAGTAGCTGCACCTTTAGCAATCGCTCCAACATACGCTTCTCCCGCATATGCTCCAGCTCCTGCATATGCTCCAGCCCCTGCATACGCACCAGCTCCAGTTTATGCACCATACTCATACGCCCCAGCTTCATACAGTGCTTATGGTTTTGCCGCTCCTTACGGAGGATTTGGTCTCAGAAAGTAAATTAATTACAATACATCAACCAATACTCATCATTAAAATCATCATCAACTTTCTTTTTTCTGTCCTCTCACTGTACTATCCTTTGGGTGAAACATGAAAAAAATTAATTTAATTGTCATTATTATTACATTATTTGTAATTTATATCACAATGACATAAAAACCAACAAGACTCTTTTTCATGTCAAATTGGATGCCATAGATCCATAATATCGGGTTTATTTTATTATTATTATCATTGCTATTAAGAATGTTGTGATTAAGTAAGAATCATCAAAAGATGAGAACGAATAAAGATCAGACTTCTATTTTCTTTTAAATTCAACATGTCTCCTGTTTATTTTAACAATCAATCAAAATTAATCATACAAAAAATACCTGAAATTTGAAAAGAAACAAGTAAAGCAGTCAAAAGTATCAAACCCAAATTGTTTCAATGTAATAACAACACGCTATGTATCTTCAAACTTGATTTCTATCCCTGTAATATAGAGATTGATCTACTCGATCAATGATTAGGAGTTAATAAACAACCACAATAGATCATGACATAGAACTGAAACATTTAAAGGCCAAATTCATCAACTTGAAGTCGCAATTCAATCTAAAATAATTGGAAATGCGATGAATAAAATGACCAATTTGATTGTGATACAGTCGTACGCTTACTTGTGTTCATAATCGACAGACTGCAATAATAATTGGAAAGCACCATTTAAATATGAGCAGAAAACACTAACTGATGAACAGATTAAAGATTATTAACCCTTTCTCATTTTTTGTATGTGAAAGTCATCATCAGCTGTAAAGTAATTCAATCAATACTTGATGATTAGTATAGCTGAAGTGTTTTTACTCGTCGCCCCATTAACTTAAATAAGCGTTAGCGTCTTAAATTTCAAGATTTTAGTGTCAATGCCAGAAAACGCGTGAAAAAATGTAGTGACAAGGTTATTTTCAGTGAACAACCCGTTCAACATTCAACTTGATTCTTTCACTTGTCTACCCTTTTTGCTTCACCAGTCATCATCTTGATCAGTAGATAAATAGTTTTCAATTAAACAGCAGCACTCGACAATGGTTGTAATTCAATTGGTATCTTTTGTATTGGCAAAAATGACGCCAACAAGCAATCGACCTGATAATGTAAAAGTAAGTCAACCGATGATTATAATTGTAATTTGTTTTTGTGACTTACACCTCAATTATTGTCATCACCTCTCTTCATATCGGCAACTGTAGCTCTAATAATATACTTGTCAACAATTAACCAACATATAGCTATTAAAAACAATCTAGATGCTACACTCGGTTGAATTCAGAAGATGAGTCAAATACAGAAGTAATTGATTTCACTCTCAAATTGTCTTTATAGTCTGATTGTAAATTATTTGTTGATTGATTAACTTGTTGGTCAGATAATTTATTGCTTCCAAATCCATGAATTTATTGGTTTTATCGGTTTAAAATCCTTATTTGATAATTGAACAAAAGTATCTCATGCTAGGAGTAAATTGTTGGCTCGTTGATGAAGTGGAAATGTCAGAAATTTATCGTAAAAAATGCACCATAAACAATTTAAATATTAATTATGAAGTAATTTTTCATATTAAAATAATAAATGAGAATTATTTTGAGGTTTTTTCGGTGAAAATATTGTTTTGCAAAAAAATGTTTAATGAACAAAAAAGTCAAAAAAGTGTTGGTGGATCTTTGCAATAATCAGTTTGTATCATTTGTTAATAGATGGTGGTCATTGTTATATTTTTTAACAATAGCTTTTCATCTTATGATTTTTTAGTGATTTATTTTTAATGTTATTTATGAAAACAAATGTGATTATTGTTATAAATTTAATTATTATATTAATATGGTTATAAGATCTTTTCTTTTGGTGGATAATTGATTTTGGAGGGACAATTATTTTGGCCGAAAACTTGCTTCAAACGGCTTGCTTGAAGGAGACATGAATTCATTTATGAACGTCATTGGAATACAACGTTTTTTTGTTTCAACCAAAGAATCTGGATTAACAAAAAGAGAAGATAAATAATGAGATGAGAATGTGTTTCCTCAAAATTATTATGGAATGATAGTTTTCTCTGACAATCATGTGTGTGGATTGTCAACTATCTTGAAATGGTAAAATGAAAAATTCTTCCGTGTATTGTACAATTGAAAATTTCCATTCGGTAAGTTGAACATATTGTAACTATAACAATATGACAATATTTTCATGCTTATTTCATTTTGATTGTTTTCATGGTTTTATTGAATTTTTAAGAAATAACTGTTTGTCAATGAGTTGATTTGTGTGTAAAATTCCACTAATTTGGTCTGGTTATTTCTTTTATTCTCTATTTTGATTGTTTATTTATAAATACATTAGGAAGTAAGGCAAAACAGACGAAAAGGATTATGACCTGCAGTTTTACATTAACGTTTAAAAAGCGTGTATATTATCAATCAAACTTACGGGAATGAAGATGAACTTGGGTATGATGAGGAACCATAACCTAATGTTGAACCTCCATAAGATGAACCATAAGAAGAGTATGGAGTACCATAAGACGAGTATGGTGATGAATAACTTGATGATGCATATGGGCTGGAAGAGTATGGGCTTGATGAATATGGGCTTGATGAGTATGGGCTTGATGAGTATGGACTTTGAGCGGCAGCAGCGTAAGGGCTGGAGGCAGCAGCATAAGGACTTGATGAGGCTACACTTGAGTATGGACTGGAAGCAGCATACGGACTTGAAGCGTATGGGCTCATTCCTGAGGCTGGTGCGTAACTTGGTGAAATATAAGCTGGGCTAGCGTAGCTTCCAAAACCAGAATAGGCTGAAGGATAACCAGGATAACCATATCCAGATGGTGCACCGGCTGAGGCACCAGGGAAACCAGGGAAGGCTGGAATTGGTACTGGCACTGGGATGAAGGGACCTGGTGATGCATTGGAAGAAGTGCTGTTGGCTGCATTAACGGCAAGACATAATCCACAGACCAAAAGGCTGACAATGAAACTGGATTTGTTGAACATTTTGAAATAATGAGGAATTTTAAAAAAGGCTTAAATTGAAATAATATAGCTAAAAAGGTTTAAAAAGCTCGACTCGAGCAAAGGTAATAATCCAAAATATGAGGTAAGTTTTGTTCACTTGATTTTTTGTTGCACTAATCCAAACAATACTTGAACTATTGTGACAATTCGATGAGCCCGAAATGCGTTTATATACCAAACGAAAGAGTCTCTTGAGTGAGGCAAATTTAGGTGAGAAGAGCGAGTAGAAAGAGGGGAAAAAGATGAGAATGGTTAAGAGTGAAAAAGAGTTAATAGCTATAAGTATATAAACTATGTAAACGCTAGACCAGGCATCACTTTCAGGCCAACGGATGATCTGCTTAACGGGCCATGAACTGTCAAAATATGTTCCAAAACATGTAAACCCCCTTCACCTGCTTGAAACCCCCCAACCATTTTACTCCAACCCTCTTCATTACTTTCTACATCAATATCAATGACACATCTCCGACGAACCGTTTCACATGTCTTAATGTTCGTAAAATTTAAAAAATGCCGCTTTCTCTTTGGCTTTCTTTCTCTCTCATTTAGCCCAATTTTTCCCTTCAATTTTTCTTGCTCGTTTATTATTATTATCGTTCATTATTATTGATAATAATTTGATTCTTTACTCTCTTCTAGGGGCTTGGAGGTGTTTAACACAATCGTAAAGCCATAAAGTGTGTTTAAAGATAAATTGTTATACACAATTTAAAATCTTTTTGGACGAATCAAGCAGCAAGAAGAAGAAGCAAATGATAAGGTTCATTGAGGGATGCAAGATTATCACCATCATCACCATCGACATATCATCATGGAACAACATCAACACCAATCTGATCATCTTTTACAACATCAGTAAACAGTCAACGTGAGAAAGATGATAAACACGTGCTAAACAAGTTAATCACGATTGAGATGATTTTTGGTGTTTTCGCTTCTTCTGTCAACTATTGATAATTATAAAAGATGACATCTTATAAGGCCACATAGTCAAAAAGATCATTATATGAACATGACGATCAACATTTCTTTTCATCATAATCAACAATTGAATGGTTAATTGAGTTATTTCTTGCACTAATAAAATGCTTATTCAAGCTTGCTTGTTAGATTTTTATATAATTTTATTGTTAAACCCATTAGGCACTTTTATTTCCCAGTAAAATCAAGATTTAACGAAGGAAACAGGTAACTAATAACTCATATTATTTTTATTATATTTCTAATGTTGCATTTTTTCTTGTCTCATTTCTTTTACCTATTTGTTACAAATCAGAATGGAAACCTAAATTCATCTCAATTGTACCATCAACAATTAGGATTGATATCATTGCATTTTTCAACATTGAATGCACCATCAGCCCGATTAAAGTTAAAAATTATGATCAAAACATGAGAATTGGATTGGGATCAATAGATTTTTGATAAGCAAAGAAACCTTTTTTTGTTGGATCATCTTGTTTGTCATGTTAATCGTCGCAATAAGTCTGATAACCCCGTCGAGGTCACAATATATCAATCACTTTGTGTTGCCAAAAACTGGATTATATCAAATCCGTCTCAATGGACATAATTTATAAATGTTAAACAATCAAATCTTAAAGCGTCGATCAACTGGACAAGCTCAAGTTGCTGGAAATGAAAAATGCAAACATCCACAATTTTCAAATGATATAATATAAAGGATTATTTTAGGAAACCAAAGGTTAATTAATTTCGGATGGCATTAATATACAAACGAAAGCCTCATTTCGGATCTCAAGTGTAACCAACAATCTGTACAATTTGATGGTCAGAGCAAAAAGTAATAATAATTTGTTTTTAATCACAATTCCAGAAAGTATAATGTATTTATAAATTTAGTGTACATGTAAAACATGGTAAAATGTTTACTAATAATCAGAGTTGAGTGATTTTGTGCCTTCTCATATCTTCAACAACAATTAAAGGTTCGTTAACCAGTTTTTTTGCCAAAAAAAGGAAAGCAAAGATTGAGTCAATAATAATTTTCCCATCACTTTAACATAACTAATTCAGCTGACCATCGCAATATGATTATACAAATGAAAGTAATCCAGTTTAATTAATGTTTTTGACTAACAACCAGAAACACAAATTCAGATGAGATTGACCAACCATTTAAAATGAATGTAACTTCATCATTTTGTTTACAACCTGAATTTTTAGTCATTGAATATGATCTTAACCATTAAACATCTTCATAATATTGTCAATAATAACCTGCCAAATGAGTTTTGGGACTAAATATAAAATAAATTAATTACCAAATAACCAAATCGAAATGCAAATATAAGGTAAATTTTTAGGCCTTGAAGATTGATCTAAAAGCTGATCTTAAGTATCAGTCTCTAAACATGCAAATGATTACAATTCAAGATAATTTCAATGTAATGAGATTTACCTTGGCCAATAGTCAACATTAATCAATAGATCTATTGATCAACCTTTATAATGATTTACCACTAAAAGATGAGTTGAAAGTTAAACGTATTGACACTGAAATTAAAATTTGACAGTTGATTTTAAATTGATTGAATTTATGATCGAGTCAATTTACAAGCAATTTGTCTAATTGTGATAAAAATCAAATTTGGAGGTCAAAACCAATAAACATTTACAAAATTATCAATTGACAATCACCTTTTTAACCTGGCTTATGAAGATGATGTAAAGATTCAATCTTCAAAGCTTTCCCATTGAAAACAGGAACCTCAATTGAAACATTGCAGCCTTGATACAATTTAAAGACTTGAAATGATTGATATTTTTATTTCAAATTAAATCTGGTAAATCATATTAATAGCAAGAGATGAGAATCGTAAAATAAAGAATCAAAAATATGAGATTAACCTTGATATTTGCAATCAACAATTAGCTTGGATTGTTTGAAGCTGCGAAATGATAATGACTTGACATTTGATTATCATCTAATGATATTGGATCATTTTTTTATTCAAAAAGGCGCATCGGAAACACGATTAATAGTGAGAAATAGCAACAATTGAGTTTAACATTGTTATGAATGTCACAAATCTCATGATAAAAGGTTGATTGTTGATTATGAAGAAACATTTAATGACAGTAAACCACCAAAAGAAGCAGATATTCATCCCTTTCATACAATCATAATAATGAAGTAAGGATTGCAATAATAATGTTGTTCAATGATGAGAGACTTGCCAATATGTGAGAGTTTTACCAAAAAAAAAATAATCAAGTCTCATCGACATAATACTGTTAAATGATCAGCTTTTTTTGTCAACCAATTTTTCATTCACAACAATCAACTAATCTATTAACTGATTTCACGATCTATTGTTGTTGCAATTAACTTGATTCACTCAGTTTTGTTTTTGTTTTTGTGCACAGCTTAATATGTATTTGTTGGTGAAAATTGTTTCATCATTGTAACAGTTATATTTAAGATGATATTATTAATCAGAGCGAAACCCAATTTAAGCCTTATATCATAATTAAACGATGAAATAAGCTTAAACAGATTTCGATGAGCCTCTATTTTTCATCATAATTATCGTTATTACTGGTATTGTTTTCATTTTGCTTCAATACAAATTCATATTGCTATTAGTTTTTCTTGGGTTTATTTGTAAATTTCAAAGTCTATACTTTAAATTTAGTCAACTTGGGCGACTAATTGATGAATTAAGTGATCATTGAACTAATTAGAGCATTTGATTATAGATATTAAGGATAACAAATCTACCATTTTTCACCGCAAAAATTTGGATTCATAAAACTGCTTCTTTACTAACCTATGAGACAAAAATATGAGACAAAATGTTTGATCGTTTATAACTTGACTATCAGTGATTTTTTAGATTGAATGCCATTTGACTGAACAATAATCAATGATATCCGATAATAAAAAATCAAGAACATTCTGAGTCCATATCTTAAGCGTCTTACAAAATAATCCGAATCAAAATTCATGATTTGGTTTTTGATTCGTGAGATCTTGCGCTGGCTTTGTCTGTTCACCATTGATTGTTATCTGTGGGTTTGTTTGTTGATTTAGAGGCAAGTTGATCGTAAAGATTGGATAGTTTTTTGTTAAGATTCAATGTTATAATGGCAATTTGATGACGAAAAATTAGTAATTAAGTATTACGAGTGATGTTTTCGCATCAATAAACAATCAGTTCAAGTGTATAAGTGTAAATACACAAATTATCTTGAGTTCAGTCTCAGATAATAGTATTTTTGTGAGTTCTGAATAGAAATTAAACTCTAATTGAAAATGGCATCAACTCTAGTTGGTGATTATTCAATTTAACAATGCTTCATATCCTTGGAGATCAGGGAATTTCTTGTTCATCAGTATTGACTGATTAGGTAAATTATTGATAATTGACTGCAAGGAATTTTTTTCATTTAATTTTGTTAGTTGATTTTTTTGGTTAATTTAATTGTTTGTTATAATCATTAAGAAATTAATGTTTTACATGTTGTCAAAATCGCGCTAGTTTTTATAAGTCACTCCCACCACCAGCTGATTTTGTCTAAACAATGTTAACCAATGTTTTAAAAATACTACTAGCTTCAATTGATCTAATTTCTTTGACTAATTTGTTTGTTTGCTTTTAATAATTGTAAATTTTACTGGAAATTGTGATTAATCTGGATTAATCTTAAATGCTTATGTTGAATTTTGACCGTATCAACTCACTGTTTTTGCTATTTATCGGATATCTACCGAATCTTTCTTGATTTCATAGTCAAAGATTATTTTACAGTTTATGAACCTTATATTATTGTGAAATTGTTTCTAGATTATCAGTAAACTTGATCTATCGGTACCATGTCAGATATTGATCCAACAGATGATTGGGATCCAGAAAGATCACCAGGAAATATTGGTGGAGATGAACAATCAATTGTAAGTTTCTAACTTAAATAGTTTTGGTTTTTGTAATCTTACTTTTCATCTCTGTATCAATAAATCTAGGAATCAGAACCCAGATTGAAGATTGAAAGAATTGGAAATCATGTTAATAATATTCTACAAAAGGATTCAATCAGTTGTGTAGCTGTGCATTGGAAGGTATTTACTCTATTTCTTCAATGATTTACTGATTACATATTGACTATAATTTATTTAAAGTATATAGCAATCGGAACCCGTCTTGGAAAGGTTCATATCGTCGACTTGCAGGGTAATTGTGTCCATGAACGCCTCTCTCAACTTTCCCTGGTAAGTCAATCCACTTTTGAAATCGCATTCAATAATTTACATTTTTGGTTGTTTTATATTTCCCAGCATACCACGGCCGTCAATTGTATAAGCATTGAAAACAAAGGAGAATATATCGTTTCTTGTTCTGTCAGCAAGGTATAATTTGATACTTTAACTTGATTGATTTCAATTCTAATTAAACTTTGTCTTAAAAATAGGCAGCAATTTTTGGTTTATGTTCCAATGATTGCAACAACGTTTTTAATTTTGATAGACCTGTCCATTGTGTTGCTATTGATCCGAACTTTTGTCGTCCTGGTACCAATCGACGTATTGTCACCGGAGATGAGCGAGTTGTTCTTCACGAGAAAACGTTTCTATCGCGTTACAAATCAACTTTACTCTACGAAGGCTATGGTCAGATCCGTTCAGTCAAGTGGCGTTGTAATCTAATTGCTTTTGCCAGTGATAATGGTATTCGTATCTATGATATGGACGAAAGAGTGGTTATTTGTTTTATTGCTCGGGAAGCAGAGCCAAGTCTAAATTCCGAATTTCATCAAAGTTATCTTTGCTGGAAAAATGATAATGAATTTATCATAGGGTGTGCCAACTCAATTAAATTGTGCCAAGTTGCCCGAAGATCTTTCCGTTCAGCTGATGCTGATAAACTTCCTACAAAACAAGTTATCATACCTTCAATGTGCACCATTAAATCTTCCATTTATGGAATAGCACCTTTAGAAAATGCTATAGTTGTTCTTACCACTACGCCAGCTATTTCTTCTCCTGAAACTCCTTCTTCTCCTGTTACTCCGTCTTCCCAAGAAGCTCAAGAGGTTCACGAAGTCCAAGAAGTTGCTTCTTCCGAAGAACCTGAAAAAATTAAGGTTCACCATCCATCACTAATTATAATAGAACCTACTCAGGACGAATGTGATGTGATTTCCAATGATGCTTTATTTCCAAGAGGCTACAAAAGTTACAAAAGCAACGATTATTCTTTGGAATATCTCCTTGAAGATGGAATATATTTTGTTTTTTGTCCCAAAGATCTAATCATTGCCAAGCCAAAAGAGGATGATGAACGAATAAGTTGGCTAATTGATCATCATTTTTTCGACCAAGCTTTGAACCTTGTTAAAAAGGGTAAAAATATTCGCCTTCATAGCATACTATCAGTTGGTAAAGCTTATATATCTTATCTTCTTAATCAAAAGACCGATGAAGCCTTTAAAAAAGCCGGAGAATTGTGTCCCTCCATTCTTGGTAATTCAGTTGAAGCTTGGAAAGATCAAATTCGACAATTTACTGAGTGCGGAAATTTAGCAGCCCTGGCGCCTTTTTTACCAATCGAAGATCCAATCACCTTAGATGCCTATACTTATGAAACAGTCTTAAGAGATTTCTTGGAAAAAGATGCGAGTGGTTTTCTACATTTAATCGAAACTTGGCCTTCCTCAAAATATAACGTTCAAAGAATGACCAGAGGTTTACTCCAAGCTTATGGCAAGGATCCTGGAAACAAAAAATTATCCCAAGCATTAGCTTTATTATACATTTATGACGGTAAACACGAACAAGCAGTTTCCATTTACCTAGAAATTGGTGAAGGCGACAAAGTTTTTGAATTGATTCGAGATTATCAATTGAATCAATTACTTCTTGAAAAGTTGGAAGATCTCATGGTAGTTAATCCAAGTGGAACATCTAAACTACTATTGGAACAAAGAGAAACTATTCCTGTTGATTTTGTTGTTGAAAAGTTGAAAAATCGACATGACCTTTTGTGGTCTTACCTTGATAAAGTGGTTCAACAAGATGGTGATCTTTGTGCAGTACATCATGACCTTCTCATTTCGCTTTATGCACAGTTCACCTCTGATCGATTGTTACCATTTTTACAAAGTTCAAATCACTTTTCTTTAGAAAAAGCACTCAAAGTTTGTGAGAAGTACAATCTTATTCCCGAAACAGTTTATCTTCTCAGTCGAATGGGAAATTCAAAAGAAGCCTTACATTATATTATAAATAAAATGTCTAATATCAATTATGCTATTGAATTTTGTTTAAAACATTCTGACAATGATCTTTGGGAAGATTTAATCACATACTCTCTTGACAAACCTGAATTTGTTGCTGTTTTACTATCAACTGTTGGTACTCATATTCCTGATCCAGTTGCCTTTATAAGTCGAATTCCCAATCAAATGGAAATTCAAGGATTGAAAGATGCTCTACTCAAAATATTGCGTGATTATCGACTTCACATTGCTGAAGAAGAAACTCGAAAGCAAGTTCTAGTCACTGATTGTTATAAATTATTGGAAAAGTTAAATTCTCTTCAAAAGCGAGGAATACTGATGTCTGATGAAAAAACTTGCAATAGATGCTCAACGCGTGTTCTCAAAAGAGGTAAAGTGATTCAAAATCGACCCTTTCAAACAAAAAAATTGATACCATTTCTGGCTTGTATTAGTCTAATTTAATAATCGAATGTTTTTTGTTATATTTTCAGATCTTTCTCGTGCATCAAACCTAATTATTTTCAATTGCCAACATATTTTTCACGAGGAATGTTTACCAATATCTGAAGATGTAAGGATTAGTATAACACTAATTAATAATCTTATTTTCACCTCTTCAATTAGATTCAAACACGAAAGGTTAGATTGAATTTATTTAGGCTTCTTTATCATTTTAGTTCATACAAAATTACAATCTTGATGATTATGATCCTTGAGGTATTACATTCCAAAGAGATTCAAGAGTATAACCGTCTTTAATTTTTTCAATTGCCAATCCTAATTGAGGACAGAAGATTGGTTCAGCATCTTTAGCAATTACTTGCGAATCATCTTCCAAGTAAGAAGCAATCACATCAGGATTCAATTCATTACCTTCATCTATATAATCTGTATTAATCAAATCATCTTCCAATTTGGAATCACTCGAGGAACTGCTGCCCCTTCCTCCATCAAAGCTTGATAAACCCATCTCCATGGCAAGAAAAGTTTCAACACCATAATTTGGATTAGTTACATGAACATTGTACAAATTGCATAGTTCATTATAAACTGAGATAAGTCTTTGGAGTGGATCAATTCGAAAGCCAAGAACATATCCTCCTGAACTGTCACTAGATTCAATAACCAAGGCAGGACCAAATTTGGATTCACGGACTCTTATGGATGAAACTTGAATGTATGGCAGCGACAAATTGAATAATTCATTGACATTTGCATGCCAAACGATCCGTAAATTGGTTACATGCATTGTACCAAGATTTCCCTGATCAGACGAAAGATTCCAAACTCCTTGAAATTTATTGTAAATCTGTTCAGATGACAATATTTTGAGCTGTTTACCTTGAGCCGTGAAAATAGCTGACCTAAGTTTCAAATCACGAAATAATTTTGTACACAAATACGCTTTACAAACACGACTCACTGTCATCGTTATTTCTGATCCAATGTTACAAAATCGTGGATTCATTCCAGTTGTAGTATCATTTGAAGATTCACTTACTGCTGAATCAGGTTTACTAAATATTAAACTTGCCGATGGACCTGGATCGACTCCAACTGATTCTTTATCTTCCAATGGTGTAAACACAAATTCATATCTGGTCCCATTGATTTTAGCCATAATATGAAGAGCTGTATACCGTCCTCGTAATTTATTGTGCAAATTACGGCTTGTTATGGATATAACGCAATTTAATCCGATGGTCAAATTAATCCTTGGTTTGGACTTGGATTGCCAAATGATTCGCAAATTTGTAATAGTCAATCGACCCTCATCACCTGCATTACCTTTTGTATCTTCAATTCGATCATAACGATACAAATTTTTCTCACCTTTGCGTAGACTCAATTCCTTGGCTGTAGCATCAAAACGTAAATCACGATCTTGCCAAAGAGGATCAAATTTATATAGCTCAATCGGTTTTGAACTGGCCATAATTTATTCAACAATTTTTATAATTAGTCAGAAAAATTGAATCTTGAAACTAGACCTTGAATTTGAAACTTCATCTATTGTTTTTATTTCGTTTGTTTTTGGTAACCATCCTTAGTTACTCATCTGTGAGCCTCATAGCTTGTCATTTTGTTGTTCCTTATGTTTATATTCCTTATATTTTGATTTGAACTCATGATATCTGTTTACTCTGATTGTGTTAAATTCGCTATTCTAATTTCTAACTTCTAATTTAATTCTATTTTTCTACTTCAAATAGAAAATTTTCTGCAGTATTTGTACAACTAATCAAACAATGGATGGAAACACGTCTACTCAACCGTACAGGAAAGTTCAATAATATTTTGCGACTGTGATGTAAATTGGCTTTTTAAAAACTAAACAATAGATCCTGATTCATTATCATCTTCAATTGATTCAAAATCTTGTTTTTAGTTGAGATATATTTTCACAGAATTTTCGTGATCAAGATTAAGTCAAATCTCCTTTTTATATCAACTTATATTCAACTGTAATGTAACCAACAAAGATATTTTTGTATCAATCGAATTGAATATTATTCTGAACGTTTTTCTTATTCATGATTACTCGTTGCTAATTTAATATTTGTATGTCATTATATTTATTGTACCAAATGATACAATAAAATAATTCTATATTCTATGTAACATTCAAACATTAAGTGTTTAAATTGAGAAAGAGAAATGGTCGAAATTATTCTCCTCTTTCTTTATTCTGTCTATTTCCCTGACTTGACAAATACATTTCTTATTCTTAACAATGGTCAGAATGGCAAAACTAACTCTTTATTTTAACTAAAGGATTATTAAGGGGAGTTGAAATTAAGACTCCAAAGTGGTAACTTGAAAATGACTGGAACTAGTGCTTGGACCTAGTGCTTATTTTATTATTATAGTTTAACTAAATTTTAGTTAATTCAATGGGAATATTGTCCGCTAAATGATTATTATTAATAAATACTATTAAATGGTCCTAAAATGTCACATCTATTACAGTATTTTATTGTTTTGACCAAAATTAAACCTTTATGAAGATTAGTTAAAACTACATTTTCGTCATTTGACTTTTAATTGCAAACAATCGATTCTAACAGTAATATTAGTTTCAACATTGAAAACAGAAAATTTATTTTATTTTTTTCACAACCTTTGAGTATTTCGTTTAGTTTTGTTGATCGAAATATTATCACCAAAATTTCTTTTATCCATTGATTAATATGTTTACTTGAAATGACTTGAAATTATCTGGTAGCCAGGTAATTCGGGAATTCGGTTCCCATTTTTGAACGGCATCAGGTCACAACCATTAAGTTTTAATTGATAATCCATTGAATTGGTTTTAGTTAAATTTTTATCCTTCTATGAAATATTTTGTTTCTCTTATGATTAGCTCTTAATTTACGTAACATGGCAATAGTCTTTGGTTGGTTTGAGCCCTTAAAAATATTATTTAAAGTTTGGAAACTTGGGTAGTTAAATCTTGTTCAGGTCCTGATATTGGTGATGGTCTTTCTACGAGTCTTTTATAACTATCTCGTCGAATCGATGGTCTATCATCATTGAATGAACTAAACTTATCTTCCAATCCAGGCCTAGCAACTAGTTTACCTGTTCCTCCATAGCTTTTTGCTTTTGTTTCTTCCTCTTCATAATCAGTTGAAAGTCCTGGATTGATTCGACCATTAGCTTCTGATAGTTGGTACTTTTTTGCAATTGATAAATTGAGAACTGATAATTCACCTTCTTGGGGTTCACCAACAACCACAGCATCTTCAGGTATGTTGATCACACAATGAAAAAAGTCATACTTAGCAGGTAGAATATTTTTCTCGAATAGATGTTTGGTCAAGGTGGAGACACCCAATAAAGTACCAAAAGATGTTAGCATGGCAAAAGTACGAAATGGGAAGAGTTGACCATCACTTTCCGAGTAAAAGGGATATTTAATTAGTGGAGGAATACCGATAGTTTTTTCACCGCCAAGAGCACGAAGCAGGAACCCAAGAACATACGCTGCTAAGGACCCATAAGTGTTGCAGTGACGTTTAAAATAAACAACGCAAACTAATTGAGGAAATAGAACAACGTAAACAATATCTGATGAAAGGTACCAAAGACCATAAATTGATTTGACATAGAGTGCCATAGTTGTGGCAATGGCACCAACAACAATTATTGAAACTCTCATAACCCAAACTACTTCGTGTTCAGATGCCTATCGGAAAATGAAAAAATGATTACAAATTAATTTAAGGTGGTTAGTGTAGGAAAATGAATAAAAATTTACTTACATTTGATCTGATCATAAGTTTATAAACATTTCGGGCAAACATTGATGATGCACTGAGAAGAGATGAATCGGAAGAAGACATAACTGCTGCACTTACAGCTCCAAGGCCAACAAATTGTACAAACGGCGGAGTTAAATATTGCAATACCATTGGTAAAACTAATGAAGTATGAGAATCGTCCAAAGGACGCTTAAAATCTGTCTCTTCCCATACTATTAAATGGACAAGGTAAAAAAAACGAAATAAACACATCAGATAATTGACGAAAAAATAAAAAATTATCAAAAAGATGACAATAATATACAATAATGTACAATATAACGATATAAATAATAATAGCAACAATTCGATAACAGCTAAAAGCATAAGTTTTCTCGGACAATTTTACAATGATTTCACTCGACCTGAACCAGTTTCCTAAATGAGAGACAATGGTCTCCAGTAAGCAAGAAATGTCACTTTCAACACCTCTGTGCTAATAGGACAAACTCCAAAAAGCAAGGGTTTCTAAAAGGTATAGTCTTAACCTGCAATACAAACAATGGTTAAAGTCCAACTTAAAACCTTTTTTTGCGCTAGCTTCATCAGCTCTGAGATGAATTACTCGCTAAAACATGCTTTTTATCAATTTAAGTGAATTTAATTGAGTCAAAAACAAGATCCTAACATGAATGATATCAAATGATGAAATGACAAAAAAATCTGAAAAGAAAATTTTGTTGAATTTTGGTTTTTCCATGCAAACATGGAAGTAATAGCTAATTTTTACTGTGGCAAAGTGCGACTTATAATATTTACATGCTTTCCCCAGACTATGAAAACTATTGAAAAAATTGTCTAAATAAAGTCATCCACTTATTAGTGTGACTAGTAATTTACCTGTAACTCTTGCAACTGCACCAATTATCATTGAAGGAATGGCCATAACAATGCAACCAAAAGCTGCTACATATGAAAGCATTTTTGCCTTGAAAGCGGACCTCGAGGAAAGAACTCGTTGGAAGTAAACTTGCCAAGGAACACCGCCCAGTATTAAGAGAAGAGCATAATCAAGATATCGACCAAATTGTCTGGCTGGAAGGTCACCAAACCAATCATGGATTTCAGGGGAAAAACTTTTCACTGCAGGATGATTAAGGCTAAAGGGAATACACAACCATAGTCCAATAAAAATACAGAAAAGCTGGATAACGTCAGTATAAGCGACAGAATAGAGGCCACCAAAAAGTGTATAAATGATTGCAATGATAGCTGATAAAATTATTGATGTGTCGTTGTCCATGTCAATGATAACAGAAACAGTGGCCCCGAGTGCAGCTAAAATAGCCGCTGACCAGAATATTTCACCACAAAGTGCGGGTAAAAACAAAAGGCCACCCATTCGTCCTCCAAGAATCTCTTGAAAAGGATCCAACATGGTTACATATCCTTGTTCCCGCATTTTGGTTGCAAAAAAAAATCCTCCTGTAAAAAGGCAAAAAGCAATTAGGCATCTTTTTTAAATTAAAGTCAAATAATTTAAATTTAATTAAATACATTAATACTAATGTACAACAAATTAAAATGGACACAAACCAACAACCAAACTCATGGCATAACCAAAAGGAGCTTGACACCAGATTAATCCACTAGTGTAAATTACTTCAGCTGTTCCATTGATATAACCGCCTCCAACCCAAGTTGCTGAGCATTGAAAAGTAAAAATATAAAATATTAAAATATTAAATGGAAATAAAAGATAGACGATCGTTGAAAACAATAGAGAAATCAATATACAGAGAATTTTTTCTCTCCATATTAAAGGATAATGAAACAAATGTAAAAAGGTCAGAAGTCAAAGTAGACAGTAGATCAGAAGGAGCAATGTGAATGCAAAATGTACATAAAGTGTTATAACTATGGTCCATTAACTTTAATAAAATGCAGAGCAACACAATTTGCATTGATCAATTTACTAACATTAAGATGTTCCCCTGTTTATATTTGTGGTTATCATTATCGAAGACTATAAATAAGATTTATATACACTATCTATCCTGTGAAGTAAGAATCTGTAAGAATTCATTCTGTATTATTAGCTAAATGATGAGGAAAGAGTCTCTTTTATGCGCAAGTAATGAACAAATTGCCATAATAATGCTAAATGATAAAATAGAGATGGAAAGATCAACAACTAATCGATAATCTCGTTACATGAATATATTTAGATTTTGAAATTATTAAAAAGAGTGATAAATGATAAAAACTGCCGAGTGATATGTTGATGGTAAAAACTAATTGATCGTTTTGTTGGGTTAATGAAACGCAAAGAGTTAAAAATGTTGAAAAGAGGGAAATTGAAATGTAAATTTACCTGTCATGGTGAATATACCAACAAACAAGCCAATATTTCGACCGGCCAACATAACCTCTTCAGTTTCCAGTTCATTGTTGTCAGATTTTTTCTTTCTTCCAGCCCAAATGCCAACAATCAAGATAATTATGTAAAATATCACAACTGAAAAAACTCCAGCTATGTTAACTGCCATTTGTAGACTTGAAGTTGCTTTATAATGATATGAAAACTTGTGGGATGAATTATTTAATCAATTTGGATTAGTAAAGCCTTTAGGACAGGTATATAATGAACAAGATTAAAACCACTCTTATGATTATTTGATGGACAATACTTGAATTATTATTAAATGGGCTTAAGTGTTTTTTTGTGATCACTTTGGAAGAAACGTTCTTTGATTGAAAAAAAACAGGAATAAATCAGGATTTGGCCTTTTTTACTTGCGTTTGTTGACTTTTTGGCTGACAATGATTAACTGTAATAGTGAGAGGTTAAGGAGGAGAGTCAATCTCTGATTCCGGTCAACAGAGATGTTGGCTTTGCTTGTTTACGATGGGAGATGTAAATAATCCATGTATATTACCAATTCATTGTTCTGGTTATCAGGTTGGAAGGGTTTATCTATTATATGAATACAAGTAAACAGAAATGGATTCAGTGATTGAAGCAAAATATATTCACAATTTGGAGGGATTGTTATGGACAGTTGAACAAGTGACCAAGGATGGTGTATAACTATCAAAGTTGAAGCTAATGGTTAAATTGTATACAAGAAATGATGAATAAGTCACTTTAGCTTTCACAGATAATAGAAAGATGAAAAATGATTACTATTTTGATTTGTAAACATTATATTGCTGTAAAATATTTTACTGGAAGAAATTGGTAAACACAAAGTTGAAATAAAATAGGACGATATTGGACTAATTTTACAGATATAATTGATGTAAAGGTAAATTCAAGATCAACTAACAATGGTGATAATCCTTAAACGTGCTAATTCAAATTGTAATGTTGAAAAAATTAACATTGAACGAAACTTACCTTTAGGAATGAGTTTTGTAGTTGGAGAAGAAATCAAAACAAAACAAATGATTCGTTTGGAGAAAAATAAAACGAAACCTTTTCAACTCCGCGAAGCTAAAGGTTATATCGATGTTCGATAGATTCATAATGAAAGTAAAAAGTTTGGATGAATACAAAAATTATATCAGAATTGTAATTGTGATGATTAAACTCCAGATTTAGACGAGATTAACTAAAAATAATTAAAAGTCTTCGGAGACAAGTTACTCAAACAGCTCAAATTGAGAGTTGTTAATAAAAAGACACAATCATCAAATTTATGCACAAATGAAATGAGGGAATGAATGAAATGAACAAAAACTGATGAAAATCAATTTCTTTCAAATTTAGACTTTGTTAGTTTATAAGGATATAAAATCTGAGTCTATTAATACCATGGAAAAATATTTCTGATGAAAAGTTGTTGAGAAAAAGCAAGTCAAAAGTTGAAACTTCGATCGCCTTTAGTACCATAATGGAAGCAAATTTTTTCATTAAACTCATTTTAAAGACATAACTTTTGATGGCTAACGTGAAAATGTATTTATTTGGGAAATAAAACTTTTCGGTTTCTGCAAAACCGATCGCTTTCTTTGATTGTTAAAGTTATCGAGTTGAAACTTATTAATTACCCATAAAAATTGTTGGTACAAATCTTGGGTTAAGTATTTTTGTCAGTTTATGAACAGTTTCTTTTATTTTATTTATTTCATACAATCATAATAATGAAGTAAGGATTGCAATAATAATGTTGTTCAATGATGAGAGACTTGCAATAAGAGTTTTACCAAAAAAATAATCAAGTCTCATCGAGTAAATACTGTTAAATGATCAGCTTTTTTTGTCATCCATGAAACCATAAGAGTATTTGATCTTATTTACATAATAATTTTTATTGAATTTTATTTTTGTCCAATTATTAACAATTAGACAAAATTACATTGACAAGAATCGTCTATTTATGATTACAAATAGTTTAGGTGGGGATAAATGGTACAGATTGGAGGATGATGAGAAATCGAAGAAGCTAAATTCGTGATTCGCAAAGATTTTGACAATAGAGGCACAATTAGCTTGAAAATATACTTTTTGAGGAGGATTTGAATCAATTTGATTGAAGAAGACAAAAATTGGGTAAAAAGCAAAAAGAGGAATGAGGAGACATCAAAGTTGTGAAAGAAAATTGAGAAAAATGAAAAGCAACAATTTAAATGTGAATATTAAACATTACATTTTGTTTATCATATTGTCAATTTAATAAAATGAAAACACTAATAATGACTAAATTAGTGTCAACATGTAAACAAAGCTAGGTAAATATCAATCAATACAAACATCGAAAGTCAAGTTATTAATTATTAATTAACGTTATACACATTTTGGGAACATTCCTATTGTTTATATCGATTGATAGTTTGTTTCCATTGAATAACACCAATTATAGCACCAAAACAAAACAGGATGAATGCTGACTATGATTTGATCACAATTTTGTTAACTGATTCGAGGACTAGAATTAATATTGTTAGCCAATTGCTTCTTTCGCAGTTTCATTTGTCAAATAAAACAAATCATCATGGACAGAAATTTAATTTAACTAACATATTTTTATAAATAATTATAAAGATCAAATTGATTGAGCATAATTGAAGGTTTCTGCGCTGATATTAGATTAATTTAAAAAACTTGAATTCTATGGTTTTCTCGATCACAGACCAAAATATTTCCAGTTGTCGACACAGCAACACCTTCAAGACCTTTAAATTCACCTTCACTTGAACCCCAGCTTCCAAAGGCCTAAGAGACAACAAAAATATGATAAAATTAATAAAAAATGTGTTCTTTTGAAATATTTCAATAAATAAATCAAGAACAATCTTCAAAATAGGACTCACTTTGAGGAAAGTGCCATCAGGATTGAAAATTTGTATCCTGTTATTACCAGAATCACCAACAATAATATAACCTTGATCATCAACAGCAATACCTCTAGGAAATTTAAATTGTCCCTCTTCTGTTCCTTCACATCCAAAAGTTGACAGTGAGCGACCGTTAACATCAAAAATTTGAATACGATGGTTATTAGAGTCACTGACAATAACTCGATTAGTGTTTGACACAGCGATGTAATGTGGATGCTCCAAAAGACCCGGGCGATTTCCAATGGAACCAAATTTACCAACAAAAGTGCCATCAGATTGAAAAACTTGGATTCGATGATTCTCTTTGTCACAAACATAAATGAATCCAAGTGAGTCTGTCGTGATTCCCCAAGGATAACTGAATCGTCCATCGACTCGTCCTTCACATCCAAAAGATCTGAGGAAACGTCCTGATGGATCAAATATTTGAACACGATGGTTATAGCGATCTGAAACAATGTACTGTCCAATTCTGTTAACAGCAACACCAGCTAAACAATCAAATTCGCCTTCGGCTGAACCATAGGAACCAAATTCATGAAGAAATCGTCCAGTTGAATCAAATACTTGAACTCTGTGATTAGAGGAATCAGCGACAACAATACTATTATCAGGACCACAAGCAATTCCTCTAGGCCATGTAAAACAACCTGGTTCTGTTCCACGAGTTCCAATTTTGAACATCATTCGTCGCTTCTGTAAATAGGTTGACCGGGGAAGATTATACCCATAACTAGGCCGTCGACCATCGGTTGATGAAGATGTTTCGGTTGCATCAAGACTTCCCTTTCTTGATAGAGCTTTAGGACCACTGGTATTAGTGTTACCTTCATCATCTGAGCTATCAGATAAATTTCTCGAATATACTGCATGTGAACTTTTACTTTTACTTAATCCTGCAGCTCGTGAACCTGATCCGGTAGAGCTTGCTGATGAATTACGACTAGATCCATATTTGTTTCTTAAATATTGAGACCACGCTGTTGTTCCAGTATTACCTGTTTAAAATAAATTTGAAAAAGATATATAATTTTAATCTACTCTTAAATTTTGAAGGAATGAAATTAAGATTTTTACCAGAGTTTTCATCATGGGTCGGACTTTTTTCCCGGTCTTTTGGTTGTTGTCTGGTTCGATATTGATAACGTCCTTCTTTACCATAATTTGCTTCGGCATAGCGACTTCGGTAGGTGGGTGCGGATGGTGTAGAGGTATCATCATCATCATCACTTCCATCATGACCTGAAGAATAGACTGGATATGACAAGAGAAAGAGACAACAAATAAGGTATGAAAGGGGTGAAAGGATGAGTTGAGAATGAGAAAGCAACAAACAGAGTTAACATGGGGGATCAATTGCATATTTAAAACTGTAACTGGCTGATTGTTAGCGGTTTTTCAATTTTTTTCAAAAGGTCATTAATTTAATTTGATTCATAGATTGTAATAAATTAAATTGGCTCAGATTAATACTGTAATAGGGTAAATCCAAACATGACAGGTAAGAGGTGAGAGAGGCACATGTAAAGCTGCTAAAATAATCAAGATACTATTTAATATAAAATATTTATTTTTATGCACATTACCTAATGCTTTTAAGCACTTGCTTTTTCCATCTTCAAAATGAAGATGCGATTGCGAATGAAGATATGGCGAAAAGAGACTAATTGAAGTCTCAAATGGCTAATTGTTAATAATTGCTGCTGAAGATAAGCTAAATTTATTGATTTAAAGTATTATTCAGAAGCTGCTCAAATGGACACAAAGATTGGGTGAAAAAAGCATTGGATGTTTGGGAGGTTGGTTCATTTTTTGATCAATTTGCAAAGTTAACGGGTTGATTGTGAGGTTAGTTGGTAGACAATTTGCTAACAGCAGTTTGCTTTGGGTTAGCGATGATGTCTTGAGAAAAAAGATGATGATGGAGAAGAAGAAGAAGAAATTTCAATTAAGCCATTGGAATTGTATATTAATAGTTAGAGTTTTTCAAGTTAGATTTTATTAATAAGCTTGCTTAAATGGCCACAGCTTTTCCTCTTCAATGTTTAACTGAACAATTAAAGGTTCCACTGGTAAACAATTTAAATCATTACAGTAGTCGAGTTAAATATCTAACCTGTTTACACACTTATAAAAGCGTAATTAAGTGCTAAAAAATATAAAAATTTGTCCAACTACTGCAAAATGTACACAAAAAATTTGATGATAACACAACTAATTGATTTATACACAAATAAAGAAACAATTTTACTAATGTAATTGGTAAATGATAATGAATGTTGCTTTTAATTGTTCACTAAACAATTATCTTTTTTTTCATTGACAATGTAAGAGGAAATACTGTGATTCAATTTTCGATACAATAATAATGATTGAAATTATAAAATTTAAACCCAAGATTGGATTGTAATTAAGATTTGCTTTACAATAGATTGGCCTAGGATTTTTGTAAGGATTGATCAGCTGGATAAGGCGGTTGGAAATTGGTTAGAAGTGAGTTTTTTTGGGTTAAAGGGTTGCAATAAGCGTATCACCAACCTCCAAGTAAATGGGAACTTTTACTTCGACTCAGCCTGGAATTAGATAGATCATAATTATGCGAGCTTGATGATAAAGCGTTTGAAGCAGCGGTTGAAGCAGAAGCAGAGCTTGCAGCCAATGGCCCTGAATTTACGCTGGTTAAAGCTGGTGAAATTATTCTCCCTGTGACTGGATTAGAGTGATAATTAGGTGAATGATAATAAGAACGATCAGAGGATTTTTTTAAAGGTTTAGGTTTAACTGTTGTTGTTGATAAATTGTCAAAGCCACTGGTGGAAGTTATTGGGTTAATATTAGAGCGCGCATGAGAAGATAATCTATTGGGTTTACTACGAGACCATGATGGAGTTTCATGCTTATCATTTACAGTATTAGCTGAAGATCGGTTTAATTTGCCCGTTCTCGTTGAGCTGTCAAGTCCACCTTCAGAGCGACCTAAAGGATATCTAGATGGACGATATATTGGCTTCCGAGATGTGGGTGTCTCTTCAAGGAAACTCTTTGAGCTTCCAGGCATTTCACTTTGATGATGACTTTGCTGATCAGAAAGTCCACCCATCTGAGATGAACTGGAAGCTCGAGTATTCCCTGGTTTATGCTCATGAGAGCTAGAAGGCCTGTCTACTTCAAAAAATCTATGCTTCAACTCAACACTGTCTCGGCGGACTTGAGCACTACGGTCTAGCAGATCAGCAACCGAACAAGGTAAACCATTTTCTCGACTCTTATCATATTGCTCAGGCTGAGTTGGAGTAACATTTTGCTGCTCTTGTTCACGCAGCATTTTGTGCATTCTTATTTCACTTCTGTTCAAGTGGTATCTAAGTCCACTACTAGTAACATTACTTCCAATATTAAGTCCATAATTGCGTCTGGGTACAAGTACCAAAGGTTCTGGTGTACTAGGCCGAGCACTTATATTACCATTGCCATTATCTTCTTCCTCTTCTTCTTCAGCGTCTTCAGCATCTTCTTCGTCTTCTTCATCATTTTCTTCTTCTTCTTGCTCATCTTCTTCTATCAATTCTTCCTCTTCTTCAGCTTCTTCTTCGCCATCTTCCTCGTCTTCGTCCACTTCTTCTTCTTCCTCCTCTTCTTCATCTTGGTCATCATCCCACTCCTCTACTGCCCAACCACCATGTGAATAGCCAAACTTAGACTTGGGTTGAGTAAAATCGTCATCTTTGTTTCGATTGTCTGTCTGCTTTCCGATGGACGAGCCTGTTAGTGAAAGGTTAGTTTTGGTTAGCTAATTTCAATCACAAACAATCTATTTTAATGAAATGAATAGTGACAAAAAGCGCATTATAGTTGACATTCACAGACACTGATCAAGACATTTAGACAATGAAGAAAGCTTAAAAACCTCAAGACAATTAAAAAGCTTTAAGACAATTGAACAATCAAAAAAGCAACATTGGAAATAAAAGAAACAAAAAAAGTGAACAAAAATCTGAAAACAATATTGTTCCATTATCAATTTACATAATTCCCATGGATAATATTCATTGAATAAATCACAAATTACAATTCAAATTATTGTAAACCTGACAGATTATTATCTTTCATGATGAATAGCAAAGTTTCATGGAAACATTGAAATGCATCACAACTCTTCACCAACTCACAACTCAACCTTTCAACATAGATCATATCTCATGAGTTGTTTTCTTGGCCCAATTCCTTGAACCATTTTTTGGCAATTGGTGACTATTAACATTCATGATTGTTACATAGGCATGAAATACGGAAGTAGAAGACGAAAAGATTGAAACTATTTTTGAAATGATACAAACTAAATGGACCAAACACCGACAATGATGAATCGTTGGTTAAATTAAACTCTAAACACTGAAGTGAAAAAAGCTCAATTCTTACATCTTAACCTGTAAATGAATGTGCTCATGAAAATGGAGTGAATCTCAAGGTTTAACTATTTTTGAATGAAATACATAATCTATGTCAATGAAATTGAGATGATTTACAGTGAAAAAGAAGACAAATTAAAACTAAATTACAGCCAACATCTAAAATTGATTAACTCGGGGAATCACTGAATTGCATAACTGTTAAGGTATCAGACTGTGAAATCATGATAATATGTAAAATAAATATCAACATCACATGAATAGTTTGAAAGAAATGTCTTATTCCTGGAAATGTTTGAGTTTAACCAAAATTGAGAAACAAAAGTCGATCACAATTGAAGATTGATTTCAACGCTTTCCATGAATCTCATTGAAACCTGCAAGACTCTTTTTACCCCTGAAGTTTAAAGGGTTGAGAAGATGATTTCACCTTGATTGAAGTTTGCTAAATAAATACAAAATGATCAAGTTGACAATGAGACAACAATTAACCAAGTCAATCATCGTTTTAACCAAATACGTAACAAAGTCAATAATAATTGTAAACTTGATCGGTAGCTTGTTGATTCAGCAGTTAACCCAAAAGCCATTGGTAAAATAGCTCAAGAGTTTCATATTTGGTTGACAATTTATTAACAATTAACGTTCATTTTGACCCTCATTTCAAGTCAATTTACATCTAATAAGATTATTTTTAAATATATTTCAATATAAATCCATCAGAGGCCTTAAAATATGAAATAAATATGAAAATGTAAATTTGAAAAGTACACTCGATTGGGTTGACAATGTCAACTTTGCCTTATCATTGTTATTTACATGAATAGTGTTTGATTATTACAATTAATGATATCACAAATAGTGTTATTACAATCATTGGTTACCATTGATTTGAATGGCTTGATTTACCGGAAACATGGTTAATTGTAATTAGACTCTTGATAAAGTGTAACATTCTGAAGCTTACATTGATAAAAAAATAAGAGGTTTTTTTTGGTTAAGAGTATGGAAATGTAAACAATTAATGTTGATCAGATTGTTGTTTGTTCAGATGATTGTGATGATCAGCATAATTGTTATTTCAGTAGTAAAGGTCAATCGCCAAGCGTATTGCAATTAACCATCAAATCTTGTTATAATATGTATTAATGAATTACATTGAAAGGCAGAGACGTTTGTGTATTTAATTTTTTAGTCTGTTTGATTGATCTGAAATGGGAAGACTGATTTTCAATCAATATCATCACAATAATCATCCTGATTATCATCTACATCATGAGGTGGGATTCCTGTGTAAAGGAATTGAAGGTGGAGTAAAAGAGCTGAGGTTTACTCTTCTTTAACAATCTCAATTAGCAATGGTTAATGAGTCTATGATTGTTAAACTCAGCAATTAAACTCAATCAGCTTTCCAGTCATTTAAATTAGACATATTCAAGTTCCTTTGTCTCTATTCACATCTTTTAATCACATAAATCCTTAATTCTTGCTTAACCTTTCCCTACACCTTTCTGTACCTTTTTTACTGTCTATTTTGTAATCCCTTTCTTTTATACTTTCTTCTGGTTATCTTTTTTTTCTCTTTCTCTAAAAACCCCTTTCTTTTGTCTTTCATTGAACCCCTTTCTTTTTTTCTCTCACTTTCAACCAACGTCTTGCGGGAAACACTCACTTTAGTCTCTTCTCAGCATAAATTATCACCGATATAAGTATCTGTGTATTGTTTTTTTTGATTGTTTTTTTGTTACATCATCATTACCCTTAATTAATATTCATTATTAATTAGACTATTGACATTATTGTTCATTAATTGTGCTATTTTATTGCTGTTATTTGTTGTTTACTGGAAATATTTAAATTAATAGTTATTAACCGAAAATCTGTATCGTTTGGTAGCGCCTTTTGTTTCTCATTGTGTTAAGCTTTTTGTCTGTTGGCTTTCACCAGTGTGTACTGTTGTTTAATCAAAAAAGCCATCAACTTGTGTCAAACAGTTAAATAATCAACCTTCAATATACATGCTAACCATTATTAGTGACAAATTAATTACCTTACCGGGGTTACAAAAATGTGGATCACAACACCCTCAACCTTTTTAACATTTCATAGTCCCATAATCCGCAATAAAACTATTGAAGAGGTAAGTTACATGTGACCATACTATACTAAATTGTTTCACTAATCGAATGTTTATTTCTTTTTCTTTTTCTTGTGCTGTTTTATTGTTTTGACACGCATTCTAATCTACCATTTGGCCCCTTAATTATGGTATATAAACACCGTCACTATTGGAAAAACAAATAATCATCAACGCCAACAATATAAAAATCCAATCAACGTCTCTCTATGCGAACCATTGACAACCTAAATGGACAATCTTGATGAAAATTATCTGACACTGTGGACATTACGGTTTTGGCATTATGTCTAATTGAATGTTGAAAATTAACACTCAAAGTGCCTTGCTGTTCGAGACTATTTAACCCACGAAGCGAGATGCGACTTTGTTCAAAATAATCATGATTGTAATACAACATTGTCATTAATTGATTACAATCAATTCCTATTTTGTGGCTTTGAACCTGAAAAGATTGCCTATGGAGTTATTATTTGTGTAAGATGATTTTTCTTGAAATTGACAGTTTACTAAAGTTAATCATTGTTGAAATTTTGCTGATAGCTAATTAATTATATCGGAAACACTCATGAATCAAGTTTGCTGTTATCAAATGGATTAAGTGACAATCAACAACTACTGGATTTATTACTTAACTTTTTACTTTTCTGTTTTCTTTAGATTACATGGGCTCTTATACTATTTTTGGCCTTAGCTGTAACTGCCACTGATTTGTAAGTTATATTATTTGTTTACCGCTGATTATCCCTTTTTTAATCTGTATTTTTCCTGAAGTCAAAGTAATTAACTAAGAAGAGCAAAAATAGCATCAGAAATAAAAAAACTAACCTGCAATATAATATTTTAATAAGTAATCATTATCAGTTTCAGGTAGACTTGGAAAATTCTCAAGGTTTTCCTTATCAGATTAATTAACTATCTCTCATCATTTATTACCAATTAGTCCTAATAATAAAAATTAAAAGCACAAGTTAAAAAAAATGACTGCCTCACATACAATTATAAAACATCCTGTTAGGTCTAACAATTTATTAACCTAAAAAATCAACACCCTAACACTTAATTATTATAATTGTTAACAATCTTAAGATGAGGGCTAATAAAAAAATCAAAGCAATTGCAGGAAAAAGTTGCGCATTTAAACAATTAATCTAATCTACATTCAATAAAATAAACTAAAATCAATCAGAACGTCTTAATTATATTATTAATATTAGCATTATAACGATATGGATTATTCAGTGGATGAAAAAATTCCAGAAGATTCCTTTCGATGATAGTTTTCATTATAATGTAGTTAGGTCAAGTTCATTGAGTAAATTATTACAAAAATATTGAATTAATTTCCGTTCCTCTATGAATTAATTTCATAATTTCCCTTCGTTAGTAATTAAATCACTTGAAAGCACATTTTCCCAATCCCTTGTAACATTTATCATCCAATAATTAACTTTTCATTTCTATATGTTTCCATTTATTCAGCTTGTGTCCCGCTCTGTTTATGATATCCAAAATTTTGGGACTATCTCAAGATGTGGCTGGAGTTACATTAGTAGCATTTGGTAATGGATCGGTTGATATTTTTGCTGCTATCACTGGAATGAGACAGGGTCGACCTGATTTAGTTATTGGTGATCTTTTAGGTTAGTACCAGAATCGGCAGTGGAAATGTAAATAAAGAGATTTGACAACAATGAACAAATACTCAAAAATTGTAAATAATAATTAAATGATGAAACTAATTGTTTATTTTTCTCTGTTTAAACTTGCAGGTGGTGGCATGTTTGTCTTACTTTTTGTCATTGGAACTTTATTCTCGATAAAACCTTTTAAATTGCTGGCAATACCATTTATACGAGATTTAATTTTTTACTTCATCGGAGTCTCGTGGATATTTTATCTGTTCATTGGGATCAAATGTGTTCGCATCTATGATGCTGTAGGTGGGTTGATTGATTATTTAGGACAAGCAAGGTATATTAAAATGAGTTTAATTGTTATGGAAGCTAGTTCAATGATTTATCCAATTGAATCCATCTTATTGAATCAATTGAAAGTTAAATACACAGCTTTTTCAAATTTAAACACTATCTAGACAATTTGATCACAGGCTAATTCATATTCAATTTAAACTCATTGAATATCTCGCTGTTTATTTATGTTGATTTTTCAATATTGTCTGACCTTTTTCTTCTTCATTTAATAGGACTTCTAATTCTTTACTGTGTTTACGTGTTAACTGTGATTATAATTGGTAAATTTGATAAATCGCCGAGTGGTCTTGGGTTCGGGCGTAAGTATTGAGGAATATTTAATCCAAATTTTATATTTGTTCAGTCAAACTACTGATCATTAGTGTGAAAAGCTAAAAATGATAAAATCAATGTCATTTTAAAAATACACAAAAATTCAATGAAAAATACGGTTTATTTAATAATTTCCCTCAACTTTTTTTTCCTCTATTGTTTGAACATCAATGGATTCTTGTTAATGACAAAATACTTCAGATGGCCATGGCGGCGGTGATTCAGATGAAGAAGGGATTACATTTGAAGGAATCACTCCTGACATTGATCCAAATGAAAATATGGTTGTAATGAAGGGTTTTGTTATGATCAGTGATAAACCTCTTCCTCCTCCGCCACCCAGGAATGAAACTTATCCAACTATATTGAAAACATCAAATTTACCTGCCATCATCCCGATAATCAAGATCAATAATGAGGATAGTAAAAGTGAGCTTTCGGTTGGTGAAACTCAAATGAGGAAAAAGTCACCTAGTCGCGTTTCAATATTTGAAGGTAAAAAGTCTTTTTGTCTCCATTAGCAAGAGAAACTGTATTGAGAGCTGGATATCTGACTAACAATCAAAAGGAAAAGTTAGGATTAAAATTATATCTTAAGAATTTATGTTCATGATAACAAATCAGATGAGCTTTCATGATTCATTCAGATGACAAATTCTGGATTCTCCAACCTCTCATGACTTTCTCAATCCACTTTATTATAAATTATTACAGCACGATTTTATTGCAGTAATAATTTATCAAATTTATTAATAACTTTATTAATGTCTAATCATTTTATTTCATTCAGATAATTCGGTTTACGATACGATTTCAAGTGTTGACAATGTTTATGTAAACCGAGGCGCACGTAGATCCCGAGCATCAAGTATCTTTTCAATCAGTCAAACTCAAATGCTACAAATTCGTCGAGCATCACGAGAATTCTTGGAAAGGATAACACCAATCGATGTTATGACATGGAAAAGACAAAACTGGGGTTTCAGAACTCTTGAAATAATCAAGGTAATTTAAAAGCTATTCAAGAAAATCAGAAATTCGCAATGTTTTGAATTATATCACAACATTGAAATTTTCATAAAAAAGTCAAAAACATCATTGTTATGATGTTAACTTCAGAAATTGATCATTACACAATGTTAATATTATCATTTCTCATTCAGTCACCAATCAGATTATTTCTATTGTTGACAACGCCAATGGCTGATGTCGAAGAAAAAGGTGAATGGAACAAACTATTGAGCGCTTTACATTGCGTTACTGGTCCTCTTTTTGTAGTTTTTGCTCTTGGCTGTAAGTATTTTTCCCAGTAAATTTAACGATTCTTTAACATTATTTCATTAATTCAATTAAAAAATGTATTTCTTTCTGATGTTTCGCTGAATATAGATGGTGGTACTTGGCTTGGTAAATATGTCCCTCTTGCTTTTGTGGTATTTGTAGTCGCAGCTCTTCTTGCTGTCGTTTTAATTTGTAAATCACATTTTGAAACGGCACCTCGTTATTATAAAAATTATTCAGCTGTTTTAGCATTTATTGTTGGAGTAACGTGGATTTATACGATTGCCAATGAATGTGTTTCCATTATTAGAGTAAGATATTTTTGTCTTGTGTTTTTGATGCAAACTTCAATTTCACTGAACCATTTTATTTCTTTCAGACTTTAGGTGTAGCTTTTGGTATATCTGAGATTGCTGTCGGAATGACATTACTGGCTGTTGGAAATTGTTTCCTTGATTTCGTGGCTAATATTGCCATCGCCAAACGAGGCTATCCACGAATGGCTGTTAGTGCATGTATTGGCGCTCCTTTACTATGTAAGTTTAATTGATATCCAATTTGATTACTCCACTTTAACGATGAATGTAATTATTCATCAATAAAAACCACCAATTGTCATTGTAAACATTAATTGATGAATGAATTGGTGTAGCCTCAACACTCTATTAACACTGATAAGGGCAAAATTTTCCTATTTATTGACTTGTTTTGTTTATTCCAACATTCAGCACTTCTAATTGGTGTCGGAATCCCAACTACATTAAAAATCGCTCCTGACCCATCATCTGTTATTCCGGTAATTTTCTCAAAACTAAATAATTTACCATTTTTTCACTATTCACAATCTAATTATCTTTTGTTTTTTCTTCATTAAAGCTTGAACCATCGGTATTGATTGTGGTTACATATGCAGCTCTCGGAGCAACAATCTGGTTAACTATTATTGTAACCATTATATTGAAATTTCGAGCAACTCGTTCATACGGAATCTTTTTGGTGGTCCTGTATGTTGTATTAATCATCTTTGTATTTCTTGTTGAAAAGAAAGTTGTACAAATCCCTTTATTTGAATAGCTTGAAAACATTAACTCAACCATCATCTGAAATTCAATGAAAAATATGAGCTCACTTTTCAACAATAATCTACTAGATCATATCTTGGCCAGAGTTGAAAGGGTGAATTCACAAGTTAAAATAGGTGCAAATTGTATTTCTTTATCCGTTAATATTTCGCAGAATCAAGCAAAAAAATTGTAAACATTAATATTTATAATTATTTTGAATTGTTGACCTGGACACAAACAAACAAGCCTGATATGACAGTTGGAAAACTGGACTCATCTAAAATCCTAAATCATCATATTCACCTTATTGACCAATTAATGTTGTTAAATTTTTCTGTAATTATTAGCATCATATGCAAACAAAATCATTTATACATAATAAAATTTAGAAATTGAAAATCATTCAAGATTGAAATTAACCTTGCCTAAGTTGAATGGCATTTATCAATCTCATGCGAGTGGAAGAAACCTCCACTTTAAAACAATTTATATTCTCATGATTTCATCTTCACAATTTTTATTCAATGTTTCAGATTTCAACAAGATAAGCTAAATTTTGACTCTAAATAACCTTTAAGTGCTAAAAACACTTGAATCACGTTTAATTGTAAATACAGTGTTAGGCATCTTTGGCTGACTTTTCGCATATTTGCTCAATGTTCATTGGCATTACACCTCAGCTTCTCACACAAGGTTTCCGTTTCTTTTATCGTAATACAATGAATTGCTAAAAATAAAACCGTTTATCCGTAAATTAAAATTTGATTAAACTGCAAGTTGAATAGTCAAATTAATCAGATACATAGATGTGAACCTAAAATTTGTATTTAAACAACAAAAAGTCAACTTGGGTTGAGATGAAATACTGACTAACACTTTTTACCAAAAGCTGAGAAAGTTTCCAATTTATTGTTAACCACAACTAAAAGGAAAGTCATTTAACCTGAACCATTGAAGACTATTCAGAATATTTATGGTGGCATGTTGAGAGTGTTTTCAAGAGGCAAGAAGATGATGGTGAAGAAAAAAAATGTCTGCCAAATTTTTAAATTTAGACTGCGATTGAATGTATCACTAAGCTTGAAATGATTTGAAGTTAAAGAAACTAGATTTGGGTTCGGAAAAAGGGTTGATAAAGGATAGGGTCAACTGAAAATGAATGAACTACATTAAGATGAGGAAATGATATAAGATTCACATTTAAACAATCATTAAGGAATTTTCAATCTGTCTGGAAATTTGCTTTTCCCTGCAACTCTCAAGATCAACAGTCTGTTTATCATTGGTAATTGATTATTTGCTTGCCTTTAGTTAATCCGGATTAGTAATTCTGGTTCAAAAAATATATGGAAAGTCGGAAGTTTGATCTTTGAAATTTGATTTTGGTTGGTAACCAAATTTCAGTGGCACCAAAAAATCGCTGATGTGACTTTTTTTACAATCAGAAGCGAAAATATATATCGATAGAAGACAAAACTATCATGTTATTGCTGATGTTGGAAGCAAAAAATATGATCAAGAGATTGGAAAATATCTAAGTTGGCTTTGATTCAGATAGAGATTAGCTGAAATTGTGATTCATGAAAATTGTGGAGTAAACTTAAGGTGAAGAGGATCAGTAATTTGAAATGTCAATTGCAATGAAAAATGTCATTGATTTATATGAGCGCAATCGATGTAAATCTGTTTTGTTTATGTTTGTATCGTAAAAACAAAAGCAATATTTTGGGATCTAAATAAGCTTTCATGATATTGATATGCACAATTGAGGTTCAATCATGAGATAATCAAATTTTTGTCAGTCTTTTCTGGCAAACCTTGTTTATGCCCATGAAGGTTGAATATTAATAGGAACAGCGATGAACAGTGATGATCACTGTCATAACTGCAAGTTCAATCAGGATGAATGTACATAAACATGTTATTGATTAGTAATCACTTTGAAACTTGAAAAACCTTGAAATTAAGACAAATTTTGAGATTTCGTTCATTTAAAAGCATCAAAGGTTTATGAATGAGCACAAAAAAAGACTCAATATTACCACAATTTTGGCAATGTAAACTTATTACAGTTGAAATCAATGAGGTTATCCTAGAATAGTTGAAAGGATTATTTAAAAGAACCAAAAAGCTCTACTTTCAGGGAAGCACAAAGACTCTTGTTGAGAAATGAATTTAGTTTAAGGCTGATACTTGGCGTCAAGAATCACTTCAATTTGACAAAGTAAATGTCAATTTTGTAAACAAATACAAAAGCTAAATGTCTCAACTGGTTGAAATGATGAGGTTTAAACAGATTGAGGTCAATAAGATATTTCTGGTGACATTCAAGTTGTCGGGAAAGGATTGAGTCGAGATTGATACCTACACTGATAGTCATTGGGTTGACTATTTGAGATGATTATTGGTGTCGATGAATGATTGAGCGAAACGACGGAGAAAGCGTTGAACGGTGAGACGGTGAAGCGATCAAATGATTATGAAAACAGCCAAAAGTAAATGATCACGAATATCACAAGCCCATAAATAGGAATCATTTCGTTTTCCCCTGCGAATCAACCGCAAGAAGAAAACTCAGAATCCAAAAGAGATACAATAATAAACAAAATGACAAACCATGTTTTGATTTTTAGTGTAAACAGTTAATTGGTTGGGTTAAACATAAACAAGTTAACAAAGGTTTTCATTGAAGGTACTAAGTCAGTGGCAATGACAATGAAGACGATAACGACAACAACATTTATGATCGGACATAAGCTTTGCTGGTAGAAGCTGAAGATTTCGAGTAAAGATAATCTTCAATATAATTCTCATGCATCGCACTAGATGAAACATATCAAGACGACTTTTTTGAAAGCCTCGATTTTTGATACAATATTGTCATCTTGGCTCAAAAAAAAAATTTAAATTTAAATCTTACCTAATGATGAGGCCGTAGGGTTAACTAATGATGATTTTGGTCCTCTTTTTCTTGCTATATCACGATCTCTATCTTCTTCTTCTTCGGCTATCGGTAGGTTCTTTGCCAACGGCGCCCGTACTGACCTGTTGTTATAATAAGAATGAAAGAGATTAGTTTGACAAAAAGATTACCTTTGAGAGTGAATTATGACTAGAGAGTGGTGTAAATGGGTTAATGTTGTTAGATGATCCTGGCATGATGATGAGGTTCTATTAAAACTACGATGATAAGGAATGATGAGAAGAGTCACTGTCAAAAGAGGAATTGGATTTGTTGATGCGGTCATTTTTCAAGGCGTTTATGTTGTTTATTTGGTTGATGACAAAAGGTGAAGAATCTTGTTTACTTGTGTCTGCAATTGATGAATATGGTCGCCGTGAAGATGCTGAGGAAGTTAATGATGAAAGTGAGGTTGATGCGGAAGAGTTGTATCGAACTGGAGATGAAGGTCGACTTCGGTAGGAACGATAATCATCAGATAATCTAGGACTGGCTGATGATGAGGAGGTTGCAGAGGCAAGTGAGCTTATGGTTGAACTACGAGCCAAGCGAAGAGGCATTCGAGAGGTAAAACGAGTGGAAGAGGGTGAAGAGGTGGAAGACGATGTGTAAGGGGAAGAGTATCGACCACCAGTGCCACTAGAGATGCTATTTATTCCTCTTAAACTACCAATGCCACTGTCGATTCCTCCACCTGTGCCAATTGTTCCAGCTGCCGTTTCTTCCAATGAACTTGTTCGACTCAATAAAGGTCTAGTTGGTGTCGATTCAATTTTAAGTTCACGATCAATTGAAGGACTTCGACTGCGAAGGAAAGATGAATAAGACAGGGACGAAGATTTATCAATTTGAAAGTCAGAGGATCGCCGAGACACGTACGGTGATGGTGCTCTGGTTCGGTTGGAGGAACTGTGAATGTTGGACTCATTTGAAGGACTAGTTTCGTCTAAAGAGTGAGAGTTGGACGTGTAACTTCGACTATTTGTTAATGGTTGTTGGTGAGCTGAATTGTAACTATTGATGGTTGAACTATTATTGTTGTAAGATGAGCCGATAAGGGATGTCGATGAGGCCGAGTGAAGAAGTGATGAACCTGTGGACGATTGGGAAATAGAACCTCGCCTGTAACTACTAACTGTATCACCTGCTGTGGACACTATCCTATCCTCCTTTGACAGTGATGTCGAATCCTCCTCTGAATGTACTTGCCTTAAACCAGATGTTGCCGTTGATGCAGATGAAGCTGGAGTAGCTGAGACCTGAGATGAACGACCAGAAGAAGTGACAGATTCTTTGGAGTCTTCACCAGTCAAGGATCCTCTTCGTCTTCTGCCAAGTCGAGATAAATTTGACTCGCCAAGATCATCGTCAGCATCATCAACCAAAGAACTGGTCAAATCATTTGTGTCACTCCTTCGTGTGGATGATGAATTGCTATCTGAAGTACTTCGATGTGTTGATGAGCTTCGACTGTCTTCATCATCTCTAAAGGTACCAATGCGTCTTGTAATTGGTCGAATAGAATCAGAAGATTGTGTATTCGAAGCAGTAATGGATGAACCATAACTGTTGACTGGAGCGGTTGTCGAGGTTAAACCAATGGTTGAAGGTGTTGTGGTGCTACTGTTGAATGTAGATGTAGTGTTGTTAGTCAATGAAGAGTTGGTGTTAGTTGTGACGCTGGATGCGGCCGAAGCTTGATTCATTTTCTTTTGCTTTTCTATTTCATCCTCTGATACTTGACGAGACGGTGGTCTGGGTCGTTGAGGTGATTGATAGGCGGGAATTGATGAGGGCGGTGGAAGACTTCGAGATTCTTCTTCTTTCCTCTCTTTTTCAACCTTGGCTCGAACCTCATTCTCATGAGAGCGTTCCATGTAATGAGCAGTGTCAGATATTTTAACGATTCCACTGAGACAGCCTCTTGGTGCTTCAGGAACATCAAACACCTTTACCAAGGGAGTTGGAACAGAGCTTGGTACTGTTGTGGGTTCCTCAAAGCGCACACTTCGAGACAAGTACGCATTTGGATCATAGTCAAACTCGTCGAAACCAGAGAGTTCGGCTCCTCTTTCCCTCATAAATCGAGACTTAAATTGAGGTCCAGAGGTAAAAGAGTCGTCATCGGTTCGAGCCCAGCCCGACCGATAATTATCAGATTCTCGGAGGAATCTATTGCGTGAGGTTGAATCGCGTGCATCATCACTTGCTCCATAGCGACCTAAACGACTGGCATCATCTCGACGAGCTCGTGAATAGTTGCTGGGTGAAGTTGCTCTATTCGAGTCTCTTGGATCCTTTTCAGAATCACTGTAACCAGGATTAAGGCGACTTTGAGAGGTAAGATCACTGATTCGGCTATCACGACGAGCAAATTGTGTTGCCAATCGATGGTCACTCTGGCTTCTCATAAGCATACTTTGTTGAGGAACAGACAGAGAGTTGCTGCCACCGGTTAAACCCGGTGATGAAGCTCGTACATTTGCATTGGCCTCTTCTGAAGTCAAAAGCTTGAGTTCACCAAAATTGACCAAATTACGTCTCAAGGTATCAAGCTCAGAACTGGGTAAAAATTTCATTCCACGAGTATAATCTGCAGCATCGGCATCGAAATTTCTCAAAAAGTCAAGGGTTTTCACAAAAATATATTTAACCTCACACAATTCTGCATCATTCCAATTCTTTTCAGGATCAACTATATTCTTCTCCACCGAGTCACAGTTGTCTTTGAGGAAATCATATTCAATGGCTAAGTCATCTTTAAGTTTAGCTAAATTTTTCGATTCCACTTGTGAATAAGTTTCCAAATCTTTTAACATTTTATCTTCTTGAGCTTTCAGATCTTTTACAAATCTTCGTACAATTTCTTCAATCTCATCTCGAATATGAACCGAGTTGACATTCAACCTTTCCATTGATCGTTCAGTCTGTGATAGTGCATCTTGTAATCGATTCAAAGCTCGACGAACTTGATGGCAGATGCGAGAAATTTCACGCTTAAGTATATCAATGTGGGCTTCTTTACACTCAGGGCATACTTTTTTATCACAATGTGAACACTTAGTAACTGTTGACTTTTCTGAACAGACACCACATCTTTCCATCATGGATGGAACCGGTTCAGGTTCTTCTCCAGTTATACTTTGGTGTAACTCGAGGAACCGTTGAAGGGTTACATTGGTGGGATAAGTTTGAATACCTTGGAACGGTATTCTGTGTTCAGCCCGACATTCTGGACACTTGATTTGTCTACGAGCATAATCTTGAAGACCCTCCATACAAGGTTCCTGACAAAAACTATGTTGACAAGGCAACATCTTTGGGTTACGGAACCGGTCAAGACATATTGCACAAGTTAAAAGCTGCTCCAGCTTATCCCAAGCAGTAGCCATGTTGAGGTTGATTAAGATGAATTAAGCTTTGATAGTTATATTCAAATCACTAGATTTATGATGGAAACAGAGAGTTGGTTCAAAGTGTAGTCACTAAAGCTGGCTCATTGAATAGAAACTTCACTTTTAAGGCGAAATATTGCTTAATTAGAAACAGCAAATGAAGGAAAAACCAAATCTAGATTAGCTATGACCAGATATCAAGTCATTTACTTTGATATAATCTAAAAAAGTCAAAAAAAGTCAATTACTTACCGATTTGTACAAGTTTCAGCCCAAACAGCGAACCAGGAACTGTGGCTTGATAAATCTCATTGTTTACTTGAAAATGTTACACTTTAAACCTAACAATTGACACTGGACAATTTAATTAGCTGATACACAATCAAAAGCAAATAATAAATAAACGGAATAGATGATTACTGTTTAAACAGAGCAAAGATCAGAAACGGTTTATGGCTGCTTCTTTTGTGTTGGCAAGCCAATACAGTTAACTTTTTCTTGGCCTCTAAAGATGGCAACAATCAAATTTAAATAAGATGGTTTATTTATGGATTGAAGAGGAGCAAACTCGTCGACTTGTAGGAAGAGACATTGAAGATGATGATGTTGCTGGTGATAAAGATGAAGATGAAGAAGTGAGGAGGTAAAAAAAGCAAAGGGATTCTCGAGATGAGTTCACTTGTTTCGTTAAGCCTATGCTTATTTACCTCTCTTACGCTGTCTCTTTCCTTCCATCCAACCTTTTTTAAAGATATTAATAGCTGCTTCATCATCAGCATCATTTCATCTTTAGCGTCATGATTGTCCTCAAATATTGGCCAAAATTGTAACTTATAAATGTATCTAAACGATAAATTGATTACCAATCAAGTGATTTGTATCAACTCTTTAAATCACACGATTGTTTGAGAGTTACATGTTTCTTGGACTATTTATTTGAAGATCAACAGTAATTTAAAATAACCAAAATCAATTATTGAATTTCAATGATTTGTAGATTTGATATTTAATAATGGAAAATCTATGAAATAATCAGATTTTTAGAGTTGAAATGAATGATTTAAGGTTCCATCATTTGATCACCTAATAAGGTTCATCGAAAAATTGAGAAGAGGATGAAGACGGAGGCGAAGATTTAAAAATTAGAAGCTACTCATACTTTGTTGACTTGAGTTTATGGCAAATTGCCAGGGAAAAGCTTTCTCATAAATGAACAATCAAGATCATCTTCACTGGAAGTAACGAGAAAAATGGCTATTTGCTATCTTCTTGACCTTAAAAGGCCAGATATTTTTGGTTAAACACCTATTCGAATGGTCGGACATTGTTGAAGAAACTGTGAAAGGAAACCCGCTTTTCCTTAATTGTGAGTTTCTTTTGTTTTGATCTCGAAAATTCGCTTTTAAGATCACTTTGAATCATTTTGTTAAGATTCTTGATTCAGAATTAATTGTTTGAAATATTTTGACTAACGTCAGAATACTTTTACATTTAACTTCACTATCCAACAGGATTCGATACGATGATAGTTTCCATTTATTTTTCCTATTAGTTTGCTAGGTTTGAGAAGAGAAATATTCTGTAAGGAAATCTGTAAAAGGGAAATAGTAATGTGTCTGAGTTGAGCAACCAGATCAATGTCTTTTGAAACGCATATTGATGCTTCGAGGTTCTTCAAAGGTTCAAATTGAATTCTGACTTCAAGTATTGAAACGCTTTTTAATAAACAAAATTATTCTTTTTTGTATTATTTACAGATCAGAAGAGATAAGTGTCTTGTTCGAGTTCTTTGTCCTCAACCTGGACCAATTCTTTCTGGGTTTATACTTTTATACTCTGACATTCAATTCCAAGATTCAGATTGATTTGCATTAATTTTAAACCATGACAAAACTTACATGTAAAACATCAGCTAAATATTCCTTAACAATCGAAACCAATTCATCCTCAGTCAAATTAGGATTGGAGAGTTTCGTTCGTATCTCTGGACTAGATACTTGCTTCAACATACCAAGAGAGCTTGAAAGATTGACAACTCTAGCATGAGGTCTTAATAAAGGAAATAATGTCTTATAAACATCGAGATTGGCAAAAAAGTTGACATTTATAGTGTCCTCAGCTTGTTTAACGAAAGGCTCTGTTGCATCGTGTTTATAAGCTATAGCTGCATTATTGACAAGAATGTCCAAACCTTGATATTCATTCTTGATCGTCTCAGCCAATTTATTGATGCTGTTTTGGTCAGATATTTCCAGTTGATGTAGAACAGGATTAAAACCTTTTTGTTTCAGAGAGTCAACCGCTTTTTGTCCTCGCTCCAAATCTCTTGAACATAACATAACAGTTCCATCAAATTTTTTGCAAAGCGCTTCGACGATGGCAAATCCAATTCCTTTATTGGATCCAGTAACAACAGCTAAACGTCCCATGATTTTAATGCAGATAAATCACACAAATTACTAAAAACCAATTAGTTTGAGAACAGTTCATGGAATAAAGTAATATGATGTATCAGAGCAGTGAATTGATATTGCATGTTAAAAGCATAATGAAGTTGATGTTTTCCAAAATAAACTGAAATAAATGAATAAAGTGTATCAACATTGATGTAAACGCAATAAAAAACTCACAATAAGAGCAAACTCAGGAGTAATCAGGCCAAAATCTCCGATTGCAATGCCAGTTTTGTTGCCATTGATTCGTTCTTGAATCTCTAAGGCCTGAAAAAATATTTTTCGTTCATTAAATATCAGTTTGTTTGAATGTGTTTTAGACTAAAAGACAGTGAATTAACGAATATCCCAAATACAGAATGCATTGATTCTTGAAGGCGAATTGCGGCAAGTTACTTACCTTGAATCGAGCAGAACATATCGTTTGTGTATTCAATACAAGTTTAGTATAATATCCATGTACGCTTAGCACCTTAAAGTAAACACATGGAAAAATAAGTGATATTCACTTTGGCAATTTAAGTAGCGCTTACTTTAACATAATAACGAGATGCCCAATAGTTGCCAATGACGAGGAAAAAATGGATTAAAATTCCTCCAAAGGTGATAATCTTAGAAATGAAATCTGGAAAAAGATTGAAAATCAATGAAAATAACAACAAAAGGTCACCTGCAACTGCAATCAGTCCATCGAGAAAGAGAAGTAAATAATTTATTTGTCGATTAAGTTGATCAACATAATTGAAAACCAGAATCACTCGTTCATTAATCTGCTTCAGTTCAACTTGACTTAATGGAGGTTTGTTGAGACAATATTTAATCTGATCAATAACGCTGTCTATGCCTGAAGTAATCAACAAAGCCAAAGTCCAACAATATGTTCCAATATTAGCCAAAGCAGAGAAAAGTGCTAGCAAGGCAACAGTTTCAATGATAATATGTAATATCATGAAAAAGACGTGTAATTTGGTTGAATAAGTAGCCGAAAAATAAAGTCGGAGTATCAATGTATATGATAATGTATAAGTACACACGAAAATCAAGATTCGTATTGCATTTATCATGAGTAGATGGCAAACTTTACTGAATAATTGTGAGCATCTTTTAGTCAACATAAAAGGAGCATGAGAAACTCCATGAATGCGTATGTTCAGAAAAGCTCTAAATGCTGTTAAATAACCAGCACGTTCGATGTAATGAATGTATTCACGGAGAGCAAAAAGGATGGCAAAGATAATATTAGTTAATATAAGGAAAGCTGATTTCATCGGCTGTACATCTTCGGGAATCAAATTAGCCAAATATAAATCAATCTCATCATTTCCTGGGTAGTACAAGAACAGACTCATTCGAATGACTGTGTAAATGACTGAAATACGAGCGATCCAGTTTGCTATCCATACTTTTCGAGTGATCGGCTTATCGTATTCTTGCTTTAGTCCGCCACATAAACTTACAAGAAACAATTGATTTAAATAATCGAAACGAGCCAAAGCTTTTCTTGTTTCTGTATCTGATTCACCAGTCCAGCCAATCAGTTTATACAAAAAAGGCTTCAAATATCGACGGAAATTCGATGGCTTTAGTTTCTCAATCATTTCAATCATTGCACTAGATTTAATGAGTCAAGGAAATAATACAATTAGTTTAGGTGCAAATAATTTAATAAAAAAAAGATCTGATGAAAATCTCTCGATTTGCCAACTGTTCTTCATAACTTGGAAATTGATCTGAAATATTATATTTTTCTGCTACAGTCTAATCTATTTTTTCATTGCTTGTGCAATTCATCGGAATATTCATGGGCACGAAAGAGTGATAATTATAAATCAATTTTCGAGTCGAGTGTTTATTAAAAATTTATTTAGTTGCATACAAGGAGGATTCATATTTATTTAATGTTTCAAACTTATCAACTTTGTTTTTATTGGTTCAGATAATCGAAACGGGCTAAAGCTGTTCTTGTTTCAATATCTGATTCACCAGTCCAACCAATCAGTTTGTATAAAAAAGGCTTCAAATATTGACGAAGATTCGATGGCTTCAGTTTCTCAATCATTTCGATCATTAAAATTCATATGATGAGCCTCGGAAATAATTTACATTATTTTAAAGTAAATCGAAAGTAAATTTGTTTGGATACAAGCAAACGAATAAAGAGAAGATCTGATGGAAATGGAAATCTCACGATGATACAACTCTTTATAACTTGGAGATTGATCTGAAATACTGGTTGGTTCCAGTTCAGACTATTTTTTCATTGATTGATAACCTTATCGAAATATTTGAGCACGAAAGAGTGATAATTGTAAATCAATTTTCGAGTCAAATATTTATTAAATATTTATTTAGTTGCATACAAGAAAGGCTTTGACGCATATTCAAGAATATTGTTTCTAATTAACTTTTTTTATTCCAATACATTTCATCAATTACTTTTCTATGTGACGAAGAGTGTTTGTTAAATTCATCTAAATGTTCATAGTCACGAATAAATGTTGATTAAAAATTAATTCAAATTAATCAATAGCTGAGTGACAAAATTTACGAATGAAGTGAAATTGATAATATTGATTGTAAGCCTCATTTTATGATACAATTACTTTACTTGATATTCAATTTTTTTAATATTTAATATTTTTCTGTTGATGTGTTGAAGTTGATATTTCCAATATAAACTGAAATGAATACTGTCAAACCTCTGATAATGTCACTTCGTGGGATTAGCGTTTTTTTCAATAATATTAAACGTATCAAGAATTCCGTGATCTAAACAGGTTTATCTTATTTTTAGATTTTTTTGTTAGTTTTATGTTAGATGTTCGATCGATAGGTTATTATGATTTAGCAAACAGGTTAAAAAGTCGCTAGATCTGGCCTATTTTGAGCTAGCGCCTACACGGCGAACAAGAAACTGACAATGGACTTTAATGTCATTTTGGTTCTACGGCACTTTATCACGGTTTCATGGGATGTGATTGTAATATTTCTACCCGATTGAACAAGGTCATTCTGCACCGAATATTGGCATTAATCATTTAGGTTAAGCTACTCATTCCATCTTTGCCATAGATCGATCAGTTGAGTTAATTCAGTTAATTGATTTCAACCTTTTCTGAGATTTAAAGATTTTCTGTAATTTTAACATGCAAATCAATCACACGATAGACTGAATAGCTTGTCAGAAAGCTAGTTACATTTATTTATTCATCATTTATTTAGATAATGAATTTAGTCTCGATTTTGTTTTTCATATTTAACCCAAGTTAATGTCTATTAGATGCTTTAAGTACACAAATATATTCAGGAATATTGCAAAAATTTCAATTGATCGAGGGTGATGTCGTTCATAAACTTTCTTTCGATAACAGTTTTGAGTCCTCCTGTAATAAAAGAAAACGGTAAATTAATATTTTTACTCGCGAGGTCGCATTAAGAAAACCTGTTTAACATTGTCATGTATTTAAAAATTACAGCAGCGAGTTATTTCGGTTATTTAAAGCGTACTGGTGCTTGGCGCGAGTTTGATAACAACTTATTGCATTTCAACCAAAGAACTGATATTGATCGTTAGAAGCATAATGAAGTTTATTTTTTCCAAAATAAACTGAAAGGAATGAATGCAGTGAATTAGCATTTAATCTAGAAATATGAAACCTAAGAAAACTCACAATAAGAGCGAACTCAGGAGTAATCAGTCCAAAGTCCCCGATCAGGATGCCAGTTTGGTTCATATTGATTCGATCTTGAATCTCTAAAGCCTAAGCATATGTTTTTCATCAATAATATGTCAGTTTTTTTGCATGCGTTTCAGACTAAAGACAGCACAAAGGAAAAGATTGAATCTTTGCGTGCGACTTTTCAGAAAGTAACGTACCTTGAATCGAGCTGGACATATCACTCGTGTACTAAATATAAGCTTCGTATAATATCCATGTACGCTTAGCACCTGCAAGGAATAACATAAAAAATGAGGGATAGTAAATTTCAATATTAACTGACACTTACTTTGAAATAATAACTAGACGCCCAATAAGTGCCAATTACGAGAAATATATGGATCGTAATGGCTCCACATGAAATCAGCTTTGAAACAAAATCTGGAAAAAGTTTATAAATCAATGCAAATAAGAGCATAGTTTCAATAGGAACATGTATAATTGAATAATTGTGCACATCTTTTATTCAACATGAAATGCTCATAATGAACTCCGTGAATACGAATGTCAAGGAAAAATCTTAATGATGCTAGATTACCAGCACGTTCGATGTAATGAATGTATTCACGGAGCATGAAAAGGATGATAATGGTAATATTAGCTAACATGAGAAAGGCTGTTTTCATCGGCTGTACATCTTCGGGAAGAAAATTAGCCAAATATAAATCAATCTTATCATTTCCTTGATAGTACGTGAACAGACTCATACGAATCACTGTGTAAATGACTGCAATACGAGCGATCCAGTTCGCTATCCATACTTTTCTAGGGATTGGCTTATCGTATTCTTGCTTTTGTCCACCACATAAACTAACAAGAAACAATTGATTGAGATAATCGAAACGAGCCAAAGCTCTTCTTGTTTCAATATCGGATTCACCAGTCCAACCAATCATTTTGTACAAAAAAGGCTTCAAATGTTGACGGAAATTCGATGACTTTAGTTTCTCAATCATTTTAACCATTTTATCTTATGCAGGATAATTTTGGGTTTTATTATATTTCAAAAAATAAATTGCTAAAGAAGAACAGTTTAATAAAAAGAAATATGAGTTTTTAGTTTCAATTTTATGGTTCAACTGTTTTTATTCAACTTGTAGATTGATCTGAAATACTTCTGAATCTACTCACTGAAAACAGTCTTTTGTTTTTTAAACGCATCTAAATGTTTATGATCACGAAAGAACTATCATTAGGAATTAAATATTCAATATATCAAATCAAAATCAATCAAACGAGGATGTGTTGTAAGGATTTCCGATTGAAACTAAATTAATAAATTGATTGAAAAACGTATTTCGAGCTAGTTGAATAAGTTCAACTGAACAAACATACAAAACAAGTTTATAGTTTTACTTATTTATACAAAGGAGAATGAAAAGATTCATTCCGTTTACCATCAAGAGATGAAAAATTCTGCTGTCATTAGTAAAAAGTTACAAAGTTTATTTATTATAATAATATATATAAAATTTTTAATAGCGGAGTCGCATTAAGAAAACCTGCTTATGAAGTTTCAACCAAAGAATTGTATACTGAAATGAATGAATAAAGTGTATCAATATTAATGTAAACGCAATGCAAAACTCATAATAAGAGAAAATTGAGGAGCAATCTGGCCAAAATCTCCAATTGCGATGCCAGTTTCGCTCCATTCATCCAATCTTGAAGCTGAAAGCACGAGCAAATGTTTCTCATCAATTAAATGTCAATTTTTTACTGCTTCTACCTAAAAGATGAACTTAAAATGGAGTCACTCTTTCTGGGAGTTAAATCGATTTCGAATTTTTATTGATAGATTTCGGTACATTCAGCCTTCTCAAAGACCAATATAACAGAATTAGCTGCCACAAATTTTCTATTTCGCCATTTTATCGCCTTTTCTCGAAAAAACTTGTATGCTCTTCTAAGACGGATTTGTGCGTTCATTTTCATTTTCAAAATAGCAAAATGCAAAACCCAATAGAAAAAATTACAAATTTTTCTAGAAAAAAGGCGATAATATGGCGAAATCGAAAATTGGTGGCAGCTGATTTATCCATATTGGTCTTCAATGGTATATCAATATCTTTTGGAGAGCATATAGATGCATCAATCCAGTTCAGGGAATAAAGTTGATGTAATTTGATGTACTAGACCAGCGAATTGATATTGCATGTTAAAAGCATGATGAAGTTGATGTTTTCCAAAATGAACTGAAATGAATGAATGCAGTATATTAGCATTTATTACACTATTAATATATAAATCCAGAAAATCCAATAAAACAACTCACAATAAGAGCAAACTGAGGAACAATGAAGCCAAAATCTCCGATTGCGATGCCAGTCTTGTTCCAATTGATTCGTTCTTGGATCTCTAAAGCCTGAGCAAATTTTTCATCAAAAAAATGTCAGTTTGTTTGAATGTGTTTTTGACTAAAAGACTGTGAATCGACGACTAATTGTAACATTGAATCTTAGGGAGCAAATGAGCAACAAGTTACGCACCTTGAATCGAGCAGAACATATCGTTCGTGTATTCAATATAAGTTTCGTATAATATCCGTGTACGCTTAGAACCTTCAAGTAAACACATGGAAAAATAAATGACATTCACTTTGGCAATTTAAGTAACGCTTACTTTTACATAATAACGAGATGCCCAATAGTTACCAATGACGAGGAAAAAATGGATTGTTATTGCTCCAATTGTGCACATCTTAGAAATGAAATCTGGAAAAAGATTGAAAATCAATGAAAATAACAAAGAAAGGTCACTTGCAACTGCTATCAGTCCAAAGAGAAAGAGAAGCAAATAATTTATTTGACGATTAAGTTGATCAACATAATTGAAAACCAGAATCACTCGTTCATTAATCTGCTTGAGTTCAACTTGACTTAATGAAGGTTTGTTGAGACAGTATTTAATATGGTCAATAGCGCTCTCCATTCCTAAACTAACCAAATAAGCTAAAGTCCAACAATATATTCCAATATTAGCCAAAGCAGAGAAAAGTGTCATTATTGCAACAGTTTCAATAGGAACATGTAAAATGATGAAAAAGATGTGCAATTTGGTTGCATAAGTGGATGGAAAATAAAGACGGAGTGTCAATGTTAATGATACTAGATAAGTCCACATGATAATCATGATTCGTATCCCATTTATCATGAATAGATGACATACTTTATTGAGTTTCTGTGAGCATCTTTTATTCATCATAAAAGGTGCATGAGAAACACCATGAATACGAATGTTTAGGAAAAATCTTAAGAATATCAGGTAACCAGCACGTTCAATGTAATGAATGTATTCTCGGAGAGCAAAGAGGATGAAAAAAATGATATCAAACAAAACATAAAAGGCTGTTTTCATCGGCTGTACATCTTCGGGGATCGTATTAGCCAAATATAAATCAAGTTTATAATTTCCTTGATAGTATATGAACAAACTTGCTCGGATCATTGTGTAAATTACTGAAATACGAACAATCCAGTTTGCTATCCATACTTTTCGAGTTATTGGCTTATCGTATTCTTGCTTTTGTCCACCACATAAACTCACAAGCAATAATTGGTTCAGATAATCGAAACGGGCTAAAGCTTTCCTTGTTTCAATATCGGATTCACCAGTCCAGCCAATCAGTTTATACAAAAAAGGCTTCCAATTTTGACGGAAATCCGTTGGCTTCATTTTCGCAATCATTTCAATCATTGCACTGCCTATAAAGAATCAATTAAATTTTGTTGAGATGAGAGCAATTTACTAGAGAGATCTGATGGAAATGGAAATCTCTCGCTCTTACAACTGTTTATATAATAACTTGAAGATTGATCTGAAATACTGGTTGGTTCCAGTTCAGACTATTTTTTCATTGATTTATAACCTTGTCGAAATATTTGTGCACGAAAGAGTGATAATTACGAATCAATTGTCGAGTTAAATATTAATAAAAAATTATTTATTTGCATACAAGAAAGGCTTTGACTCATCTTTATGAATAAATTGTTTCTAATATAACTTGTTTTTATTCCAATACATTTCAGATCATTTACTTTTCTTTGTGACTAAGATCGTTTGTTAATTTCATCTAAATGTTCATAGTCACGGATTTTCTGTGGGTTTGCTTTAGAGTTGCATGATACCCGAATAAAGTATTTATTGAAAGAACAATATTTTTTTCATGAGTATTGATACTATTGAAAATACTAATATTATAATCTATTGTGAAAAGTATTGCAATATCAATGTCATTTGGAAATTAGCATTTTGCTAGGCAGAGATCATGACATAAAAGACAAAAAATTCAAGCCTTTTCCATAATTCTATTAGTGATTTAAAAGATTTATCCACTTTAGATAGAAGTAATCGGGCTATTGCACAGCGAATGAACCCAAATTTTTGAGTTCGAGGCTTTTGGCAGCGTTAAAAAGACACTAAAATGTCAGAAATTTCAACGAAAAAATATATCGAAAGAGCAACACTATTGCAGAAAGTATCGATAAGTATTGTTGAGACTGGTATGGATAATATTACTCAAAAATATAATATTGCTGCAACACTAGTTTGCTTAATGAGACCATTTCAATAGATAGATGTAAGGTTACCATCTCCCTAAGATCTATCGATCAACGAATTACAATAATATTTATCGGAGCGTAAATTCATACTTCAGTTGAGCCATTTTGAAAATGCACTTTTTGATTTCATTACGAAGACGTACAGTCACAACTTTTGGGTCAAAAAACTTTTTATAAAATGTTGTTTACTCGTGGTCAATGGATGTCACCGTGCCGTGGTCAATGCAGCGATAGTCCAAAGATATATTCAAGTGTTAATCAAAGAAGAGAAAAGTGTCATTAATGCAATAGTTTCATGCAATAGTTTCAATAGGAATATGTAAAATCGACGTGCATTTTAGTTGCAAAAGTTCTCTGGCAAGTATAAACGAAGTTGTTGGGAAATGCATGGGAAATTTGGTTATTTAAAGCAACGAATTGCTAGAGAAGAACAGTTTAATAAAAAAATTTAATAAAAAAGTTTTCAGTCTCAATGTTTTCGGTTCACATGCAATTGTTTTATTCATTGTAAGACAGCGGCAGGAATAGATTGAATATTTCTGAACAAAGTTACGTACCTTGAATTGAGCTGAAAATATCGTTCGTGTATTCAATATAAGTTTAGTGTAATATCCATGTACGCTTAGCACCTTCAAGGAATAACATGAAAAAACAAGTGATTATAAATTTCAATATAAACTGACACTTTGAAGTAATAACTAGACGCCCAATAAGTGCCAATTACGGAAAAAATGGATCAAAAAGCCTCCAAATGAGATAAACTTTGAAACAAAATCTGGATTCAGTTTATAAATTAATGCAAATAGCAGCATAATGTCAGCTTCTATTGAAATTAGTCCATCCAATTAGAGAAGCAAATAATTCAAATTACGACAAGATTTGTCAATGTGGTTGAAAACTTGAATCAGTTGGTATTTATCTACATCAGTTCGGCTTGACTTAATGGAGGTTCATATAGACAGTATTTGATTTGGTCAATGATTTCACCATTCAAAATCAATGAGTTTGAACGAAAAGCAGAGAAAAATCGAAAAACACAAGGACAGGAATTTCGATACGCCCGGTATAATTATGTGAAGCGTACCGGCTCTTCAAGCAATACTATGATGGATAAAGCAACGAATTGATATTGCAAGCTAGAAGCATAATGAAGTTAATATTTTCCAATATAAACTGAAATGAATAAATAAAATTAGTATTGTTTGGAAAACAAAGTTGACACCAGAAAAGTGTTCGACTCACGATTAGAGAAAATCGAGCAGTAAATGTCGCGAAATCTCCGATTGAAATACCAGTTTCATTCCTCTTGATTCGATCCTGAACCTCCAAAGCCTATTTTGATCAGTAAAAACGAATTAGATTAAGCTTGATCTGTTTAACCAATTCGAAGATATAAAATACTATTGTACCTTAAATTTAGCTGGACAAGTAGCTTTTAGGTTCAATACAAGTTTCGTATAGTATCCGTGTATGCTCAGCACCTAAAAGTTAGAGTATAGTTTGAAGAAATGGATCGGTAAATAATCCAGTGACTTAATTGCACATGATATCGAGATGCCCAATATGTGCCACTTACGAGGAAAAAATGGGTTAAAATACCTGAAAATGAGACGAGTTTAGAAATGAAATCTGAAAATAGTTTATAAACTAGTGTAAATAACAACATAATGTCAGCTTCAATTGCAATTAGTCCATCCAAGTAGAGAAGCAAATAATTTATTTGACGATTGGTTTGATCGTTATCATTAAGAACGGAAATCATTTGTTCATTAACATGTCTCAGTTCAGGTTGACTTAAAGGAAGTTTACTGAAAAGATATTTGATCTGGTCAATGATGCTATCAATGTGGGCTATTTGAAAGGCAAGCAAAGCCCAAAGATTAAATCCAATAGAAAGCAAAGAAGAGCAAACCGTTATTAATGCGACAATAGCAATAGGAATATGAAAAATCATGAAAAAGATGCGCTCTTTGGTTGCATAAGTGGCCGAAAAATAGAGACGGAGCATTATTGTTAATGAAGTTGCCCAAACACAAAGCAAGATCAAGGAACGTATTCCATTTATCATCAGTATATGACAAATTTTACTGAATATCCGTGAGCATCTTTCATTCAACTTTAAGGGTTCATACGTAACTCCATGAATACGAATGTCAACGAAAGATCTGAGTGATGTTAGATAACCGGAACGTTCGATGTAATGAATGTATTCACGGAGAGCAAAAAGGATGAAAATGGTAATGTTTGTCAATGCAAGCATCGAAGTTTTACTCGGTGTCACATCTTCGGAAATCAAATTAGCCAAATATAAATCAATTTTGTCATTTCCTTGGTAGCACATGAACAGACTTACTCTTGTAAATGTGTAATATCCAAATTGATTAAGTTGTTTCTTTATTCGGTAAGCTGTCTTTTCACTACACTTACAAATTTGAGCAACTTTCTCAGCATTTTCGGTCACATTTTCAAGAATAAAACTAACTTCAAGTCTTTTTCATTTGTTTAGACATATTGATCACAATTATAGGTTAATAACTGATTGATTAATTCTAATTGCAATTTGATGCATATCATAATTTATTCCCTAAGGTTCATTCTTTCTGCTGATAAAATTTTTTTAAGTTCCGATCAGTAGTTTGGTCGGACATCCCAACGCAACTTACATCCTTCTACTGACAAATTCATTGACCGATACTGTAGTTAGAAGCCAGAATCGTTTTTCATTAATCTGTCACAAGATTGACTTAAAGGAGGTTTCCCGAAAGAGTATTTGATCTGTTCATCATGCTATCCATTTAGGCTATTAGAAACGCAAATCAAGCCCAAAGACATATTCCGTAAATAATCATGCGATTGAAATGGCATTAATCATTTTGATTAAACTACTCATTTCATCTTTTCCATAGATCGTTATAATGAAATTCAGTTGATTGATTTCAACCTTTTCTGAGATTCAAATTTTTCTCTAATTTTAACATGCAAATCAATCACACGATAGACTGAATAGCTTGTCAGGAAGCTAGTTATCATTTATTTCGATAATGAATTTAGTCCCGATTTTGTTTTTCATAATTCAATATTTAACCCAAGTAAATGTCTTTTATATGATTTAATTAAACAGATAGATTCAGGTGATATTGCAAAAATTTCAATTGATCGAAGGTGATATCGATTATAAATTTTCTAATGTAACCTTTAAATCACAAGATCGCATTAAGAAAACCTGTCTACCAATATCGAGTATTTAACAATTACAGCAGCCAGTTATTCAGGTTATGTAAAGTGTACTGGTACTTGGCGCGAGTTTGATAACAACTTATTGCATTTCAACCAAAGAATTGATATTGATCGTTAGAAGCATAATGAAGTTGATGTTTTCCAAAATAAACTGAAACAAATGAACGCAGTGAATTAGCATGCAATCCAGAAAATTGAAACCTAAGAAAACTCACAATAAGAGCGAACTCAGGAGTAATCAGTCCAAAGTCACCGATTAGGATGCCAGTTTGGTTACCATTGATTCGATCTTGAATCTCTAAAGCTGAGCAAATGTTTTTCATCAATAAATTGTTAGTTTTTTGCATGCGTTTCAGACTAAAAGACAGCACAAAGGAAAAGATTGAATCTTTGAGTGCGATTTTTCGGAAAGTAACGTACCTTGAATCGAGCTGGACATATCGTTTGTGTATTAAAAATGAGTTTCGTATAATATCCATGTATGCTTAGCACCTGCAAGGAATAACATAAAAAATGAGTGATAGTAAATTTCAATATTAACTGACACTTACTTTGAAATAATAACTGGACGCCCAATAAGTGCCAATTACGAGAAATATATGGATCGTAATGGCTCCACATGAAATCAGCTTTGAAACAAAATCTGGAAAAAGTTTATAAATTAATGCAAATAACAGCATAATGTCAGCTTCTATTGCAATCAGTCCATCCAAGTAGAGAAGCAAATAATTCCAGTTACGACTAGATTTATCAATACTATTGAAAACATGGATCACTTGGTTATTAATTTGTATCAGTTTGGCTTGACTCAAAGGAGGTTCATCTAGAAAGCATTTGATTTGGTCAATAATACTATCTATACGTGCACTGATGAAT